CTACGCATGTCATAGCGGGTTAATTCTGTCCATCACGTGTCTAGAACCATAGGTAACTCCTAGATAGAGGTACTTGGAATACGTCCGATCCAGTAACGAGTAAACTATTCAATTTCCAAGACGTTGCGAGTGCTCATCGACGATAATTGCCAGCCGTTTCTGAATGGGAACGCACCTGCACGCCACGTGTACGCAAAAATGCTGCATCTCTCGTATTACACGCGTACCATCACGCAATTCGAGCATTGTGTTCTGATCGTGATATCAAATTAGTAAATACTGACATAATGTAAGAAGAAGAAATTTCAACAACACTTTAACGCAACTCGTTATTACGATAATCACGCGGACAAATGAACACAGGTTATCAATGACAAGCACAATGCATTCATAGAATATGCAATAAAGTGCACTCTTTGAAACGGGAGCACTTATTGTTTCCCAACGAGTAGTTCTACGCATCGATCGGTACTATAAATTATGTCACTGTTCTATTTCTATAATCGTATTGGAATATAATGATTAATGCAAAATTTTGATGAGCGACTATAATTACTCCTAGAATATAAGAAACATTTGTCACTAAGTGATTATAGTCATGTTTGAAAAATCATTCCTAACGACATTGCTAATTCGATCTGATGTGTTCAGAGAACGATCGGACTAACCCTTAAAACTTGGAACAACCGATTAGACGGTGTATGTGCAACGGCATGCATGGTAAATGGCGTGCAGTTACATTCGATAATTGAAAGTTGGCCTCGCGTTCTTACGAATGCAGCCCTTTAGGAAAGTCGTTGCAGTGAACATTATTATCGCGTTGTGTAAACTTGTTGCTGAATCGAGCCAGGCTATTTTCAGCAGCAATCATCGCTAAAAACAGAAGTTAAGACTCGCTAAATAAATGTCTCCCCGACCGTTGTCAAACGAGTTCCTTTTCGTTAAGTTCCTTTTTTAATCGTGAGACTATATTTCTTCGCGCATCCGTATTAATTATGCAAACATCGCCAGAAAATTCGAAAAATTCTGAAATATGTTTGAAAAAGAAATAATGATTTTTTTTCTTTCACCTGCTAAAATGTTACATCAACTAGTGCCCCGAAACGCATTGAATGAAACACGAGGTGTAATTTAATTTAGCATACAGTACCGATTCGACGTGTACAATAAATCAATTCTCTTATCGCGTGACGAATGTCAAGGCTACATTCGATTACGATTGGTGGCTCGTGAATTTCCTTTATTAACGTTGTACCGAAGTAAAACGCGTCTTAATTTAAGAATTTAATTGCCGGGATGAATATTGAAAAGATTCACTGTTTGATCAGTCAGAGTTTCTTTAGCCATTCAGAACGAACAGAGAGGTAACGATTGACGTCGAGTCGTAAAAAAGATCTCGACGAGACGCTGTGATCACTGGGGTCTCTCTTGATCTTCGTTGTCTGAAACGAGACGTCAACGCAGATGCCAGCGTTACGCTTGTTATTAAAGTCAAACAGAGAGGAAGCGTAAATATAACGTAACTCGGTCTAATAAAAACGCAGAAATACACGGTTGATGAACCAAAGGAAATCGTAGATTCGTCATGGATATCGTTTACTCTGCTCTATGAATTTAATATCCATCGCGAATAGAACATGCTTACACGATACCTCGGATCTATATAGGAAAGTCTAGGAAAAAATTGAAAGATTATTGATACAGAAATCGTTTAACGTGATCAAATGGAGAGATGGTTCTTCTGCAAGGATCCTATCAAGAGAATAGATGGGATTGTGGACCGATCGAATCACAAGTAGTTCCGATAACCTTGGGAATGGAAATCAAGTAAATGGAAAAGAGAACAAGGTGAAATGACGCGAGGAAAGAACCTCGATTTTCCATTTAAAAATGAAATATATCATCGAACGGAATTAGTGGGATTACTATTGAATTACGAGGCAACTAATTAGTCTCATTAAATTGAAATCGAATAAGAAGGCTGAGAATTGTAATTAAGCTAACAGAGGCCATCGATGTGTTAATAAGACGGAGCCACGAAAACGATAGTCTTGAAATAAAGTATCAATACTATAAATAAGATTATCGCTTCATCGAGTTACAAAAAATCTCGGCAATTTCACGAGATCGAAATCTGGTCTGCGCGAAGGGTAGCACACAAATTGTGCCATTATTGGTCTCATTTACGATGAATCCCTCTGGTTTTCTGGAAATAGATAGGAAACAGGAGAGAGAAGAATATCGAAATTCGATCGATCCTGACGGAGATGGTATCGAGCATCTGAACTCATCCACGAGAATTTGTTTGTCCCACTTCACCGATCGTCTGGTTCCTCTTCTCGCATTTTGCTTTCGACATCGTGCAGACCGCACGAAAGCGCTAAAAATACGAATTTATATGCGCGTCCGTTTGATGCGTGTACCTCGTTTCGAGAAAAAAAAAGAGAGTGGAAGATGTAGGAGTAGGAGAAAGGCGGGATAATTTTAAATGTCAGTGATGATTGGAGAGGAAAAAACGAGACGAAACCATTCCGAGCCCACCCATTATGCACCAGTGATTTCGTAGGTGTTAAATGGCTTCCCATACGCAATTGTTTCTTTAATTGCGTTTCTTCTTGCACTTCAAGTGCAGTTGGCGCCGTGCGTCTTCTCGATAGGAGTTATCTAACGCGAAGACACGTCCGCTCTTAGAATAGCGTTTAACGAGCACCTTTTCTTGAGAAAAATACAGTAATTAGGGGAACTGATTTATTGCAGACAAAATTGGATCCATTTGATCGATATTTCTTCAATTATTCAGGGACCTTAGTAAATAACTTTTCATAGAAATGGTCAATTTTTCATCTAATTCTATACTCAAATTTTATTTCCACAAAAGATAAATTTAAGTATTTTCAGAATTAAACGAGTTATAAGATATGAGACTGCATAGGGGACATTATCTTCCCATATTTAACTCAGAAAAATGGAAGCCATGAATTCCTAATGCTTTATGAAAGAAAACAATATAAAAATGTCACAGAAACAAGAAACGATTCTGCTTCGTCGTCTTTGAACGTGACCATTTTACGACCCTCGCGAACCGTATGTTTTCTCTTTCAAAACTTTACACCTAACAGTATCAATGCACGAAACATATTTCTTCTGAGTTTATCGTTGCTGTTTCAACTCTCATCGCTGCCATTAGTGTTCCATTAAAACAGCAATAAAACGTCAACCTTACATAATTCACATGTCACATCGTGTTTCTTTGTTCACACCCAATTAGCTGTCCTGCTCGAGTTTTTTACCTGCTCCTCTAATGATCAACGGGGTAAATTACATCTTTCACGTGGAAACGTGTAATTTTACGGAGGATTAGGCACGCATTGATCACGCTCACCGCGTAATCTTTAAACGCAGCGTGAATTAATAAAGTGACAGGAGCTAATAAAGCTTGAGTTCGATTCTTAGACGCGTAACAGAGCTGTCCGTAGCAGACTTCTGGAGCTTATTAAGCAGAAAGCTTCTCCCTTCCTTTGTCTTCGTTTCCAAGAAAGTCTGGTCGAGGATCTTGTTTGTCTTTGAAACGAACGACGCAGTTATTTGGATAATGATACCCGAAGATTAAGTTAATGGAGCAACGAATTGGAATAATTCCAATTTTATTTTAAAAAACTCTCTTCTTTTTTTAATTTAAAAATCAATTCAAGACGTCCAATGCAGTTCACGTATGCATCGCTGAACATACACGAGCTTCTCCATTTCATATGCACCTTCACGATGCGCACCTTTTAATTAACTCTTCTGCCTCGCACAGAGAAATTTCTCTTTCCTTCGTACTTTATCCGCATTACCATCCATCGTGCAGCGATCGTAATTTATAATGGGATTCACGATCGAGATACAACGTTGACGAGGTCGAAATTGTGCGTCTTTTCACAGGAACCTTATAATTGCACTCGACGCGGTGTTTTTTCGAGTGCAAGAAAGGGGTGCATAAATTAAGCAGCCTGGGAAGGCAGATTCACAAACATTCTGTCATCGTATAAAAAAGCGGTCAAGGAGAAACCAACTTAATTCAAACAGTTTTTGATGAAAATTCAGCTGACAGAGTTTTTATTACTTTTCTTTCAAGACGATAACGAAAGGGATTTTTAATTTGCATAATTTATGCGCTGGACTATAAACCTTTTTTGAATATTTCTCCACATTTTTTTTTTATTGTTTTATGAAATTTCGTGATGAAAACGATTCGACACGTCCCAAGGGGTATTTTAAAGGTTCACCCGGGAACGTGAACGTTTACCGCCAATAAAAGCAGTTTATTCAACGCGGCATAAGCGCACGCTAAATTTACATTCGTCGAGGAACTGGTTTCGATTGCTACACCCTGATGCATTCATTACAATCACCAATCTTGAAATTCTTTTCACTGATATTCGTTTAATTATTACATTCGACGGATAGGTAAAAAACTGTCGACCTTTCAGAAGAATGATTTTCGTCGTACACTGCGATGATCATCAGCCACGCAATTGAACATGACGTAATGTTAGTCAAGACTGTCAGCCACTTACTCGAACGATACGTACACATTATTATGGATAGTTTTCTTTCGATCTTTGTTATCAATGTCGTCGAACATTGCCTCATAATTATTCTTAGACACGAAAGGCTGTTATCGATTTCTTAATAACTTCATATCCATCGAATTTCTCTACTTTCCTCGATAATTTCATAGTCCTTCAACAAGGCAAACGCAATTTCTTTTTATATTTCAACGAAGTTACGTAACCACGTATAAAAATTCATGTTTACCCGGAAAGTTCACATAATATTTAAATTTGACAAGTTTTGAAGGGAGATTTTGTGTATTTGAAATGTAGGAACTTCACGCACTGTTTTTTACTCTTGGAAACAGACAGTTTTATTGAACGACTGCTATTTTTATTTTGATGTATATAATATTTTGCTGTATTAAAATACACTCATGAAATTGGCATTTTCCTTCTTTCCAGATGAACAAGAACGCGTACAGAAGAAAACTTTTGTCAACTGGATAAATTCTTACTTATCCAAAGTAAGTAAAACAATCTTTTCTTGATTCATCCACTTCTCTGGAAACATTTCACGTACACGGAAAGTTACGCAAATTCTTCGTCCCTTTTTCACTGTCCCTTCTACATAATAAGGGATCGTTCGAAATTACTCCTCATCACGAATATCAAAAGTTTGGCGGAATAACTTGTGCCTGGCTCGTGAGTCTCGATTCTACGCCCCAACTTTTGCACTTCCGGATACTTTGAAACTTGAATTAGAATCCCTTCCTCGCGACATGCATGCTACAGAAACGGGACGGCGTTGCTTTTAATCCTTTGGTCCCTTAATCCTTGATTAAAATTTCTCCATAAAACGATAAAATTCATTTCCAGAGGATTCCACCCCTCCGAGTGGATGATCTGATCGATGACCTTAAAGACGGCACCCGTTTGCTCGCCTTGCTGGAAGTTCTGTCCGGCGAGAAGCTGGTAAGTTCGTATAGCGAATGTATGCCGTAATTCTGATCGATAGAGAGTGCTCTCGGTACGAAACGTGTTTCTGTTCGCAGCCGGTTGAAAGGGGCCGTAACTTGAAGAGACCGCATTTTCTCAGCAATGCCAATACAGCTCTTCAATTCCTGCAGAGCAAGAAAGTAAATATTTTCTCCGAAGAAAATGAAAAGTTTCATTGAATTTCTTAAAGAAAATTACAAACGACCATTCGATATCTGTTCACAGATTAAATTGGTGAATATTAATTCGTCCGATTTGGTCGACGGACGACCGCCCGTTGTGTTGGGCCTGATTTGGACCATAATTCTATACTTCCAGGTAAACGATCTTCTATTTCGAACTCCGTACGATCGAAGTTACGCAAAGAAAAGCACACTTACAACTAGAATGCGGTAGTCGCTTAAGTACGAAGCTCGTGCCACATATCAGGTCATTCTATAGTCTATGTCGTTCTGATCTTATCAATTTTACATTACACGTTTGTAAGAGAAAATAATATATCAGCAAGTATGCGTGAAAACGACATTGTGTACAGAATGACCTAATACAACATCGGATTACATAAAGGTGCTGCGATGTACGCAACAGCACTATCAATCGTTTACATTTACGGGGATTAATTTGCTAGTCACAAGGACGCGATTGATCATTCTCTTCTATCGAAATTTTTTAATGGAATAATTCATCAATTTCCTTACGTAATGATAAAGAATCATTTTATAAAGAATTTTAAAAAAGATTTGCCTGTCCGACCTTTTTTCATTAAATTAGTCCTCGTTATGAACGAAGTAAATTACAGTCCATTCTGCTAACCACATTTATTCCACAAATACAAGCTACGATCGAAGGATCGAAAGAAGGTGAGTAGCTATGGAAAAGAAAGAAAGAAAAAAGAAAAGATTGTCGTTTAACTGGTACGATGGGACGAGTAAAGCTGTAGAGAAAGTCTGTGTACAGTGATAGCACGCACCTGCATGCAACTTACGCATCACACTAGTACGCACGCTAGTTCTCCTCCTTTCGTGAATTCTCTACCCCACACGATGGAATTCCATTCGCCGTGGATCAACTGATAGCATGATTTTATAGATCGAGGAGAATACCAGAGCTTTGGAGTATCTTGGCCACACGTGGGGTAGTCAGAGCAGCCTGGAGAGCCTCAGCACCCAAGGATCAGCTACCAGCGAGAGGAAACGCATCAGCAGCGAAAAATGGAAACAGGGGGCGAGGAAGACTTTGTTGCAATGGGTCACCAATGCCCTGCCAAAGTTAGTACAACAACGCTGATATTAATTATTTCGCTTCGAAGGTGTCAGTGTTGAATCCGGTGCTTCGAGTTGCGAGCGTTAACAATATTTTTCCATTTTCCATCGCACAGGGACATAAAAGTCCGCGACTTCGGCGAAAGCTGGCGCGATGGCAACGCCTTCCTGGCCATCATCGACGCGATCAAAGCAAATCTGGTGAACATCGCAGCTATGAGAGAGGCGACGAATAGAGCTCGTCTAGCGACAGCTTTTCACGTGGCTGAATCAGAGCTAGGCATCGCCAGGCTCCTCGATCCAGAAGACGTCGACGTTCCCCAACCCGACGAGAAATCGATCATGACTTACGTAGCTCAGTTTCTGCATAAATATCCGGAACCAGGATCCACAGCTTCCGACTCGTTCGCTGCTGTACAGCAAGAATACGATGGATTGTTTAATTGGCTTAATGAGAAAGTTAGGTACCTGGAACAGATGGATAGGGCTAATTCTTTCCCTTTGAATTATGGAGTACGTATGGTGTTTTTTGAATATTGATGATTATGTATTTTTTTTGAAATATGTTTTATTTGATTTTCTATTTGTAGGATTATGGTGCTTTGAAAGGGGAAGCTGATCAGCAGCTGGGGGTGTATAATAAATTACAACGCCTTGTTGAAACACCTAGCATGATAAGCATCACTAGAGATTCTTGGGGGCATATACAAAATTTGTGGAAAACTTTTGAAATCCTTGTAAGCTCGCAGAATTTAGATTTCCAGATTAAATGCAGGTTCAATAATAATTTTATAACGTTCATTCAATGTTTTTAATTTTAAACTCATAGATGCTACACTGGCTCTGGATCCTAGACTCCTCTTTACCAGGCGAATTAGGGGAGGTTGGTAAATGGCTGGGTCGTGCAGAGGCTCTTTTAATATCCGACAACGACATACCCGAAGAAATGACCGAAGAAACAGCCAACATAATATCAAACAAGTTGGAAGATCACAAGAAGTTCTTCGTCGATCTACCGTCCATGACAGAACGTTTCCAAGCAGCTAGAAACTCTCAGCTCGCCTTGAAAGTTCCAGCCCAACAATTGATCAATATGGCAACTCGATTCGAAAGCTTGCCAGATCGCGCTGCGAAACGTAGAATCCGACTAAAGTTCCTGGAGCACAAGTGCTGCCTTATTGCTTTCTTGTTCCTAGTCGAGACGAAGTTGAAAGGATGGAGCGTGAAATATGGCACCGAGGAGAAGGTGCACCAGATGTTGGAACAGTACAGAAACTTCGTGTCTCGAAACAGAATCTTTCAGGAGTTCCAGAAGGCGTACTTGGACATGCAGCAAGTCGTCGAGGATTATAAACGCGAAGGAAATGTTGGTGAGTAAAACTTGTGCATAATAAAGAAATGAAATTCTGTTTTTTAATTTGCCTACAGAAACCATATTCCCGCTTATTACAGACAAAGAAGAAAGCGCAAGTATCGATCGTTTCATGAGAGAAACCAGCGAGAAGTGGAAGAGTGTCTCCATGGATCTTCGTTGCGTGCAAAGTATGCTGGAGGAGGTCGTAGCCTACTGGCGTCGCTGGAACGTCGTCTCCGACGAGTTCGAAGCCTGGTTGATGCGAGCAGAACCAGCTCTGAACCTCCCAGAAGAAGAAAGAATGGAGTTCTTCCAAGATATAAGCGTGTGGAAGGACAAACACCAACAGCTATCCGACACAGTTACCTTCCTCATCGCCACATCCGATGAACCAGTCGCTCTGCAATTGAAACAACGTTACTCGAACCTCGCTTCAAGATGGGAGTCCCTGTTCCAGGAAGCGAAACAGTACATGCGTGCTGGGGACGTGATACGAAACAGGAAGGACTACAGAGCTGGCGTGGAGACCCTGCAGAAGTGGCTAAGAAACGTCGAATCAGCTTTGTCAGCAACTGACCTGACCACCACTGAAAAGATCAAAGCCTATGGCGAGAAACTGCAAGTTTTCCATAACGAGGTGGAAGGTATCGAGGATCTCTTCAAGAGCATCAGCAAGAAGTTTCAAACGCTCATTCAAGATTTATCTCGTGATGAAGTGGACAAGATGATGAACACCTTGAAGAAAGAGAAAGAAGCTCTGGTGAAAGTACGAGCTTTAATTCCTATGCAACTACATTTATACCATCAGTTGTTGGTTCAACAGGAGTCCCTGGAAGCTGGACAAAAAGAAATTGCTACTTGGTTGGATGAAGCAGAGAGGATGTTGATGAGTATCGACTTATCTGGAGGCAGAGAATACATCCTGGCTCAGTTGGACCGTCACAAATCCTTCTTTTCAAGGACTCTGTACTACAAATCCATGTTGGAATCCAAGAACAAGGTTTTCACTAACATTGTAAAGTCTGTGGACAGCCATGCTGATGTGAGTACAGCAGAAGGTGGCAAGACCCTGAGGGAACTCAACGAACGGTTCAATAAAGTGTCCCAAGCTGCTCAGGTTTGGGAACTACGTCTGCAAGAAGCTGTCAGATGCTGGACCAAGTTCAAAGAATGCGAGAGACAAGTGTCCGAATGGTTGTCAGTAGCAGAGACCATGATCAACGACAAACATACCGACAATAGACGATCCATAGAGTATCACAAGAATTTCTTCAGCAACGTGAGCGAGAAATGGATCCAAGATTTCGCGAACGCTGGACAGGACTTGAAGAATATCCTGCCTGTTGAACAGCAAGCTCCAATCGTGGAAGCTGTGGAAGCTTTGCAAAAACGTTGGAAGGAAGTACTGACGTTCGCACCTCTTCATCTAATGAGACTCGAGTTCCGTCTTGACGAGACCACCTTCCTGCAGTACTTGAAGGGAATCGAAGTTGAGATCAATTCCGAGCAGCAGGCTCTGATGAAGAATGATAACGTGGAAAGTATACTGCAGAGGAACAAGGAGTTCTTCGTGAATCGTGGCACAGTGCTGGAAGTGGAGAAGTGTTTGCAGACCCTGAAGAAGATCAGCCAGGCGTACAGCCAACTGCAACCCAGTGACACCAGTTTAGCCGAGGCTACTCAGAATGCTGAACGTTTGTGGGAGGAATCTGCTCAGAGAGTGGAACGTTTGAGGGATCAATTGAAACAAGTGCCTCAGCAATGGGCTGCTTACAAGAAGAAGTGAGTAGTTAGAAATTTGTTATTAAAATTAATAATCACTGCTAACTTCGACTGGTTCATATTTTCATTCTAGATTCGACGAGATGGTTCGATGGATGGACCACGTGGACAGCAATCTGAGAAGCATACTACACGAAGTGAACACACTGGAAGAATTCGAGACAGAGAAAACAATATTCCAGGTAAGGAAAGTTATTCCGTAGACTTAAAAATTCTGTATTCCAACAACGAATTGAGTCATAAAAATTCATCGAGGAGGTAATTTGAATCTATTTAAATACTTTCGTCCATTTTGTCCTTGCATTCTTCGTTCTGGATAGGTTCAAGTTTTAACGGTAAATATGATATAAAGGAAAAAATATTTCGTTTCAAAGTACGCTGGGTATTCTCAAAAAATGAAAATTATTTTTAACAATGTGTTTTATCAGAAAATATGCCGAGAAGCAGACAGCAAACGCGAGGAGATGAAATGGTTGGTTCAAACCTTGGACAGTCTGACCTCGAATCGTTCAGATCACGAAGCCCTTTCAGAACAGAATCGTCTCGAGCAATTGATCACTCGTTACAAGAATCTGATACCCACTATTGAAATTACCATGACGAAAACCGATATCTACTCAAAGAGTTACACGTACAGAAAGGAGGTACGCGAGGTGTGCACTCTTCTGCGCAAGGTTCGTGATCAGTCCAAGGTCGACGTGGTTGCCGAAGGTCCGGAGACCCTGCAGACCGCAGTGTCCCATCAGGAGAGTCGTCTGAGTAATCTGGAACAGCAGAGACCAAACATCGTCAGCATGTTGCAGCGTGGAAAAGATCTTCTAAAGGATCAACATGCTCCTCCATTCGTATCCGTCGAAGTTCAGCAACTGGAATCCAACTGGAACGACACGTACGGTCAAAGTGTAGAGACCTTGAAGACTCTGAAGAGCACTCAGAAACTATGGAACACCTATACAGAACAAAAAGAAGAGATCTTGAAGTTGATCGAGCAAGCCGATGAAGAACTAAGAAAGATCGATTCGAAGATCTATTTCAATGCTTCCGAAGCATCCTCCGATCTTCAGAATAAGCAAGACTTCAGTTCTACGTTGAGGAAATCAGCCGAAGAGTGGATGAAGAAGCTACAAGAAACGTACAGTCAGCTGACCGACGTGACACCCCCAGAGAAGAGGGAGGTTCTGAAGAAAGAGATCACGATTACAGAGAAACGAATGGAGACTACTATAAAGACCGTCGAAGAGAAGGTTGTTCATTTGCAAAAGCACAGCACCAGATGGAACAAGTTCCAGGCGAAATTGAATGAATTACAATCGTGGGCTCAACAGAGGACACCGCAATCAATTTCTGACGCAGCAAATCTGGCAACGACCCCCGAAGAGATGGTATACAGGACAGAAAGTTTGCAAAAGGAGATTCGAGAGAAGTACAGCACACTGGAGTTCCTCGAACTGGAAGCTGATCGTCTCGTGAAAGGTAAGTCGACTCGTTTAATAGGTATTCTTCGAAGAATAACGAGTTACATTTTCATTCACAGGCGGAGGTTACAGACCCGAGAACAGACCTCTATGCAGTGAGTTTTGCAAGCTCGAGAAGACCCTTGAAGTCTTGAAGAAGAGCATCGTGGTTCAACGACAGAGCGCTACTGAAAATCTAGAAACCTGGAAGGAGTACGAGAAGGGAATTAAAGAGTTGAAACCGTGGATCGAAGAGTCTGAATCAAAGGCTGCTACCATAGGCAGCAAACCTACCACCCTAGCTCAAGCAACTCAGATGCTGGAGGCAGCCAAGGCTTTCGAAATACGATGCCAGCAACACTTCCCTAGAATTCAAGATTTATCACTGATCAGTCAACGAATATCAGGTAGGACATCAGCATCCGACGAAGTGGACGCGGTTCACACTCGGTGGAACGCTGTCCATGACACAGCTGTGCAGACGACCACGAAGTTGGACAAGTTGGTCACCTCATGGAACAGCTTCGAATCTGAGATCAAAGAATTCAACGAGTGGCTAGAAAGATCTGAAAGAACAGTACTCGTGGAGCCTAACACTCAAACCCCTGAGGTATCAGTGTTGGAGAAGGAGTTAGCACGTTTGAAGGACTTCAACAAGAGCATATCCGATCACCAGGCTCAATTAATCTCCCTAACTCAGGTGTCTGATCACATCAGCCATGGTTTGTCTCTGGAAGGAGCGTCGAACTTGAAGAGTCGAGTGTCTGATATAAAATCCAGGGTCAGTAGACTGGCAGACACTGTCAGATTGCAGATCAACAAAGTCTCTGATTCCCTGTTAGCTCGTCAAGAGTTCCAGATGAAGATCACCGACTTCGAGAACTGGATGTCACGATTGAGGTCAAACATCGCTGAAATCAGTGATGCCAGCGTTGACACTGTAGACACGAATCTCCAGGCTGTCCACGCTTACATTCAGGAGCACTTTGAGAAGCAGCCGAGTTTTGCAGCCATCTACGACGAGGTCAAACAACTGTCCTCGAAAGGATCAGTTATGGAAGCGGCTGCTTTGGATGAAACATATACCACCTTGGCGAAGAAGTACAAAGCACTGGAGGATGACTTGCAGCAGAAGAAGAAGGGTCTGGAGAAGTGGATAGAATTGCTCAGCTGGTTAAACGATGCGAATGCTCAGTTGAGTCACTGCAAATACGAAGCAGAGGCTAGGAAACCAACTCTAGCTGACCTCGAAAGATTCTCTTCAGAGTTGCAAACCATCTACGATAAAATAGACAGCTGGAAACAGCACGTTCTACCTGACTCAGCAGTGAGTATTCAGATTAGGGACAAACAAGGAAAGCCTCTTTCAGCGGCGGATTTATTAAACGATCTGGAGAACAAAGCTATAGCCTTGAAGAATGAGATATCCGCGAAACGTGACAAGCTGGAGAACCTCGATGCCAGGTGGAACAACTTCAGAAGCTTGCAGCAAGAAATCACTGAGAAGATATTGAACACTCAAACAGCTCTTCAGGAAACAGTTTACAATGTTGATTCTTGTAAACAATTAGCACCTGCTGTGGACAAGATTGATCGATTGATCGAGGATCATCAGAAGAGAGAGCAGCAGAAAGAGATTCTTCATTTCGAGGGTAGTTCCTTGATGAAGGAGGACCAAAGGTCGACGACTAACATTCAGGTAGTTCTATCTTCGGTCGATGCTAATTGGGAGAAGGTCAATGAACTTCTACGAGAACAAAGGAAGAAATACGCCGACATGAACACAGACTGGAAGGCGTACGAAGAAGCAAAACAGAAGCTGAAGAAGTCGATCGAAGAAGCAAAGACTCTGTGCCGATCAGTTAAAGGTATACCTTACGACGTCACCCAAGCGAACATAGCTTTAGAGAAGCACAAAAAGGCATTGGAAACCTTGAAGAAGGGCAAACAATTCTTAGAGAAAATGGACACCAAAGCGCAACAGCTCATCAAGGAAACGTCTCTGATGCCTAGATTCGACTCCGATTTGATAGAAACAGACTTGACCGAGTCTCGACAGAATTATCAGGACATTTACAATGATATCAGTGAAAAATTGCAAGCATACGAGACTCAAGTGATCATCTGGAAACAGATAGAAGAATCCAAATCAGAACTAATCACATGGCTGACCAATACCAGTGACGTTTTGGCTTCTGCCAGCTCACGATTGGTAGATGCTGAGACTTGTCACGCGACCTTGGCAAGATACCGCGAAGAACTGCCAGGTTATCAGCAACTGTACCGAAATATCGTCTCGAAGATCGAGCAGTTGGTCAAACTGAACGATAACAAAGACATCCCTACATTAAACTCTTTGCACAAATTATTAGACGATCAATTCCTTATGGTCACCAATTATGCAGAGAAGCTCGAATCTCTGACGTCGACCTTGAACGAAAGAGAGAGAAATATCAGACAGGAGATGAAGAGATGCGGTGATTTAATTTCGAAGATCAGAGAGGACATCATCAAGTGTGATGATTTAACTGGCGAGAATACTAAGATTTTAGGCAGAATCAACAGGTGTCAAGAATTGAAAACAGAATTAGAACAGTGTGATTATGCCTTGTCGAAGGTCGAAGAGACCCTGACGACCATCGCCACAGAATACCAGGGTATCTTCAGATCGAGTCTGCCTAAAGAGCTTCAAGCTCTTCAGCTTCGAAGAGACGGTGTGGCCAGCCACGCGAACAAAGTGATCGCAACCTTGGTAGCATTCTTAACTAAACTCTATCACGAGAAGTTTGGAGCTCTTCAGCGTATGGTGGTGACTCTGAAAGAGAAGGTTGCTTGGTGCGAACCCGAGCAGAGCAGCGATCGTTACAATCTCGAAGTGAAAATGGCCTCACTGATGGACGTGGAGGCTGGTATCGCTGATTGTATCGCTAGAAAAGAGGACACCGACAATTCCTTGAAGCTTCTAGCGTCTGTGGAGAGCGCGGAAACGATGGAAGACTTGAAAACCGATAGGGACAAGGTCGAGGGGGACCTGGAGTCCCTGAAGTCTAGCTTCGGCAAGATTAAAAACGATCTGGAGCGAAACATTGCGCTGTGGCAGCGATACGAGCACACCTCGGAGAGCGTTTTATCATGGTTGAAGGAGAATGAGAATAAAATCAGAGCCGAGGCTTCGGCATTGCTGAACCTGGAGGACATCGAGCAGAAGATCTCAGAGATGAGCCAAGCCCAGAAAACAGTGATGGAGTATAACGCTGAATTGAAAGCACTCACTGTTCTAGCTGAAGACATCACCAAAGTCAGCTCCGAATCCAGAGTGAACCAGTACATAGTACACCTGAACACTCGTTACGACTATGTCCTGAAGTTCCTCTCCCAATACTTGGACAGGCTTAAAGAATTGAAGGACAACAGGGATCAGTATATCGCGAACAAGAAGAAACTCGAAAAATGGATCCAGAATGCAGAGAAGACTCTGAAAGCATTCGATGAAATCACTGGACCAAAGCCTATCACCTTCTACCAATCTCGTTTGAAGGAGTTGAAAGCATTTGCTGAGGAACGAGAAGTTGGCCAAGCTATACTTAATAAAACCGCTGAAGCTGGCGAAGCTCTCTTCGCCAGGATCACTCCTGATCAGAGAGAAACAATTAGAGCCGAGGTGAGGAACTTCCGCAACCGAGTGGACGCCATGGCGGATCGCGCTAACGTGATCTATAAGAAGATAGAGAGTGACATGATGCACAGATCGTCGTTCGAAGATAAATTCTCGCAGGTGAAGCAATGGCTGGTGGACGCTCAGAATAAACTGGGCGAGAAACAGGAGCTGCTACCAACCTTGCAGGAAAAGAAGTTAGCTCTTCATCTGTACAGAGCCGTGGCACAGGACGTCACTGTTCACAAAAACATTCTCCAGCAGCTTCAAGAGAGACTGAGCACAGCACCCGACGACGATGCCAGTGAAATGCTGGGGAACGTGATAGAAGCCTACGAGAAACTGTCTAACGAAGTCGAAGGAAGGATCAATATTGCAGAGAAACACGTTTCCAACCACGAAGCTTATTTCCAGACATTCGAGAAGACCCGCGACTGGATCAACACAGTCATCAACGAAGGTACACCCATCATCGAGGACTTCTCGGTGGAAAGGGACACTGCTCAGAGCAAGATCTCGGCGATCGAGAGTCTATTGCAGCAAAAAGCTGAAGGGGATCGAATCTTAGCTGACTGCAATCAGCAGATGAACATAGTTCTCGAGCAGACATCTATGCCGGGTCATTCGGCGCTGATAACGAACTTCGAGCAGCAGAGTAAGATCTGGAAGGACTTCCTGAAGAGATGCGTCATTGCCAGGGATAAATTGAAACAGATGTTCAGTCAGTGGTCCGAGTTCGAGAAGATAGTGGAAGGTCTGGAGGCTTGGATCAAGCAGATGGAGACTCAGCTGAAGGACCAGAGTCTGAAGAGCACCGAAGAAGCAAAGAGGTCTAATCTCCAGAGACTAAAATCTCTTGAAGAGAGCATCATCGCCAAAGGCAGTGAATTCAACGCCGCGATCGAGAAGAGTCAGAGCATCGAAGCTGAAGCTGATCTTGCTACCAGAGTCTCCAGGCAAACCACCAAGTACCAGGCTATCAAAAATCAAATTAAGGAAGCCGTGATGAGATACGAGCAATTCGTGAAGGAACACCATACATTCAACACGAAGTACGATCAATTATTGCAATGGATCACTGATATCCAGTCAGAGCTGAAGAAGCACAGTGAAATCGTGGGTGATCTATCGGTCTTACAGAGCAGACAGAAGCTTGTTCGCGACCTCGGTGACACTAGGACGAAGGAGAACGCTCGTTTCGAGTCTGTGATCGATCTAGGAGAGAAATTATACGTCCACACGTCTCCTGATGGTCGAGAGATCATCAGACAACAGTTAAGAAATTTAAGAACCTTGTGGGACGGATTCTCCGAAGAGCTCCAGAACACCACACAGAAGTTGGACCAGTGCTTAATGCAATTCGCAGAATTCTCCTTGTCTCACGAGCAACTAACTGCCTGGCTTCGGGATGTCGAACGAGCCATGCATCAGCACACTGAATTGAAGTGCACTTTGGAAGAGAAACGAGCACAGCTTCAGAATCACAAGATCATGCATCAGGAGATCATGTCCCATCAGTCCCTCGTTGAGAATGTTTGCGACAAGGCTCAGCAATTGGTCGATCAGACCAAGGACACGTCTCTGAACGTCTTCCTACCTTCCATCAAACAGCTGTTCCATAATATCGTGGCTAAGTCGAAGGATTTATTGGAGAATTTAGAGGACTGCGTGGAGAAACATCATCGTTTCAATCTCCAGGTGAAGAGTTTCTCGGATTGGTTAAATGGAGAACGAGAGAAGCTTGCAGAGTGCAATGACATCACTGGAGAACGTACGGATATCACTCGAAGGCTTGCTACTTTGGCGGGTTTGAAGGACGATCAGATGCAGGGAGCAGAATACCTGGAGAAATTAAAAGAACTCAGCGACATTGTGATCAAAAGAACCGCGCCTAAGGGTTGGGACACTATTAATAAGGAGATTAGCGTTTTGGAGAGCAATCTTCGTCAATACTTGAGCGAAATAGGTAAGTATCCTTCAACTTTGAATGATTCTTCTAGTACGAATACCAAAAGAAATCATTTGTTCCTATATTATACAGAATCAGTGGAGGAGAAGCAAAAAGCAGCCTTGCAAAAATGGCAGGACTTTGAAGATAAATTGGAGGCACACACAAAGTGGTTCTGTGCCATGGAAGCTGCGTTCAGAGACCAGCAATTGCAACCCACTTTACAGGACAAGGAAGCTCGTTTGCAGACTTTGAAAGAGAAACGCGACGCCATACTGAAAGAAGAATCCAAGATTGATGAGTTTGTCGACAAGTCTCATAGTTTGCTCCATGCCAGTGGTGTTGATCGTATAAAACCTCTGATCTCCCAAATTAGCAAGAGGTTAATTACAAACTCTCTAACTTCATTGTTGATGCAATGGTCAGGGGTAGAAAGGTAAAATTTAAATCTTCAATTTCAGATACCAATTGTTACACGTCCTCAGTAAAGAAGTAGTCACTCGATGTCAAACCATCGTGGATGACCACCGTGCCTACGAAGAAAAATTGAAGGTCATCGATGCCTGGCTCACTCAGTTGGAGCAAAGTTTAGCCAGCCTGAAGAAGGAGGAAGCTGGTGGGAACTTGGAAGAGAAGGTTTCCCGTCTGCAGATCCTGCTCGCTGAAAAGGAGCAAGGTGAACATCGACTGGGAGGTCTGATATCTTTTGGAGAAAGAATCCTAGCTGATACATCGGCTCAGGGACGAGAACTGATTCGTCATGAATTGAGACAAGCTCGAGAACGATGGGACAAGCTGGTGGAAGGAATAGCTGAGCAACAGAAGAAACAGGATGCTCAGTCTTTGCAATGGTCCAATTATCAAGAGACTCTGCAACAAATTCTGGCCTGGTTGGACACTATGGAGAGGTCTGTGAAACAGGACTCCTCGATCATCTGGTCGTCTCTTCAGGAAATTAAATCGAAGTTGCTGAAGAGCAAGGTAATTCTATTTTTCATAAAATGATCAGAAAATTTTTTAGATGGGCAGTGTTTATTTTCTGAAGAAAATAATATTGAGAGTTTTGAAGGTTTCACGATTTGATCTGATTAATAGATGAAGAAACATTTTCTTCTTCTAGGGAATGCATCAAGAAATCTTGGCATACAAACGTATCATCGAAGGAGTCTCTGAGAAAGCCAATGCTCTGTCTTACACAGCTCAAGCACCATCTGACGCTCAACAGAAAGCTGCCTCCGTTTCCGGTCGATACGATGACCTGGTTGAGATGTCCCAGAAAAATATATCCAATTTGGAGACTCTTCTAGACACGTTCCAACAATTCTACGACCTTCAGAAATCCTATCAGGATTATCAGAAACAGCAATGGGAACAGTTGGCCAATTACAGTGATTACACAGGAAACAAGGCTGCTCTTCAAGCTCAGTTGGCTAAGATCATGGAACTTCAAGATGGTCAAAGAGAAGGAGAATTGAAATTAAACATCCTCAGTGAACACGTAGCACAGAGTGCTCATAATTTATCCCCTAGATCATTAGAATCCATGGAAAGAGACCTGGCTACGTTAAGGTAAGAAAAATGAAATTCTGTAAAGAAAATTGTTAATCATTTTTCTATGAATTCTAAATTCATTTTTGGAACAGATTCGAGCAGAAGAAGTTTGCTACTGCGGTGAACGATATTATTCGGTGCATCGAAGAGAGAATCCAACAATGGAGCGAGTATGAGAATTCTTTAGAGAGATTGTTAGCCTGGTTGACTGATGCAGAGTCTTCTTTGAAGAATTATTCGTTGAAGAATACTTTGGATGAGAAACAGGAACAGCTTGAAAAATATCAGGTAATATTTTAATTAAAAAGAAGAAATTATTAGTGCACACCTTACGTTCCGTTCTTTTTTTCGCTTCTTTTTAAGAATACTTTGTTGAACCCTTTTTTTGTTTCCTATGGGGATTATTTAATACTGTTTTACCAATATTTTACGAAATAATAAAGGATTACATAAATTTTCAAAGAGTTAAGGCATACTTAGTTTAAATTGTGGAGAGCTGCTGCAATTCTCATAATCTGAAAAAGGGTTAAATATAAAATTCCACCCCCAAATACATAATATAATGTGAGGTAGCGTATTTGAATTTATTAAGAAGAGGAAAAGATACGAGAGAGAGATGAGGTTGTCGTTAAATTCAGGCATTGTATTTGGAAAACTTTCTTAGGCACTACAAAAAACTGCCTTGTCGTGGGACACGGAAGTGACGGAACTGGTGGCCCTCGGCGACCACCTGGATCAAGTAAGAATAAAATCAATCCTGAAAACTCTTCAGCAAGGCGTGGATGCTTTCTTTTCTACGAATCTCTCATTACTGTCCCCTTCTCGCGTTCTCCTTTCATCTTTCTTTGCACTGTATCTCTCTGTTATCTTCTTTCTTCTATTCTTTTCTTATTTCAGTGTGATTTGTACATGAAGATATTCAATGTACTTAATTGGAAAGTTGTTGACAGATTTCGGAAGACTTGTTACACACCTCTCACACTGTTATACTTACATTTTCTGAAATTTCACAAGCGTCTTAACACGTACTCAAGGATTTCAATCGTTTCTACTTCGATGCACGCAGACCTGTTGTTTCAAGCATGCTTGATCGAAGAATCGTGTTTCAACCTGTCGATTGATTGAATTCATACTGACTAGGGAACGTTGTTTTTTACCATTATACATACAAGAACACAACATGTACATAAAACAAGTTCAATGTCAAGGTGTTTTCATAGGGACAGAAAATGACCTAATTTGCTCAGTGCATTATATGAAACAAGTGGTGCATCCTAAATAAATGTACTTTACACCTAAAGATATCTTTTATTCATAGATATTGATCGTGAATCTCCGGCAAAACGAGGCTGAATTCGACAAAATGAGTGATGAATCATCAGAACTGATGCAAATCAGTGGTGAAACCAGGTTCTCTGCCAGTGTCCAGCAAATCACCTCTCGTTTCCAGTCCATCCAAGCAACTGCTAAGGTAAACTAACAAAAACTTACCTCTTTCATCATCCACTCTAGCATTGATCAGTTCAAATAAAGAGCCTGTGAATTTGCATCCTTTGAATTATAGGAACTGGTGAAGAAATGCGAACAAGCAGTGGCAGACCACGCAGCCTACCTAGAACGCTACAAACAATGCTCAGAATGGCTAGCAAACACACGAGTCACCTATCAGTCCATCAAAGAAGACATCAGTGGCACTCGTCTAGAACTCTCCTCGAACGTGGCAACCCTGAAGGATCTTCTAGCCCGCCAATCCTCTGCAACTCTCCTCATAAACAACACAGTGGAAGCTGGAGAGCGATTGTACCCTACGACAGGCATGGAAGGCAGAGAAATCGTTCGTCAGCAACTCTTAGATCTTCAGCAAGCCTTCGAGGAACTGTACGACGGCGTAGCCTCGACCGAACGTGAATTACAATCCAAGATCTCACGATGGTCAGGTTTCGACGATTCCAACGAGGCATTCGAGAAGTGGCTGAAGACAATCGAGGCTCAACTGAAACCAGAAATAGAATTGAAGACCACACTGGACGAGAAACGAGCCCAGTTGCAAATTTATCGCACGTTCTTGCACGACGTACAGTCTCATCAACAAGACCTACTCGATCTTCGCGACAAGGTTGACAATCTTCCCGATTCCACCGACAAGGTGCATCAAACTCTGAAGAAACTGAACGACAGACACGCTACAGTGTTGAAACGAGCCGCTGCGTTCGTTGAAAGGTACGAAGGCATCGTCAGTGATCATCAACAATACAGCAAGGCTGTTTTAGACACCCACGAATGGTTAGACGCGACCCACAATGCGGTTATCCTTTGGGGTGACACAGAACTTGAGCGAGTGTCTCTTCACACGAATCTTGATCGTCTGAAGAACCTTCTTCAGAGTCTACCCGAGGACAAACCAAGGGTTCAGCAAATAAGGACACTGGGAGAGAAGGTGATCCCAGGTACTTTGGAGTCGGGTCAGATTAACATTCGTTCACAGATAGATTCGTCTCAACAAGAATGGGAAAGCTTGGTCACAGCTGTGAAGTCCACTATCGAGACTCTGGAGAACAAACTTCAGCAATGGAACGAGTTTGAGACGTCCAAGGAGAGGTGTCTTGCCTGGATGAGGGAAACCGACACGAAGCTTCACGCTGTCGACTTGAAGCCCACTTTGCAGGAGAAGAAGGAGCAACTTGAGTTCCTCCGTACTCTTCAGGGTCAAGTTCGCGCGAAAGAATTGGAGATCGACGCAGTCACAGAGAAGGCTCAACAACTTCACAAGAACATAACTTCTCGTACTACCCACATGTCAGAACTGAGCATCAAGTATCAGCAGATCTCGAACAAGGTCAAGGACTTGAACAGTCGCTGGCATCAGTATGTCACTACCCATCAGGAATTCGACAACCAGATGGCAGAGTGTACCAGATGGTTGGACGACATCAGAAAGAAACTGGCTTACTGCTCAGACTTGGGTGCATCCTCGCAGAAGGACCTGGAGAACAAAATGGAAATTGTTCAGGATCTGTTGCTTTACAAAGAGGATGGTTTCGCGAAGGTTCAAGGAATCGTAGAGCTAGCGCAGGCTGTCTTAGCGAACACTGCACCGACTGGGCACAAAGCCATCAACGATGCTGTTGGAAAGCTTCAGGAACAGTGGAGCGCTTTGGCATCGAAGATGTTGGAGACCAAGACCAACCTGGACGACTCTATCAACAAGTGGGCTGGTCTTTTGGAGCAAATACAATCCATGAATAAGACAGTGGACTACATGGAGACGGCCTTGAACGAATTCATACCCTTCCAAACAACCATGTCCGAGAAGAGGTGCCAGTTGGAACGTATAAAAGCTCTTGAAGAGAAGGTCCGATGCGAGAACATAGAAGTGGACAGTCTGAAGATCAAGGTCGCTGAGATGATCGCAAGTGGACCTCAAGGCTTAGCAGCATCACAGGCCCAGAGTATCTTAAATAGATTCGATACATTGTTTGAGAAAATTAAATCATTGCTGGTGGAAAGAGAAGAACAGTACAAGGATCATCGACTATACAAGGGAGCTCACGATGACATAATTAACTGGTTGAGTCGTGCTAGAGAAAAGATCGCATCTATGAAACAGAGACCTTTGAGCGATAAATTGGCTATCGAGAACGCGGTCGCTCCTTTAGAAAGCTTGTTGAATAAGAAGGCCCAGGGAGAGTTGCTGGTGGAACAACTTCAGCATACTGAGAAGGTCGCCAGCGCCAGTACCAGTCCTCAGGGTCAAGAAATCCTGAAGAAGGAGGTCCGAGCTTTGACCCAGAGTTTCGAGGAATTGTTCAGAGGTAAGGGGATTATTTTAATATTATTTTAATTTAATTAACTCACGTTCACACTGGTACTCGCGAACTTTATTTCCAGAAATCAAGCAGCAGAAGGACAAACTGGAACAAACCGTCAGTCAATGGCGCGATTACAAAGACGAATACGAAAGACTAAGCGATTGGTTGCAACAGTTCGACATTCTCATTAAGGCACAGAAGAACTCCCTGTTACCAAACGTGAAGGAGAAAGAGAAGCAGGTGCAGGAAGTGAAGGAGATACTGGAGAACCTGCTCAAAGGCCAAGAGCAGATCGATAGGTTCAATAAGACAGCCTCGGGTCTGCTCTCCTCTCACCTGGACACTTACATAAACAACCAGCTGCGTCTTTTGAACTCACGATACCAGGTTCAAGTGAATCTTGCCAAAGACGTGTTAAACAAAGTGGAGACAAATTTGGCCCAGCACAAAGAGTACGAGGCTAACTTGGCGAAGACACGTGCATGGATAGAAAACGCGAAGCAGATCATTCGGAAAGGAACGGAAGCTGCCTCTACCAGTAGTCGCGAAGAATTACAAAACAGACTGGATAATATTCAAGAGTTGCTGAGGAAGCGAGAGGAGGGTCAGAACCTGGTACACCTAACTGTGAATTGTGGCGAGAAGGTGATGAGGAACACCAGGTCAGATGGTCGCGAAGAGATCAACGCGCAGTTGAAGGAGATCCAGAACGACTGGGAGAGACTAGTGAAGAAGATTTCGACCACCAAGGTCCATTTGGAGACCAGTTTGCTCCAATGGGCAGACTACAGCTCGTCTTATTTACAACTTCAGCAATGGATCAACGACAGAGAAGCAAAGTTACAGCAGGTTGCGACCAGGAAAGGTCTAGCTGGACTGAGTTCCTTGGCCATTGGCGAAAGGAAGGCGAACCTGAGGCAGACCAACAGTATCGTCCAGGACATCGTAGCCTTTGAACCCATGATACAATCTGTCACTACTAAAGCGGAGGATCTTCGGCAGGCTACACCAGCCACCGAGATCTCGATTAAATACAAGACCCTGAGCAAACAGGCGCAAGAATTATACGCGAAACAGAAGGAGACTGTTGAGCAACATCAATCCTTCATCGACAGTGGCAACGAGTTCATTCAATGGATACGAGCAGCTAAAGAGAGACTTGGGAAGTATTCAGAACCCACAGGTGACAAGGAGTGTCTGGCGAATAAGATCACTCAGTTAAAGGTTCTCCAAAGCGAGTTACCAGAGGGTCAGAAGAAGCTGCAGCATGCATTGGAACAAGGAAACGCTGCTTGCCAGATCGCTGACGAAGAAGACAAAGAAATAATTGAAGAGAAAGTAGCGTTGTTGCAGGAAGAGTACGATAGCTACGTGTAAGTAGAAGATATTGGTAAATCTTTGGTGTCTAATGAAAATCACATTGCTAAGATACGTTTTTTATTATAGGGATTCGTTGAACCATACGAAGAGCTTATTAGAAGAAGGCATCGTGCTATGGACTGTATACGAAGATCAATTCTCCGAGGCAACCGAATGGCTCACTCAGACTGAACAGCTGGTGCAATCCTTCAACAAGTTACAGGATAGCTTGGAGGAGAAGAAGAATGTCCTTGAACAATTCCAGATTCACCTGCAGACGTTGTTCGACTGGCAGAAGGAGCTCGATGCTTTGAACATGAAAGCTCAGATACTGTTGGACACCTGTGCTGATACCAGGGTCTCCAATGCTATCACCCAATTTACCACCAAGTACAATGCACTTTTGTCTCTGGCCAAGGAGATAATGAGACGATTGGAGCTACATTACCAGGTATTGGATTCGAACTAATAAAGATTCTGCCTCTGACACTCCTGCTTCTACAATTCTTCCTTCGTTGAAATAAAACCACCCGCATCCCTTCATTTTCAGGAACACCAACAGCACAATACCCTGTACCAAGAGTGCCAGGACTGGATCGAGCGAACTCGAGACAAACTAAGCGAATGCAAAGAGATTCCAAGTACCTTAACCGAAGTGAACAATAAATTACACACCTGCAAAGCCATCAGACAGTCCCTGGAGCAAGGTCAAAACAAACTGCGTTACGCTCTTGAGCTAAAGGAAAAAGTAATCATGAATACGGAGCAAAATGGAGCAGCGAAGATTCAGGAAGACACAGAGAACCTGAAGACAGAGTTCGAGAAATTGCTGGTGAATGTAGAGGACATCAGACAGAAACTCGCAGCAAGGGCAACCGCGTTGGAGGAGCTGAATAAGATCCATCGACTCACTACCGATTGGATCGAGGAGATCGAGGGCAAGATCCAACCGGGTGAAATGTATAAGAATGATCTGAGCGAGAAAAAAGCGGTTTTGGAGAAGTATAAGACAGTGCAGAGAGATATTCAAGGACACGGTGAAACAGTGGATCGTTTGAAGGCTCGTCTTGCTGAAGACTCCAGCATACCAGTTGGTCCTTACCAATCTACCATCGCGAAATACGATGAATTGAATAAACTGATCGCTGAGAAAATAAAGGTAGGTATTCTGTGCTTGTTTCTGTTCATTTTTAAACTTCATTCGCGATTATTAAATTCTTTAGAACCTGGAGGAGCAAGTGAACGACCATGAAAAGTTCCAACAAGCCCACAACGAGGCAGCCGACTGGGTTCGACACACAAAGCTGGAATTGCAACAAAACTGCGACACCCATGGTGAAAAGGATCGAATCATCGAAAGGGAGAACAAAGTGAACCAAATCATCGCTTCCCTTCCCAAAGGAGAAAATCTGATCTCTAAAGTGATCCAACTAAGCGACGCTGTAATTGCTAGCACCGGTCCGGAAGGCCAGGAGACCATAAAACAGGATGTGAAACAGTTGCAAGCAAACTGGAAATCCTTGCAAGCACAGTGTCACGAGTCGCAGAAGACCTTGTCCAATTGCATCTCCAGTTGGTCTCAATTCACAGCTGCGTTGGACAGTATGAAGAGATGGATAGATCACTTCCAGAAGAAGGTGAACGACGAACAGGCGAAGGAGAACAAGACTCCAGAAGACCTGGTTCGTTGTAAGAGTCTTGTAGAAGAAGCTATCCAACAGAAGCCTGTTCTGGAGGATTTGAATGATAAATGCGAAGCTCTGTTGGAAATGAGTGCCTGCAGTTGGGCTCGTGACAAGACTGTCCAACTGCAGTCTGCGTATACATCTTTGCTGACGGATATGCAAGGTCTGGTTTCCCGGGTGGAGAAGAATCTTTCTGATCATACAGAGTTCCTAAAAGCGAAGAAGGAAATGGAAGAGTGGTTACGTATTGCACGAGGGTCGGTGCAGGACTGCATGGGTGTTGGAGACGTTGAATGGGCGAAAGACAAATTGGAGACCATTAAAGTGAGTTCTTTCTTGATATTTTTATGGGAATTTTTAATTAAACAATTCTTCGCAGTCATCCAAATTCTACCTCAGCGATTTTTTTAAAATTATTATTATCCATTTCTTTCATAGATCGTTGCAACGAGGATCACAGAGGGCCAACACTTACTCTCAACCCTCCAAGATGCATTCACAAAAGCAATCGACACCGCAGTCCCAGAGCAACAGGAGCAATTAAGATCAGACATGGCCGGCCTCCTCTCAAGCTGGGAACAATTAAGCATCGACCTGAACACAGTTCAAGCGCAGCTGAAATCCTTACTGAATCGCTGGGAAGATCACAGCGAGGCCCATGGAAAATTGAAACGTTGGTTGGAAGTAACAGAGAAGAGTATCCAAGAGCTGCCAGACACGAAGGGAGAATTTGGCGACATGAAGACGTTATTGGAACGTTATGGGCATATCAAAGAAGAGGTCCGAAAGAAGAAGTCCGAGTTGGATCATCTGATGGAAGAAGCCGAAGAATTATCAAAATTGGCAAAGAAGAACACACCTCTGGAACAAACGAAAGAATTGCTGAATCGTTGGCAAAGTTTAAGCAGCACCGTCGACGAAAGAGAGAAACTGATCGAGAATGAGATACAAGAGTACAACGCTTACCAGGCAGCCTTGCAAGAGACCGGAAGTTGGTTGTTGCTGATATCCTTCCGACTGATGGGCCACAATTCGCTGTACATTACTAACAAAGAGCAAACGGTCTCGCAAATTCAGCAACACGAGAATTTACTTGTCGAAATCGAGAACTACGCGAGTGTACTCGACGACCTGAAGCTGAAAGGAAACGGGCAGATCACTCGTTACGTGGCTGCGAACCCGGAAATCAAAACCATCATCGAAACCCAGCTGCAAAATATGCAAGAGAGTTACAATTCTCTACTGAACACCGCGTTGCAGATCAAGAAACGATTAGCCGAGTCTCTAGTGAAATTCCAAGAGTACGAGAACACTTTGGAGAGCATCATGAAGAACCTGGACGCGTACGAGCCTGAAATCGCCCAGGAAATGGAAGCGCCGTTGGATACTCTTGAAATGGCGAAACAGCGATTCGAAACAGCGCGGACCTTGCACAATAAGCTTCAAGGCGAGAAGACGCGATTAGCTTTGGCGGTGGAAGCTTGCGAAGCCGCGGTTGCGTGCGTGTCCAGACCAGGAAGTCCTCTGGATGCTCCAGCTGTGCAAATCCCAGCGAGGGAGGTGGAGGTTCGAAATAAACTTGAGGAATTGATCGACCAAGCGCAAGGACATCTGATGAACGTCACCAAGTCTCTGCACGATCTCGAAGAGCAGACCCGACAGAAAAACGTCCTTCGAGCTTGGATAAATCAGCAACGAGCTTTGTGCGCCGAATGGAAGTCTCGGCCAGCGAAATTGCGTTCCGAAGCCGCGCACGCTGAATTGCAGGCGATGAACGATCTTCTGGGGAACGTTGGCGAACGCAGAACGCACGCGTTGACCGAGCTGTCCCTCCACGAAGGCGATCACGACATCGAGGAAGGTCTGAACAAACTTGAATCGGAATTGACCGATGCCATAGCTGGAAAACAAGCTGCTCAGGATTTAATTCAAAAGTATCGCTCGCAAGTGCAAACTGTTCAATCCTGGTTGGACGCGTTGTCGAAGAAGGTGGACGTGATCGAGAAAGGCAACGGACAGACGATCGGACAGAAGATATCGAGTGTGAAAGAGATCACAGCTGAGTTTGAATCTCAAGGACCTGGGAAGTTGAACGAGGTGAAGAGCCTCGGTGATCAAGTGATGGATTCCGTGAGCAACCTGGATTCTCAGCAAATCGAGGAACAGATTAAATCGGTGGAGAGAAGATACGCTGATATCGCTAAGAAGCTGCAGAGAAAGGGACAGGTGCTGGACATGACGGCTCAGGGTATAGAAGCGACAAGACAAGAAATTGAAGAGAACAGAGATTGGATACAGCAGAAGAAAGAACAGGTTCAATTGTCGGAACCAGTGGGATATGATAGCAAACAGGCTGAAGAGAGACTCCTGGCTCTGAAGGTATTTTGATAAAAAATTTAATTTATCAAATCTTTGCTAACTGAAAATTTAAATTTCTCTTCTATTTTTCTAGATATTATTTTATCCAGCACATTTGTTTGGAAATTCAAGCGAGCTTATATGTTTCAGGCGATGCTGAAGGAAGCTGAAGGAAAGCAGCTGGTGATCGACACCTTGGAGAAACGAGTTGGAAACATGCAAAACGAACTGGAAACCAACGAGCAGCAGCAATTGGAGAACGAGACGAAAGCTCTGCGCGGAGAACAGGCACAACTCTGCACCCTGTTAACCGAAGGAATTTCTACAGCTACCGCTGCTGCTGATGCTCGTCGCAAATTCGAAGCTGATTTGGAACGTGCCCGAGCTTGGATCAAGTCTAAGAGCAACAACCTGAAGAAACTCAGCGGTTACTTACCTCTGAAGGCTGCGAAAGTGGAGCAAGATATCGTGCAGCACAATGAATTGGAATCGGATATCGATTCCTTCAGCGAGAAAGATCTAAATGATATTTTGAAGCATGGACATAATTTGCTGAAGGAATGCAACGACGATGATCGAGCTAAATTAGAAGGTGTCTTGAACGAATTGAATAAGGACTACGATGAGCTGAAGAGCGAAGCTCGTGAGAAACAGGCAGCATTGGCGGACCTTCTTCAGGGTCGCAAAGCATTCGAGAGTGAAATGGATAAATGTAAGAGATGGGTTAACGAGGCTGAAGTAGCTATTTCTTCGGATCTACGAACGTCCAGTATTGATATTCTGCGAGAACAACTTGCTAAGGTAATTTGTTAAAAGAATTTTTCATTCGAGTGCTAATTAGATTTTAATGTCCATCGATAATTAACTAATTTCTCCTTATGATTCTAGTACGACCGTCTGAAGAAGGAAGCCAAGGACTACGCAGACGACATCGAGAAGATCCTTCAACAAGGAAAATCCATCCTGCCAACAGTAAGCGACGCTGACAAGTTAGAATTAAACGAACAGCTTCAGAACATGAAGGAAGCACACGGCAGAGTAGCTGGAATCATAAACGAAAGAGCTGTCGCTCTTCAAAAGAGCATCGACGAAGCTGAAGAATCATTGGCACGAGTAGCCGAGGCAGTACAGTACATGACCGACGTACAGAAAGAACTTCACGAACTTAATAAACCGATTGGTTCTCGCGTCGAAGACGTCGAAGCCATGTTAGATGCTTATGAAAGGATCTTGAACGATCTGAAAGGGAATAAGGCGAAACTGTCTGATTTACAATCGGTCAATGTTGCTGATCTTCATGGTGTGTTGACGCAACAGGATGATCTTATAAAAGCCATCGAGTCTCAGATCGCTAAACTTCGTCAATTACTTTTATTGAGGCAGCAATTTATCGCTTTGATTACCGAAATTACCACCTTCATTGCTAAATATACAGAGATTGTCAGGGACATTGAGAACTCTGGGCAAACCATAGAAGAAAAGATTAAAAGGTACTATTTCATTTTATTTTAATTACAATAATTTCCAAAAAAATTCAACACTTTCATTTCATTTCTTTGTTCAGGTACGACGATGCGATTTTGAAGATTCAAGAATGCGAAGCCACCCTCGCCAGTGCAACAGACAAAGGCCAGCAAATCGCGGCGGAAGGTTCCACTGCAGATAGAAACAACATAACAGAACAATTGCAATCATTGAAACAACAGCTTCAGGGTCTAAGAAGAGCTGTGGAGACTCAGAGAGAGCAACACGAGTTGGCTGCAGCAGAGCACAAGAGACTAGCGAATGAATTAGCTGAGATTCTTGATTGGTTGGAGGATAAAGAGAAGGAAGTAAAATCCAGACCACTTCTAGAAAGAGATCCAACCAGTGTCGAAGCTGAACTGAAGAAGCATAACGAGCTTTGCGAGGCTGTTAATGAACATCTAGATAGAATCAGAAATCTAAAGAATTCTATGCCTTACGAAGAAGGTATGCCTGGGTCGTTGAAAGAGATGCTTAGCGAAGCTGTTTCTCTGTTGTCGTCTTTGCCAAGGGAAATGGAGGAACGTGGCAATTATTTGGAAAGTAACATGAAAATGCGACAGGAATATGCTGCGTTGACTGATAAGCTTCGAAACTGGGTTCGTGAAGCGGAGATCCGGTTGGAAAGCGACAAGGATGGGCTCGATTTTGAGAATATTCTCAGTGATCTTGAGGAACACAAGGTTTGTATAATCAGTATTTAATATTCGAATTACTCCTAATCCCCATAATTAATAAAAAGGATCCAAGTTCAATTTTCTATAATCCAATCTCTGCTTCCTATATCTCTAAATAAATGAAACATCATAACATTCCAGCATCATTTAATTTAATTTGCAGATTTACTTCAGCAGCGAGCCCTCCATTCGCGAATTAGTGTCTCAACAGATCCAACAAGCAGCCGACAAAATCTGGCCATCTCTGAACACCTCCGAGCAAGAAGAGCTGAGCGCGGAACAACAGCAGCACACTCAGTTGTTGAAGAACACTTTGAACACTGCTAAATCACATCGTGCGAGACTGGAACAAGGTGCTGAAACGTGGAAGGATTACACGCAAACTTTGGAACGTGTTCGTGCTGTCATCGCAAGAACAAGATTCACTGATGAACCTGTCACCACACTAGCTGGATTGCAATTCAATATTCAGAAAATCACGCACGCTCTAAACGACATACAAGTGTGTATACAATCATCGTTTCGTTTTTACCACGACGAGTATGGAAATTTAATGGTTTCTTTATGTTTTATTTTATTAGAATCAACAATTCGAATTGGATCTCCTAAACGAACGCAGTCGCGAGGTGCTTCGTTTGGCTGATGATAACAATAAAAAGACTATAGAAGAGCAAATATCGGAGATCAGTTCTGAATGGAAAAAATTGGTGTCTGGATTAGAAGGTCGTAGAGATGCTTTGGAAGCATTGTCGAAACATTGGGAAGACTTGGAAACGCAATGGTCCCTCATTGAAACTCGTGTAAACGCGATTGAGGAAAAGAGTAGACTTTTGGACACTGTGATTCGGTCGAAGCAGAGCTTGCTCGATACCATCAAAGCTCTACGTGTAAGTATTTTTGTAGAATTATTTATTGACATAATTTTCAATTGAAACGATCACAGTTTGGATTAATAAAAAAATTTATCATTTTTTGGTCATTCTATGACAGAATCAAAACTATTTTGGATGATTTATGACATAAACTTATTTCTAATTAAAAATTTCATTTTTTGTATTACATAGGAGTTAGTGACAGAAGCTGAGAAGCTGAAACCATTGACAGAGGAGGTGAAAGCCCTGACAGGACCTGTTCTAGCATATCTGGCTGCTTTCACAGAAGCCGCAGCACTCGCACTCGAAGAGAAACTGAAGAAATTGCAGAATTCCGTCGAATCGTGAGTGAAAATGCATTTTTGTTGTTGGTTTTTTTGTGGTATTATGAAAGCACCGCTGAAGACACTACACTGGTGTCACAGTTACTTAGAAATGATTTATGCACTTTATTCGCGAACGCGTTTCTTTTTAAATTAAAATCAATTCCATATAAGTTTATTTTTATATAAGCAATAATTCATATTTTGCATTTATTTTTTAATTTAAAATAATTTTCGTTTTGAGCACAATTTCATTTTATAGACCTTAGATAATATTGCAATAATTCTTCTTAAAAAGACTTAATAGATTTTACAAATATATTTAAAAAATTGCTAGTAGATTATAAATAATAAGTTTGCATTCCAGTCGATCATCTTTTATATATATATAATCTTTTCATCGTTACCTAAGAATATTGTTAAAGGGAAATGAATATTCAAGATTCTACCACAATGATCAGTGGAATCATCAAGAAATCATGCGGTGCAATTTTGTGCATTTTCAACGCATGTGCATGGGTGTATGCTGCTTATTGCACATTACCATCTTCTTCAAAGATGGTAATATCCGCTTTTCCCACCACCCCTTTATAAATTTTGTTTCAGGCTCTCTTCGCATCGATAATTTAATCACAATATACTATTCTCTTTTTATATAATTTTTTCAGCAAATATTTTTACAGGCACGACACATTGTCAATTATAATTTCATATTTCTTCTCTGTTAAAAATTTATTAGATCATCTTACGCACGCCGTTCTCTTTTCGTTATCAAGGTTTCACGTAGTCCTCGTTTCAGAATGTCAAAATCTTTTTATAGGAAGTTTATGTTGCGAGGAAGAAAAAAAAAGAATTTGGGAGAAATGATAAATAAGCAGTGTGGTTTCTCGACGAGAGTAGATTCCTTACGTGTTACGACATATATCGATTTAGCATGCATTACGTGTCTTACCTCGTTCCATCATAGCCAAATTAATCCCATGACGTAATTAGGCCTTGCAAATCATTATTGCACCGTCTATCCTACTATACCGCGTCACGAAATTAATAATCATAAACGAATTGAAATAAACCGGTTAGCCTATGCGATAATCGCTCGAAACAGATGCTATCAATCAAAATCACAATTTCTTAAACACTACATTTTCTTCACTTTGAATTTTACTATTATAATATCTTTTCAAAATTTGACAAATTCTGCCTGTCACAGTAGTAAAGGCCATGCATAACCAGACATGTTATAATTAGAATTACAATTTTTAATTAATTTCAAATTAAAATTTTCCCTCGCTACTTTGCATAAATGATATAATTTATTCAAAAAGATAAATTAACATTACACAACATGATTCTTTAAATATTTATTCAAGAATGAAATAATGAAATAAAAATAAAAATCAAATGAAAATTAGATTCGATAAAGAAGATCTTGCATCTGCATCGTTTATATATACACACAGAAGATTACTGTTTGTAAACAGCGTTGAATGATTGCGCAACCCGTTGCTCGAATTATTCGTCTGTTCTACGGGTCATTAATCGGGCATCATTAGATAATCCAAGGTTCTCCGCATTCCCGATCGATCGAACGATCGCACGTGAAAAACGAGGATTGCTAACGTCATCGCGAACACGCGAGGAGATTACGTTCCTGTTCGGGGTGCATTCGCGAATTTCATCCCCCGACGTATCGCCAGGGGGTACCACAGTCCGTTTGTCGATCGAATTCGCAACTAAATATAGATTTGACGAAGAAAAGTGGCGGCACGTTGGCCCGCTTCTGAATTTCATGGCGTAATATCCGCGGCCGGTTACACGCCAGTCACCATTTGTACGCGGCACGGTGCACTGGAAATAAAGTATGACGAGTGCGGTTCAACCGAAGACGTCACCGTCACGTTGTTGCCACGATTCGTTTGTTAAACAATCGTCAGACGCGATAAGGATATCGTAGAACACGTTTCTAGGCGAAAGCTTTCCAAGTGTACGATCGAGTGCAGTAGTGATTTTCGAAAGAATTCGAGGAAAAATTCATAATTACAGTAATTTCAATTATCAATTAAGGCTATCGCGTAAAGTTGACGATTGAAATCCACGTGAAACCTATTCGCGTAATTGAAGTAATCGCGAATTCAAAGTAAAACTTAATCACTTCGAGTGCTGATAATTCGTGCGCGGTTGAATATAATCACGGTTCTCGTGGAAATCCAAATCCATGTGAATTCTATTCCGCGTATTTGGTGTAATTGTGGTACAATTAAACTACATACCTATGATTTTGAAATAAGACTTCGTCTAGATTCGACGATTCCCCTGGTTAAATTGAATCGCGGTGTCAAAGGAAGAGAAAATTCGTTTCTCTGTGAAACCTACTCGCGTAGTTGGATCAATCGCAATTTCTAAATAAGACTTCTGCGCGTGAACTTGATGAAATAGGATAGAATCAAATCGTGCTTTCGAAGGAACATCAAACAGAACCTGCTTTGTGTTGAATTCAAATATCCAAGTGCAGTTTCAATAGTGATTTGAAAAAGAGCAATCGTGTTTTCTTTTCTTTTTCAAGGATATCTTTGAATATTAATTTGTTTGGTGTTGAAACGAAGTTAATTAAGTGTCTGACGAATCTTTCGGGTCGGATTGTGCAAGAGTTGAGAAGTCTACGACGTAGACGGCGGTTCCTGTCATCAACGAACGCGGAATGTCGATTGATAGTACGTAACAATGAAATTTTCATCGATGTTTCACAGTTTATTGGGTTAACGGGATTGCACGCGGTTATTGGCTTAAATATTATGACCGTAAGGAGACGGGGGTGGTCTCTATCATCAATCGATACCGAAGTAGTACGGTGTAACGTGTTTCGTAGCAGCACGTGTGCGCGGTGATATCTAACCAGCCCTAATTTCCTGAGGGTTGATCAATTTTTCAACATTTTCACCCGAGTCGTAGTGGCACAATTTGTATTCAGACAGATGGTATCGATCGTAATGCGTCTGTTTGTAACAGCACCGGCAACGTGTCCGCAGTTTCATTCTTCTGCGTCGTTGCTACAAGTAACAACCCCTTTTCATCGATTCTTAAAAAAATTATTTATTCCATTGATTTCTGGGAATAAAATTTTCATCAATTTATACATTTTATCAAATAGCAATGCTAACGAAAGTTTTGAATTCTTAGGATTTCTTCGAATATTTCTGCCTAAATCAAACGTTTGAGAAATTTATAATTCAAATCTGACGCGGAGAAAGAAATTGAAAGGGTGATCTGGAAAGAGGGCGAGCGGATCTTCTTTCGCAACGTTGCAACATCGACTGTAACCTCTCTTCGTTTCACCCTGCCGAGGAAGCTGAAAGAAAAAGAAAAAGAAAAATTCGACGGCAAAGATCTTGGAGCCAATGAACTCGCGCGGAAGTTGCAACTCGCCGGCGCGATGAACAGCCGATGTGTATTTTATTCTTAGGAACGTCGTGCGCCGCTTTTCAGGCTGTCGTTCCTCGATTTTCGTTCCCTGGCCAACGTTCTAAGCCGCATGCGTCGCGGCGCCTCGCCAACACGAAAATTCAAAGCTAATCCGTACCTTCTAATAACGTTTCGAACGGCGAACGCTGCTGTTTAGCTTGATCGTGCCGCGCCATACTGTTGTCCGATCTTTCATCCGCGACAAATCAGAGAAACGACGATCAACTATCAAGAATCAAGAGAGAATTTCCTCGAGAAAATCGATTCAATCACAGCGATCTTCGATTTTCCTCGGATAGGTACGCTCCTAACGATTGATGGATCAATCTTCGTCGAAGCATCCTTTCAAAGATCATTTTCAATTCAACAGAAGAGTTAGAAAATTCTTGCTAACGTTTCTTGGAATTTTTAAAGGTGTCTTCGGGGGTGTTAAAAAAATATACACCGTCGTTCGTTGATTTGGTGTTCTCTGTGAGGAATTTTTCAAAAAGTGGATCCTACGGTTGGTGTTGTAAAAATATCTCCACGAACTGTTTTACTACGGCGATGCTGGGTTACATTGAGCCGAGTCACATGTCCTCATATGGATTGCATCACGTGGACCCAGTTACTTCCGGTTCTTACCGCCCATGGCGGTCTTTCATCGATTTTGATGAACGTAGAGTTTCGGTTGAAAATGTTCGAGGGTGACGTTCCGGAATAGGGAAGCTTTGAAAAATTCATTTATTATGCGCGAAGATAGAGAATTTGTATGATTATTGAGGAATATCGAGGAATTTTAATTATGACTAATACTGAAAACTTGTATCTGATTTCGCATTAGTCAGACGCGTCGTGCAACCTGTTTTATAAATGTCTGTCTGGTTTCAAATATACCGTGGTAATTGCTCGAGTTGAACGTGGTTCGCTATTAACAACGATGATGTCATTGTATGAAAAGAAGCGAGCACCATGCACGACACTTGACATTGACATCACGAACCTTTCTTGTACTCGGAAATTCCACGTGGACGTCGCTCCGGACAACTTTCGCTAAATGACACCCAAAAAGAAAGAATCTAGAATCGGTAACAAACAATCTAGATTTATAGAAAAATTCTATCAATTATTCGAATCATTTTAATTAGCAAAGAAGGATTAAAAATAATTCAACTTGTTCCCTAATCCTCATTGCTCGTTTCACTTTAAAATTGACGTCCTTGTTGATTGTTTGCGACATTCCTGTGGTGCAGTCATCTTTACGAAAACACTTGGCAGGATACGAAACCTTGTACGATTCCCTTGGCCACGATGAAACAAGTAGAAACAACAAGCAAATCCATATTCTTACCAGCATACGTAATTGAACATATTCAAATCTAGTAACGTAATATTACGTCTGATCTATTATTAACAAAATAAAAAGATAAGGAAATTTGAGGGAAATTAAAAGACTAACCGGCAGTGTTTAAAGAATAATTTTAATTCTACCAAACTTCTGGTCGACTCACACGTACACAGATCCCGCGTCTACTTTTAGCCAAATCGTCCTCCGGCTGTATCTGGCTTCGTTCCAGCCACAACCGAACCAGCGACACGCATTTCCGATTCTAATTTCGTCGCATCTCCGTCTCGAACAATTCCTTGAGGCCGCACGATCGATTCAACGTAATCCTTTCTTCTTTTCTGCCTTCCCTTCGGTCGAACCCCTGCCCTGTACGCCAGGACGACGGGATGGCCACGAGTTGGCACGCGTTATTGCACACTTGCTCGCACATGAAATATGTTAAAATCTATTTTTACGCCTGGCCGACGAGCACGCGGCTAAGAGGGCAAATCGTTTTCCGTTACCGAACTAGTGACCGAAGAGTTGCCGTCGGTGACGTTGGTATTTCGTTGGATCTGTAAACATCCGCCGGTGATTGCGACTCGGCTCGACAAGCTCGTTGCGCGCCTGTTGATTAAAGGAAACCAAATTTCCTTTAGCTTTTCGATTCGATATTTCATCCCGAGGTGTTCGAATTCTTCGAATTCTCTTTCGTTAGCATCGTCGAGATTCGTCGCGAATCTAAGATAATTTCTCGCAACCAAACTTCCTAGTCTTTTGAAAGGGCTCTGAAATTCATAGCATTTCGTTTCGTCGACATTCATCGGGTGAAAGATAATTCACGAGAAAGCTACGGAGCGACGTGTAATGACGGGGGAATGAGAAATCGGTGCTCGTTACAGGCTCGTCGACTCTCTGCAGAAGAAATCGAAGAAGGCGGACGAGGACTTGGAGGCGTTCGAGAGCACCGAGCGTGAGATCGAGCACCTGAGGAAACGTCTGAACGAGGCGCGCGAACGCGCTTCGGGCTTTTACATATACGGACCGAATCAGGACTCTACCGAGGAGGAATTAGAAGCGTTATCCTCGGCGGTCGGCGAGGTGCTGGAGGTAGCGAAAAAATTCTCAGGAAGCACTAAGGCGCGGTACCAAGCTAGCCAGCAGCTTGTACCCAGCGATCTTGCTCAACATTTGACGGCATTGGAACTTTGCGCCGAAGCGACCGCTCAAGCGATGGAGGAGAAACAGAGGGAACAGAAACGTGCCCGGACCGTCAGGTCGGATTATCTTACCGATCTGGACGAGGTTCAAGCGTGGATAAGACAGGCGGAACTGAAGGTACAGGACAGATCCATCGAACCGATCCCTCTGAAGGAGCAATTGAAACAGGTGCAAGACGAATTGGGCACGATCACCGACAAGCTCGAACGATTAACGAGAAACGGCCGTACCATCGGCGAGAACACGAGAGACGAGACCGAGAAACAATTAATCGACAGCACCGTTCACAACGTTACCGAACAGTTGAACCAAGTACGAACGTGGTTAGACAGTAGGAAACAAGTGGTGGCTGATACCATCGACGCTTGGCAGAGATTCTTGACGTTGTACGAAGCCGTGAAAACGTGGACAGAGGAGAAGAGACAGTTCCTAGTTGAGCCATTGAAGCTCAGCACCCTTGTGCAGGCCAGGCAGAGGCTGCACGAGTACTCGGTACGTGGGTGAAACTGATGCACTGATCTGAGGAGCGATCTTGTTCCTTGGAGGATGACGAGGGAACGTGATTTTGGAAATTATTATCAATTTCTTCAGAGTTAAGGAAACTCGTAGTAGTACTGATCCAATTCATATTTCTGAAGTGAATTCAGGGAAAAGAGACAGAGAGAGTCAGACAGCGCGTTTACCGTCACAGTAGTACAACCTTATGTGGTCAGACATACGGTAGTATGGATTATTAAAATAAAAGGGCGCTATTTTAAATCATTAATATTATATTCGGTGTAATATTCACAATGGTATTCGGGTAAAAAATAGTTGATATTTAGAAAATTTCCAAAAATTTCACGTTCATCGTTATCCGGAACAAGAGCATGGATCATCCTTCAGTGGCTCGATTTCTCTTATGGGAGAATCTAAATTAATTCGTCTAATTCTTGTTCGTCTGCAGACAGCCGTAAAGAGCTGCAAACAAATCAACAAGAATCTCAGCGACATGGGAAAAGAGCTCGAAAGTATCGGTCAGGTGTGCAGCGTGGGCGATTTGCCCGAGAAATTGTTGGAAGCTGAAGAGGCGAAGGTTCAGGTGGAAGGTCAACTGTTGGAAAGGGTTGGTGTTTGTATAATTTAGGGATTAACGAGTCGTGCGTAAGATGCGCGTGTGTGTGAATATCGTTTAACGTTTCAGAACGCGCTGCTGCAAGAAACAAGCGAGGAATGGGAGCAATGCGAACGAAAATTAAAAGAATCGAGAACGTGGATCGAGAAAGCGAAACAAAGTCTCGAATCGCAGCAAAATAAAAAGAAACCGTTAAGGGATCAGCATAGTATGCGGGAGAAAATGTTGAGCGACGTGACGATACAGAAAACGAAAATCACTCTTTCGATGGAGAAGCTTCAGGTTCACTTCCGTTCGGGAATCGGCGGTGATAGAAAAATTGGGGATACCGTAGACGAGTTACTGGCTGAATTAGACGATCTTAACACCACTGTGAAAGAACAGACGACATCGTTAGAGGCTTGTTTAGCGCAGATCGATCAATATCAACAGGTTAGGACTTAACAGCCTGTCGATGAAGAAATGTCTCTTCTTTCTTGTTCTCGACTGTAGCTGTATTCTTTCGAAACGCGATCGCTGATCCAATTCTTATTTCTGAAGTGAATTAAGGGAAAAGAGGTAGCGATAGTCAGACAGCGCGTTTACCGCCACAGTAGTACAACCTTATGTGGTCAGACGTACCGTAGTATGGATTATTAAAATATTAATTACAGGGTGCTATTTTAAATTATTAATATTATATTTATAAAGTGACAATTTTAAGCACCATAGGTGATCTCAGTGGCTGTCAACGTGGTAATTCTTTGTTGAAATTTTATATTTGAATAGAATTGAAAGGGATCAGTGATCGATATGGTATCGAAAAGAATACGGCTGACCCCTGTTTATAATTTTAGGAGATTCAACAATTGAGGCAACAGATAATGCAGGTGGAGCAGCAACTGAGGACGGTATTGAGCCCTACTTACCTGTCCAACGACAAGGAGAAAGCTTTACAGGAGCAACAGGTAGGTTTGCCTTGATCCCACCTTTTCATCACCTGCACAAGTGCGCTAAAGCAGCAAGTTGAGTTTTTTGCATTTGCTCGATACCAACTGAAAACCACCACCAAGATACGTCGCGTTCTGTTGTCATCCCTTTGAAAATGGGGCTCGAACGAGTTAAGGGATCATGGGATAGTTTTAACCCTTCTATTCACGTGGAATTTCTCTCTATCTGCTCTCGAGACAGTGCTTGTATCTTCGTAATCTCCAAGTGACTAACAATTAACCGTCGATCGAGCACATTAATCCTTAACCCTCGCAATACCAACTCTTTTTATACATGTACCAAATTTTCAAAAAAAAAAAAACCCTATTTTTGGTACTGTCAGAGTTAACTGCGTCAGGGTTAAAATTTTAATCGACCCTTGCATAATAATTACGTAAAGGGATCGATGAAAATTTTGCAACGTACTAATTAAAATTGGAAACATTTTGATTACCCTTTTCAAGGGTAGTTTCTATTGGGAGACAGAGGTCGATGGTTTTTAATTATAATTTAGATCAAGGTGTTTCCGTTGAAACCTATTTACCCTGTTCCTAGTTTAGCCATTCATTTTATGCAATTTTCCCTGTCAAAGCTTTTCAACTCACCAGAGATGTTAATATTGTAATTATATTCATTTAACGCTTTCTTTTAACTCATAAAATCATTAAACACTATTTCCTTTCTTCTCTATCTCTGTCTCTCTATCTCTCTATATTCCTCTCTAGACGAAATGAATCTGCTAATCACGCTGCTTAAAAAATTCCAAAAGTCTCGACGAAAATGTAGATCATTCTTTCGCAAATAGCGATCGAATGATTTAATCAGCATGCTATCATCGTGGTGGTACATCATGTTACGCGGTATTGGTTGGTATCATGCTCTAACTAAAATTTTGTCACCACTATCTCTCTTTCTTGACGTTCTCTTACGAGAGATCAATCGATCGTGTCACTCTCACGCACTTTCGTTCTTCCACGACCTTTGGAACGATTTCTCGGCTCGAACTTTGCATAATTGTGAAGAAACTTTAGAAATTAAAATTTTGAATAATTTGGACTTCTCAAAAATAAGGGTGAAATTCGTGAGAATTTTTCCCTTATTTCAGAAAGGTACTCCCTATATTTTTGCAAAATTATTAATTTCAAAGTCCTTTATAAATTTGAAAAGTTTCTACCATGTACCAAAGGTTTTTAGTTTATAGTTTCTCATCTTTCCTCTCCGTGTACGTCACCAGTTTAACGACACCCATACGTGTTGCTGTTCCGTGATGGGGATTACTTGATTTTGCTTGTTTTTTTTTCTTTTTCTTTGTGTAATACACGTGTTCTCGTTATTTTCTCTCGCCGTATTACTTGTCTATTGTACTATACGACACGAGAGACAAAACGATCAAGAAAATTCAAATGTGTCGCACTCTGTGTCGTAAGAAGACATCGAGTAAAAAGAAAAGAAAAGTAGCAATCGCACAAAGTACACGCGTAACGAATACAATAAATGTCTTGCAATGTCCGCCACACACAGAATTCTATTTCACCCACAAGATCACCGTAGGCTTTTTTATCAGCGTAGCCAAGCAATGCTGAAACCGCGAGCTTCATTTCCGTATGAAATACCGTGCGATCGACGACGAACACGGAAACGGGAAGATACGCAAGAAAATCAAGTGACCTCCAAAGACTTGTGTTAAAAGAAAATCAATGCGAGGAACACAAGTCAATTATACCCTGATTATTTCATTCGCGATTCTTTTTCTTTTATTCTTCCGTCCGTTGTGTTTGTTCATTTTAATTTTTGTCTTTAATCCATTCGCATCGGCTATTTGATTCACGAAATTTTATTTGCTACACCCTTGCCCCTTCTTCGTCCCTTGAAAAACTATCCATTCCACACCGTTCACGTTCTATCTCGATCATCGTCTCTGCTTCGCCATCGTCGTCTTCTGGTTCTCTTCTCGGTTTCTTTTTTTTTTTGTTCCTTCCTTATTATTTCTCTTGGTTCCTTGGATCTCTGTCTCTCTCTCTCTCCATTTCGATGATCTCTGCTTGGGTCAATCTCGCTCGCTCGGCGTGTTGTTTGTTCGTTGGTTCGTTCGTTGGATAGATTTATCGAGAGAAGATCAAATCGTTGCACAGTAAAATCCAAGCGCGTACAGAGAGGTCGAAGATCCTCGCTCAGAGAGGAACACCCGACCCGGAACCATTGGATTCATGACCAGTCTAGTCGATTAATTAAGAAAAAAAAAAATTGCGCGATATAGTATTGTTCCTTAGCGTAATGTCTTTTTCTCACCCGTAAAGAGTTCCACGCTTTCCATCCGGAACGAAGGCAACGTCCAAGGGAACTTCTTCTCTTTTATTAAATGAAAAATTCGACGTATGCCTTCATTCGCGGAGGGGGATCGTACGATTTTTAATACCTCAGGATCTTTTTTAGCGAACTTTATATATATATCGAGCAAATTTCCTAAACGTGGTGTCCGATCATAGAGAGCAGATGTACGGCTGTATCTTTATTTTAAAGAGAGAATAAAATGCCCTCTTTGTTGCGAACATCAATTATAATTTTTCTTTAACTTCCTTCGCGCGTCACATGCCCATCGCTGATCATAATGTTTAATACACGCATACTAAAACTCTCCAACAAAAAAAAAAATGAAAGGTTACTCCAACCACCTCGATCCATTTAACATAATCTTCTTTTTCCCTACTACAAAAAACAAAAACAAACAAATCAAAATAAATAAACACAGAGACACCCAGAAAATTGACGTATGTGTATTCCATTGTTGTGCCTTGGCTGATCCTCCGTGGACGGATAAAGCAGAGCCTGCAGCTAAGGATGGACGAATGGAGGCAACGGAGCAAGATACTCCTGGATCAAATATACACCGTGGACCCGTACTATGTACAGAGCAACGAGAATCGGCCGATCAATCAAGTATCGTACGCGGACATCGCAGCTGGTCGTACCAGTCCGAGTTCCAGGGGTTCTAGCCCATTCAGAAACCCCCGGGACGAAACGACCCCTCTGTCCATTCAGGTGTTGAGACCGACCGCCCAATTATCCATCCAGAAACCGGTCGTTCCACCCGATAGTTCACCGTCTCGTGTCGTTAGCGGCAAAGAAGAAGAGGCGAAGGTGGTCGAAGAACCGGAGGAGCCGAGAGAACCTGAAGCGAAAGCAACGCAGCACGTGTCCAAGATAGACTCCGTCGAGACTACGCCTAAATACAGAGCCCAATCTAGAAAAGCGACCTTCGTTAGAAGAGAAGCCGAAGCGGTTAAAGAATCAACAACCGTGGAGAACGTTGAATCTCCTAGGTTGACGAAGAGAGAACCGATGTCACTGAAGAACACCTTGGCACCCAAGGAAGAGAGGAGGGGTAGATCGGCAAGTCCCATATGGATGCCTGGCTCGACTTCCTACGCGGATATTCTTCGTGGAAGCAGACAGACTTCCAGAAGTCCTTCGGTCGAGATCGGCCGGGGTGCTAGATCCATCTCCAAGGACAATCCACCTGATGTGTCTAGCTCGGAAGGTGAACAGGAGAAGGTTGACCTGAAAGTTCCTACGGTTGAAGTTGAAGAACGTACCGAGGAGATTGTTGAAGAGCAACCGAGTCAGATAGTAGAGATTTATCAAGAGGCTGAAGTTGCTGAAGTGCAAACTACTGAGAAAGTTTCTGAAACGAAAACCAGCTGGGCTGATGAAGCTATGGAAGACTATGTCATGTTGAATGAAGCTGGTTATGAAAACGTGGCAAGACCTCAGCCAGTACCAGAGATGTACAATTATATTCATCCACCTATACCGGAACTGGTGGGTTACATAGGCTCTCAGATCGCGTATCCGGTTAGTTCCTACGTCTACATGCCGGCTGCGCCTCAGCAAATCGCTATGCCTCATTATCCTGAAAGTCAGATAGCCTTTCCGCCGGAACACTACGTGGCGCAGCCTAGTTACGTACCGGAAACGGAGATCTATCAGCAGAATCAGTTCCAGAAACAACAACCGAGGCAACATCATTCATCCAAGTTTAAGAATCCAACGAAATCTCCGATAACGGTGCAGAATGTTGAAGAGAAGTGTCAGGCACCACCTGGTTTGGAAGTGCAACCGGTTGTCCAACCGGAAGCTGTCGAACCTGAAAAGCCAGTGGAGCAGGAACAACCTGTGTCGTCTTCAGATGCGATTAAGCAGAAGAATACAGGTTCCAGTGAGAGTAAAACCTTTTCCTATGCTCAGATCTTGTCTCAGGGACTTAGTACTCGACCACCTGTTACTAGTTCCGTTTCTTCAACAACGAGTTCGGTGCTGAGACAGGTGAAAGAACGATCTGGTTCCCCAGCAACCTCGACATCCTCGGTGCACGAGCACAGTCCTCCTCAGGATGTGAGACAGGCGAGAGAGTCTTCGGTAACTAAACAGGAAACGAGACAGGAAGAGTGGGACATCACGAAGAAACGGGAAGGAAGGAAGACTCATCAGGATGCGCCTAAATCGAGGATTCCTGAGAAGAGAGCTCGAAGGACACCTGAGAAATCTCAAGAAAAGTCTCAGAAAGAGAAGAAAGGTACAGTGGAGCAGAGGAAGGAAGCACCCGAAGTGAAGAGCAGAGAAACTTCTATAGATATTTCAGTTAGTTCTGAAAAGAGTGAAGCTGAAATTAATAAAAAGGAGAAACGAGGCGATGTTGGTCAGGAAAAGCAGGCATTTGTTGAAAAGGAGAAAGAAAGGGAGAAATCAGAAGAGAAACAAATAGGCAAATCTCAGGAGAAGAAACGAAAGACGAAGAAGAAGAAGATGGAGAAAACGGTGGATGATGAGATTGAGAAAGCTTTGAAGGAAATTGAAGACATGGATAAGCAGAAGAAGAATCAGAGAGACAAATCGAAAGAACAGATTAAGGCTAAAGATACCAGTCAAGAAAAAGCTAAAGAAGAAAGTGAAAAGAAGAATGCGAAGAGCAGCGAGAAGAAGAAGCAGAGTAAACAGAAGGTTGAGGCGAAGGGTAAGGATGAGTCAGTGATTGCTGAAACTTCGATGACTCAGTCTACCATTAAGGAACAGGTTAAATCGAAGGACGATGCTAAAGAAAGCAAAGACAAAGATTCTGAGAAGAGGAATGTTAAAGACGACGTCAAGGTGAAAGGAAAAGAAACAAAAGGGGAAGTTCGAAAGGTTGAGCCTGAAAATATTGACACAACTAAGCCTGAAGTAAAAATAGAACCAACGAGTGAAATTTCAGGGAAGAAGGTTGAGGTGAAAGAAGAAAAGAAAGAGCCTTCGTCGAAGAAGAAACAGAAAGGTAAAGCTAAAGATGCGAAGGTTGAAAATGATGCGGAACAAATTAAAAAATCTGTTACTGTTGAGAAAGAACAAGTAACTAAAATGGAAGCTTCTAAAAATGCTAGAAATCTACAAGAAAAGAAACAAGATGAGTCGAGGAAAGTGGATGAAATAATTGAAACTAAACTTGAATCGAAGGATAAATCTAGTGAACCAATAATACCGAAGGAACAAAATAAACCTAAAGAAAATGCGAAAGGTAAGGGTAAAAAGAAAGAGCAGATACCTAAGAAACCCACACAAGAGAAGGATTCTGAAGAGAAATCAGATGTAATGAAAGATAACAAAGCAGAAGAAATAAAATCAGACTCTGATGTAAAAATACAAAGAGACAATAAAGGCAAGAAAGCAACAGGGAAAGTAGAGAGAAGAAAGAGCGATGAAATGAAAAAAGGTCAGAAGAAAGATGAAGTGAAATCTGAAGTTGAATCGAAAACAGACATTGAAGAAGAACAAAAGGCTGCAATGAGTGCATTAGATCGTGCAATAGAATCCGGGGTAGACATTAGATCCAGAGAATCAAGTGTATCGATAAAATCAGAGGTACCAACCCCGGAGAAGGTAGAAAAAGAAGAACTTGCAATCAAGAAATCAGTAAAGGAAGATACAAAGAAACTCATTGAGTCGGAGAAACAGACTAAAGCAAAAGATAAAAAGAAGGTGAAGAAAGAAGCTGATGCTGGTCTGAAAACAACTTCTGAAACAGAAAGAGTTCTTAAAGAAAATGTAGATAAGATTGAGGAGAAATCAATAATTGAAGAAAAGAGTGTTAGCGAACGAGTTATTGTAGAAGAAATAAAGAAGGAAAGTTTGGTACAAGAGAAGGAACAGCCAGAGAAAAAGAAGAAGAAACATAAGAAATCCAAATCACCGATGAAAGGAAAGAAAGAAGAAAGTTTGAAACCTTCCTTATCACTAGAAGAAAAAGAAGAATTAAAGGAAAGAGATGAAATAGAAGCATTAATGCTTGAATTGGAAGAAAAGTGTGAAGTTAAACAAATATCTATAAGTGAAGAAAAAATCGAAAGCAAATCCACAGAAAATATCGTTAAAACTGATAAGATTGATCAAGACGAAAGTTCAAAAGAATTAAAAGAATACAGTGAAGATAAAGTATCTTCTATTAAAGTCATTGACAATGATTCTGTTACTGTCCCTGAAGTTCCATTGCCAGAAACATCCCCAAAACCAGAAACAGATGAACCAACTCCTACACCACCAAAATTGAAGAAACCAGGTAAATCAAAAGAGAAAATTACCGAAAATATTCCTCCAACCAGCATCACTGAACCCAAAGAGGAACCTAAAGCCAGTCAACCAGGTACACCAAAGATGGAGAAGAAGAAGAAAAAGAAACAAGAACACAAAAACATAACTGAAGAAAAGACAGTTACCACAAGTGTAGATCAGAAAGCTGACATCCAAACCGAACTAATTAAAAATGAACCCCAGGAATTAATAATCAAAGAAACTATTAAAAAAGATGAAATACCATCATCGTTGAAAATTGAAGCTCCAGCAGCTGAGGCTAAAACGGATGCCGATGAAACTTCTAATGACTTAAAAGTTCATGACGAAAAATCAAATAAAGAAGAAACGAATGAAGTCCAGACTTCAGATCCAATTTCACCAGTCGATTCAACAACAGGCAAAGCATTGATCATCGAAAAGACGATCACAACAGTGACGACGACGACCAGCATCCCCGGCTCTGTGGAAGTGAAACCACCCGATGTGAAATCCGTGAAATCCGTAGAGATCTTAGAAAGCATCCCCTTACCCAAGATCGTAGGCTCCAAACCCACCGAACTAATCACCCTGCGTCCCGAAACAGTAGAGGCTAGCCTAACAACCAGATATGCTAGGGTTGCCGATGATTCAGCCATTGGTATTCCTTCGAAAGAATCGTTAGACACTTTAGGAGAGAAGTCGAATTACGCGATCTATATCGACAGTTTGACTGGTAATGACGAGCCAATTCTGTTTGGTAGCGTTCAGGATAGGAGGAGAGGTCGTTCTGGGACTCCTTTGTCGCCTAGATCTGTAGGAAGCGTAAAGGACGAACAGGATTCTGATGCTTTAGAGAAGGAGCAGGGATATGATTTAGAAGTTACACAAAATGTTAATGCCGAAGAGTGTAGGGAATTTAAATCTGGACATCCGGAGATATTGATGTTGAAGTGGGAGGGTGGAATAGGAGGAGAAAAGGGGGACAAAAGTGAAAAAGTGGAAGAGAACGTTAGGGAAGATAAATCGAGTTCTATTGTTGAGGAGTCAATTAGGGAAGAAGTAAAGAAAACAGAAGTATCTAAAGTTGACGATAAAGTATCTATTATTGATGATCAAACAAAACTTTCAGAAATTACAATGGACGATTCTAAACATAAAAAGGAAGAAATTGTGCCCATTACTAAGGAATTAGTTAAGGAAGAAGTGAAGAAAATAAAGGTAATTGAAGCTGAAAATGAAGTATCCATTGTTAGCGATCAAATAGAACTTCCAGAAGTTAAAACACATGATTCTAAACCAAAAATCAAGGATGTTATTTCCTATTATTACACAGACCTAATTAAACCGTATTGGATTAATTATCACAATTACATGGAAGCTGAAAATGGTTTCTATAAAAGTTTCAAAGTAATGAAGGTGGAGGAAGAAAATGTACCTCCTTCTCCACCTCCAGAATCCACAAGGATTGAGAAAATTGTTCAGGAATCGGTTATGAAGAAGCCTGAGGAGGAGCAGGAAGAAGATATAGAAGAATCAGATGCTGAATTTAGGAAACGTGCTTTGATTACTGAATCTGTTAAATATCCTGTTTGTACGTTCTATGAATTGGAAAGTGAATGGGTAATGTCTAAGCAGAGGAAAGATAAAGAGGTTGTATCTACTTCTTCTGAAGAATCTAATACCAATAGTGTTATTGAAATCAAGAAAGAGGCTTTAGAGGTGCAACCAGAAGAAAGGGAACCTTTGAAGTCAGTAACCTCTGATGCTGAAGCAATTCCGAAAATAGAAAAAAGTGTCGATAGATATACAGTTAAAATTACTGAGGAACCTACAGACGCAGCTTTGAAAGATCAATCAATAGAGAAACTCGAAGTCACAGAAGTCAAAGAAGTCAAAGAAGTCAAAGAAGTTAAAGATGTCGAAGAAGTCAAGGAGGCTATTATTAATGATAAAGCAGTAACTGAATATAAAGAACCTAACGTGTTATCTACAACCATTAAATCTGATGATGTGAATAAAAGACCTGAGACAGCAAAAGCAGAGAAAGAAATTGAAAAGAAGAAACCAGACGCTCAGAAGAAACAGAAAAAGATGGTTGAAGAAAAGTTAAAAGTGGAAGCAGAAAAACATAGACAACCTGAAGTCCCTATTGAAGAAGCTATTAAAATAGAGCAACCATCACTAAAAGTTGAAGAAGAAACAAAATCTATAACTGAATTACCTGAAGCAGAAAAAGTTAAAGAAGAAAAACAACCTGAAACAAAGAAAGAAGAAATGATTGAAAGCACAAGTATAATTGAACAGGAGTTAGAAAAGAAGTCTGCTTCTGAAAAAACAAAATCTTCCATCGAGTCGAAGAAAAAGGATGACGTTAAAACACCAACGAAAGAAGAAAAGCCTTCACTACAAGAGAATATTACCTTAATCGAAACAACAACAACAGAGAAATTAATGACTGGTAAAGTAAGTGAAAATAAACCACCAGAAATTGTGTTGAAAGAAGAGAAGGATAAACCTATGGACAAGTCTAAGAAGGAAGATGCAAAAGTGTCAGCAAAATCAGGAAAGCAGAAGCAGCCGAAAGAAAAAGCTGATGGCAAAATAAAATCAATACCAGAAAAGGAAGCAAAGAAGCAAGATAAACAAGAAACTAGTTCACCAGAAGCAATGAAGAAACGAGAAGAAACATCAAAGAAAGAAAACGAAGTTCCAGAATCAATACCTAAAGAAACTGTAGTTGAAATTTCTGCAGGAGAAGACAAAAAAGAAGAAAGTCAACCTGAAATGAACGACGTCCCTAAAGAAGAAAGTCAGTCACCAGTTTGTACCAAATCTTGGGCATCTGTGGTTGGTATGAAAAGCGCCACTGATATTACTGTCCCTGAAGAAAGTCAACAAGTTATAACATCCCAGGAATCATTGATGGAAGCTCTGAAAGTTGAAAAGGTGGAACAGATAGTTGAAGTTGCAGCTGAAGAACCTCAAAGTCTACCAACACAGCAGAAACCAACGAGACAACAAAAGAAGAAAGATGCGAAACAAGAAAAGGGGGGCATTGAATTAAAACCTTCTGTTCCTGTAGCAGAAATTGATAAAGAAAAGTCCAAAATCGAGAAACCCGAGGAATCTTCAGAAGAAATCAATAAAATTACTTCTGAAGAACCTCAGAGTCCACAAACACAACAGAAACCAGCGAAACAAAAGAAGAAAGATACGAAGCAGGAGTCATTGATGCAGGCTCTAACAGTTGGAAAAGTGGAGCAGGTGGTTGAAATTGAAGCTGAGGAACCTCAAAGTGCATCAACACCACAGAAACCAACGAGACAACAAAAGAAGAAAGATGCGAAACAAGAAAAGGGGGACATTGAATTAAAACCTTCTGTTCCTGTAGCAGAAATTGATAAAGAAAAGTCGAAAACCGAGAAACCTGAGGAATCTTCAGAAGAAATCAATAAAATTACTTCTGAAGAACCTCAGAGTCCACAAGCACAACAGAAACCAACGAAACAAAAGAAAAAAGATAAAAAGCAAGAGAAAAGCAACATAGAATTGAAAGCTTCTGAAACTGAAATTGATAAAAAAGAATCGAAAATTGACAAATTTGAAGAATCAACAGAACTGACAACAAAAGAATGCAACAAATCATATGCTCAGGTTGCAGCTGCTGCTCGAAGAACCCCTCCTCAAGAAGATATCATTCTAATGCAACCAATTCCTCTGAAATATGACCAGATTATAGACGAAGTACCTGAAGACAAGAAAATTACTGAAATAGAAGAAGTAACACCTACTACAAAGTTAATAAGTGCACAAGAAATAGAAGAACCTTCTAAATCTGAAGAAATTTCAGTAACAGATTTTAAAATTGATGAAAAAGACATGTTTAAAGTGGAATCAACCTCCTGGGTAGAAGAAATCGAGAAAGAAGCTCTAGAAGTCGAAGACAACATAGATTCTTCAACTTCGAACCTAATAGAAATTGTTACTCCTGAAACGATGAAAGATTCATGGGCTTCCATAGTGGGCAAGCACGTAGAATTCATGGAACCTGTTCCAGCACCCTCTCCCGAAAAGATTGTGGTGAAGGAAGAGCAAGATTCGCCTCCGCACGTACAGATTCACGTCGAAGAAGCTCCAGAACCGGTCCCAATCGAAAAAGTTGTTCAAGTTGACGAACAAGGGTTCATAGAGTTCGTGAATCGACGAGAACTACGATCCAGAAGATCCAGATCTAGATCTAGGAGTATTAGAAGAGAAGATACAACTTCGAAACACGTTACTGATAAGACAAGTTCTGATGAAGAACAAAAGAAGACACAGAAAGTTGAAGAGCAAAAGAAAAGTAAAGAACAGAAGGATAAATCTAAAAAAGAGAAGAATAAGGGTAAAACAGGTGATGTGAATGCTGATCAAGGTAAAGAAAAAGAGAATGACAATGCAATGGTAAGTGAGGTCGATGAAAAAGAAGAGAAAATGGAACAGTTGAGTGATCAGAAGGTTCAGAAACAGCCAGAGAAGAAAGATCATTCAAAGAATAAAGGTAAACCAAAAAGAGATACGACTCAAGAAACCAAAAAAGTTGAAGAAAAGGATCAGTTGAAGGAGGAGAAGCAAGAAGCACAACCTGAAAAACCTGAGATTCTAGAAGATAAACCAGTTGATGTAGATGAAAAGAAAAATATCGAAGAACCAAAAACAGAAGTGAAAGAACAACCTACCAGTACTTCCAAGAGAAATAAAAAATCTAAGAAAGGGAAGCACGATAAGGCACAAAATAAGGAAGAACATGAAAGCAAAGAACAAGTGAAGCAAATGGATACAACGAAGACACAAAAAGAAGACCCAGAACAGCTAAAGATTGAAGAAATTAAAGAAGAACCAACACCAATTGCAAAACCTGAATCAACATCAAAATCAGCAAAACGTAAAGAAAAATCCAAAGATAGAAAAATGGAAAATTTAACAAAAGCAATAGAAACCCCAGTTGAAGAGAAGAAAGTGTTTGAATCTGAAGTCGAAGAAGAAGTAAAAACTGATATGCAACAGGAACACGTAAGTAAGGAAAAACCTGACGTTGCTGATTCTGGAGTAGATGTTACAAAAGAAAAGTTTCAGGTGCCAGTGATTGAAGAAAAAGATAAAGTAACAGAAAAACCTGAAGAAGAGTCCACTGTGCCTTCCAAGATACCTGTTGAAGAAAAGGTTGCAGATAATAAAGTACAAATGAAAGAAGATAAGGAAGAAGAAGAAGAGGAAGTGAAATCCAAACTTTCATATCGAGAAAGAAGGAAACGAAAGAAGAAGGAAAAATCACGCGCAGACAAGCAGAAGAATGAAGAAATAGAAACAGATGCTTCAGAAACTACTAAAAAAGATGAAACAGATGTAAAACCTGTAAAATTGGAAGAAGAAAAATTAACACTGGCCCCTGAATCAAACCAAGAGAAAGAAATAAAGGAAAATAGCAAAGAAACTAAGAAACCAGTTATAAAAGTTGCTGAAGTAATTGTCGACGAGATAAAACTTGCACCTGAAACGATGCCTAAAGTAATACCTAAAGAAAAAACAGGAGAAGTGCCAAAATTGATTGAAGAAACCCAAGACCCATCGAAATTAACTGAAGAAATATTAAAAACGTTGACAGATACAGTGAAGAAATATGTAAGTGAGGAAGAACCTGCTCCTGATCCTAAAGAGAAGTCGAAACGTAAAAATAAGCAGACAAAGAAGGGTAAACGCGAAGAACAGGAATCAGCAAAGGTTACAGATGAAGAAGTTAATTTATCGCAGGATAAAAATATTCCTGTTGTAATGGCTGACGAGATTTCAAAAGATACTGCTCAAGAAAAAGTTGTATCTGAATCACAGAAGATAGAGGTTCCTGAAAAACAGGAAGTTGTGGTTGAAAGAAGCGATGAAGTAATGAAGGAAGATACTAAAGTTTTGGATACTTCAGCAACTACAATTACACAAGAAGTTGATCTTGATATTCAGACCACCACAGAAAACAAGGAAGACCTAGTTAAAGTCTCAAAGAAAATTGAAGAAACTCCTGAAGTTCTTCCTGAAGAAGAAAAGGTTTCTCAGCAAGTTGAAGCAATTCCTAAAATTCTTCCTGAAGAAGAGAAGATTTCTCATAAAGTTGAAGCAATTCCTGAAATTCTTCCTGAAGAAGAGAAGATTTCTCATAAAGTTGAAGAAACTCCTGAAATTCTTCCTAAAGAAGAGAAGGTTTCTCATAAAGTTGAAGCAATTCCTGAAATTCTTCCTGAAGAAGAGAAGGTTTCTCATAAAATTGAAGAAACTCCTGAAATTCTTCCTAAAGAAGAGAAGGTTTCTCAACAAGTTGAAGGCACTCCTGAAATTCTTCCTGAAGAAGAGGTTTCTCATAAAGTTAAAAGCACTCCTGAAATTCTTCCTGAAGAAGCGAAGGTTTCTCATAAAATTGAAGAAACTCATGAAATTCAGCCTGTAAAAGAAAAGATACTACAGCAACCTGAAGAACCCCCTAAACCTTCACCTGCAAAGGAGGAAGTATCACAGAAAATTGAAGAAACTCCTAAATCTGTACCTGCAGAAGAAATAGAAGAAATCGAACCATCGATTGTAAAAGAATTAGAAGACATGATCCAAGACACTGATCAAATCCCTCAAGCAAATATAGCCATAGAATCGTTATTAGACGAACTTGAAGCACCGATCGTGATTGATTCCTTTGATTCCCAGTTAGAAACTGAAGAAGAATTCGAGAAGTGCATATCGAGTGAGCCAGAAATAAAGACAGCTGATATCGTGATCGAACCAGCGAAACCCAAGGTACAATTTTATATAGCAGACGAGATTTTGGTTTTAAGTCCCGAGAAAAAGAAACCAGTCCAGACCCCATTGATCTTGCAAACTCTATCAGAAATCAATGGCTCTATCAACAAATCGAAGTTCCTTTCCCTTGACAGCGGTTTCTGGCCAGACAAACACCCTTATCACGAAGCTGAACGTTATCTCTTCGAGAACTTAGCTAATTACACGAAGCAAAAACCTTCCAGCGAGGTGAATCGCGATTCAAATGACCCCGACAACTTCGATGGGGATCACGATGGTAGTTTAAACGATCGTGGAGGAAACGGCGGTCCCACGAACCCGTACTTTATGGGTGGACCCCATACCGAACGTTTGATCGCTGATCTCCCTGGAGGTATAGGTAGCTGGAGCGATTATAGTACTTACTTGTCGAGCGAAAACGAGCAGAGAACAGATTTTCTTCAGGAAAATGTCGAGAATCCAACGTCAGATCTTACTCTTCACGAATCTCTTTCTGAATTATCCTCTATACATTTCGAAGATCAACAGTCCGCTTCCAAACGGGACGAATTTTCTTTGGAGTATCCTCCATCTGAAATAACGTTAGAAAATTCCAAGGAGCTGAGATTTCAACTGGTACCCCATCGCGAAACGTCCATTTCAGACGAACAACCTCCAACCATCGAGTCCACCTCGTTCCATCGACAACTAGAACCCATTGATTCCGAACCGTACGATTCAATCGTTCCGTCAAGCAACCCTATCCTCACTCCAGAACCCATAGAACATTTAGGTAGAGAAAGAGCATCGATGCAGCGGCACACTCCGAATGCGGAGGCGGAGAAAGAGACGGTGGTAGCTGAAGATGAGGCTGAAAAGAGGATACAAGGGATCAAGGTGCGATCACGTCTCAAGCAGGGCTCGAGCTTGAACGAGTTCAATTTATCCAGCTGTTGTTTTGTACAGATTTGCGTGTATGTGTACCACACGCTCGCGGGCGGATGTGTGTGTGTGCGCGCGTGTGCTTGGTATACTCGGCTGCAACGATTTCTTTTGATTAAGGGGAAAGGTAGAGGGATGAGCCATCCACCATGGATCTTTAATTTTGAGGGAGAGCTTAGATCCTATGGAGGATCTAGAGCTATGTCTATACTGTATAACGTAAAAAAGATAATTAGTGAGACATTTTTCCCCCTACACTTCCCCTCAACCAAAAGAAGCCTTCGTTGCACGAGACTGTACAATGTTTTTCTTATCTGTAACCGTTTTCTCTTTTTTTATTTGTTTCTTCTTGTTTTTTTCTGTCGATTTTCTTTAACAATATCACCATTTTTCTCGTCCTCTGTACTTGGAGCGTATCTTTTCTATCTCTCTCGCTGATTATTTTGCTGCCACTCGCTGTTTACAGCTTAAATTATCGCTAATCGCTGTTGCTTTCCTATCCTTTCTCATCCGCATGGTAGAATGTAAGAAATGCTCGAGCATAACGTTACTTGATTTTCGGCTTGCGTTGCGGCCTGAAATTTTCAATTTTCGAAAGTATTTTATTAGTATCGAATGAAGTTACGTTGAAGTGTTCGGTCGACAAAATTCCTGTACAAAATTCACTCTATATATTTTTGTTTCTATTAAGTCCTATTTTGTGACAGCATCCCAGAGATACTTGAAAAATTCACACAACTTTTGAACCACCCTATAGCTGCTGAACATTCTTATCAAACACTGTGTTCTTTATTCTACCTGCATGACGATACGTGCAGATATTCAAAACCATGAAACGTGCAGCTCCTTTGTGTTATCTGTGTCTTTTTGTATAGTTCTTCATTCGTTAAAGATTCAATTAGTCCCCTGAAGGCCCCGCCTGAAGCTAATCTATTAACATGATTGATTTGAAGCTCCTGATCCGCACGACATATTTTTCAAGACACTGTTCGTTCAATCAAGTGTCGACGTTCATTTAACCGGTTGCTATGTTACAGGACATCATACAGGAGCGTCTGATGGTTTTACAGCTGAGTCTATCGAACCTGAAAGGAACTCATTTGCCACGAGATAGCATAGATTCCATGCTGTCTGCACTCACGGTGAGATTTGACACGTGACAAACTAAGAATTCCTTATATTTTTCAATAGAATATGTTTGTACATTTTCATGATTCAGAGGCTGAAAATAAATTGTTCATTTGTTGAGAGGTTATCGAAATTCATTTCAGAATTTGCTGATCGAGCTTCGTGGTTACGAGGAAGAAACAAGACAATTAGAGGAGGAACTACATAAAATTCCAGCTGATTCTGAAGCACAAAGGCTTCTGTCTAATTTGGAGGAGGTTCAAACAAAAATTACCACGCTTTTGACCCAAGCTGAACAAGGAAAAGCGACTTTAGAAGGTGCACGTGGACAACAGGTGCAACGTGGTCATGACATTCATGCTTATAAACAATTTTTGGACGAAACCGATGCCTGGCTGAAGAACATTGTTGCGAGCATGAAGGAAGAGCAACCCCTTACTACGAACAAGGTGCGTTTAGATTGGAAAATTTTCAGAAATTTGATTTTTCAAACTTTCTACTCCATAATTGATTTTAGTATTTGAAATTTCTAAAACTTGACCGTCCAAAATTTCCAACTTAGCAATTTTCAAATTCTTATGAATCTAATATCTAAAGAAACATTAACATGCCATTAATTTAACAAAAATGAGCCTAGAGCTGGCGCCAGTGTCGTAATCCCTCGATTTAGAATGCCTGTGTTTCTGGTTTATTTTTAAATAAAGTCACCGAAATAGTGAGAGAGAAAGAGAAAGAGAGAAAGATCCACGTATATGTGTCTGTACGAACAGGCTTTGCAGGACGAGTTAAGCAGTCACGCGCAACGGGTATCGGAGCTTGAATCATTGCCAGAAATCAGCACGCTGGCAAAGGTCCTGAAGAATGCTCTGTTGGAGGTGATGTCTCGTCTGCAGCAAAGGCAGCAGGTATCCAACGTTTTCCAATGCTCAGGGGCTTTCGCAAACTTCGCTGGTGTTCGCGCAACAGTCTCGTGAACTGCACGATCTTCGAAACAAAATACGTGAAAAAAGAAACAGAAAAGAAAAGCTCAGAGTCAGTAAAGAAAACGACCATATACCTATAGAGATTCTTTTTTTTAAGACATTAATTACATTTCTAGTCGATTTCTAATCATTCTACGGGAAGGGGGGATAAAAGGGAAAATTATTCAATCTCTTGCTGAAGTAAGAGACGTTGAAGAATAATGCTGATGTACACAGTATGTATATAAAAAAAGGAATAATATATATACTGCCTGTATTTTGTATTATAGGGAAAAGGGAGCAGGGTGATCATTAGATAACAGTGTTGGGCATCGATTGATTAAAATTTATAGTTTGATGAAATTAGTCGTTAGTCGCTAATTGCAATTATTAATAATTGATTTAATTAAAATTTGATTATTTGATGTAGATTTTTTATTAATTTTATTATTTCTTGTACAGTGTATTCAGATATTAATTTTACAAACGAATTAAATATTTAATTGTTAATTGAATTATAATATTGCCCAACACTGTTAGTAGAGCATGTAATCGTTCTTAATTTCATTCGCTGCTTCGACGTAGTAATTTATGTTTGTAACGCCATACTTCATTTTGCACGTTAATGGGTCAATTAAGGTTCAACGGTGAATAGAATAGAATTATGTACACTTCATATATATATATTTTTTTTTTCTCTTTATTTTGCACCATGGTTCATCTTGTTAATTTTCCATCAGGCTTTAACGATCACACGCAACACTATTCGTTACATTCATCGCACAATCACAATTCCGTTCTCATGTTTCATACGTGTATTTATTTAAAACGCACTTTATGTTCATCTAGCTTAAGGTAATGGATGTAATTGTATAGACGCAGCATTTTGTTTAAGGAATGTTAATACAGTACTCTGTAATTTTTTTCATGCTGTAATTAAAGTATTCTCATTAATCCCCATCTCCCTCCGTTTTATTTATCCCAACGTCTCATTTCGTGTCTGGTTATGGTAACGATAATAATATCATTTAAGAAAATAAACATATGTATTTACCTATATGTATCCATATTATACAGGGTGTAAAAGAAAATTGAAGTGAAATTTTACGAGAATTTGGTACTCGTACTTTGAATTCTCTGTATGTGTATTTGTAAAATAATAATAGAATTTTATTCGAGAAACGTTGTAAAAATACTTAAGATACGTCATTTTTTAATTCGGTATCATGTTTGTTTTATCTTTAATAGAAAGCATCTGTTCGTTAATAAATTTTCGGTCTCATAACGTTCGTTAGCGATGAATAAATTGCTGGTTCCATTTTTTAAATATATGTATACTTATATACGTATCTCGTGGTATAAGTAGAGCTTAAAATAAAGTTAAACGTAGCATTCGTTTTGATCTAAAAATACGACAGTGTTACGCGAAGTGTTCTTGTCTACGGATATATTCTTGTTCCCGCTCCGTGGCGATTATGTTTTTCAAATAAATTCTTCCGTCTCCGCCATCATCGACACCATGCAGGTGCAGCTGTGCCGATAGAAATAGACAAGGCTCACCAAATCATGTAACAATCAACGTCAACTTTCACGTAACAAACGAGTGATTCAACGTAGTGCTACCATTAACAAGGATCGTAATAAATTTTGCTGCTTCAGAAACAGACATCCGCTATTATTCATGTCGCGATTACATAATGAAATACTTGTTAGTTACCAGAATGTAATGCAAGGTCTTTCATTGACCTGAATTATTATTTGTCTTTCAAGTAGCAAAATTTAGTACATTAATTGTTACAGCTTTATTCGTGCTAATCACAAAATCATTCACAAGTGCATTCACTAAGGGGGTGGAAATTGATTTTGGGAGTGCAAAATTATAGCACTTCACGAAATTTTCATTAAAACTTTTGTAATATTTTCTTAAGTATTAGGATTGGATTAATTAGAAAATTGCTAATTATCACTAGACAATAATGAATTTTATTATTTATTGAATTCCCAATAATTACACAAAACTTGGATTTAATCAAGATTCCGAAGCTCACCCTTTGTCAAAAAAAAAAAAGACACACGGTACACTCGACAAAATGTCTAGAACACCAGGAACCGAAGAAGAATATTTGTAAGCGACCCAGGTAGCTTCAAGGGGGTTGTTTTCAATTTTCCAGGAGCAAGGTGACGAGGAAGCTCGAGCCGACGAAGCGTCGGACCGAGATGACGCTACCCTCGATCAGGCACCCTCCATTCATTCGTCCCTCGAGAGTAGCATGCCATCTTTGGCCGACGTTTCCCTGCAAACTGGTCAAAGTCTTCTAGAAAACGACGTCGTTGAGAAACCGCAGCAAGTGTCTAAACAGACATCCACGAATCAAATGCCGCCATCAACGGTGTGTCACTCGTTGACAACGCAGACGGTGGACACGATGCACCCTGACATTGAGAATCCCCAAACCCAGGAGACTATAAAGATCCTGAAGACCACAGAGGGTGATCACGACGTGATCGAAATAGCCACGAAGAATCTACCCTCTGCATCGGTCCAAGAAATCGTTCAAGATCGTCCTGACACCATTGCTGAAGACATCGTCGTCGACATGAAGTATCAGGATCCAACGAACAAGGACAACACTACTAGCGAATTGAACATCTTCCATGCTGTTCCGCAGTCTTTCGAAACGGTCCTGGTCGAACCGGACGACGTGACGACCGAGGTGGTAGTAGACGAAGACGGCTCGAAGAGGATCATCGTGAGGAAACTGAGACGAACCACGATGACTAGTAGACAAACCACTCAACAACACTTGTCATCCATGTCGACAGCGATCGGAGACGCTCCATCCATGGTGCACGCCTTCTCTGAAGCCACCATGAGGAACCAGCAGGTCACTGTCACCACCGCCAAACCAAACGGCACCATAGAAACGAGCACCAAACAGATTTACGGAGGAAGAGTGGCCACTGGAACACCGTTCAAAGACGTGAACGTAGAAGAATACGAATCAGCTCCGCAGTACACTCATGTAGTAACTCAAGGACAAATAAGAGACATCAGTCCGCAGCCTCTCGAAGAAGGTATCCTGATGGAGGGCGGTGAATGCCAGGCGAAGACGTCGAGTGTGCACGCAGTGGTGCAGCAAGTGACTAGAAGAGTGGTCAGGAAGACTAGAAGGATCATTCGAAAAGTGACCATCGTCGATGGTAAGGAGACTGCTACGGAGGAGATAATAGAGGAACCCGAAGAAGTTGAGATAGACGAGAAGAGTATTCCTCATATCAGCATCAATGTGATCAAACAGGAGGATCAACGACACCTTGGCGCTGAAGCACAGATCGAAGAAGAGAAGGAAGGTCGTCCTAAGATTGAGAAGATCAAAGATGAAGAAGATAAAATAGACAAAGATGGAGGATTGAAGGACGTCACTAGGGCTGACACTCCTATGCAAGGACCTTTCTTCGGCGCCTTCGCTAAGGACATGCATCCATGCGCGAATCAAGAAGTAGAAGAAGAAGAAATTTCCCCTGACACTGGAAAAGATGTCGAAGCCGAAAGGAAGGTTACAGATGTTATAGAAATTTCTGAAACAGAACAAGTTGAAGAAATACCACAACAAGCTCCAATTGATAGCAAAGTTGTTGATGAGAATCTGAAGCCAGAATTACTTGAGAAGAAACCTGAAACAGTGGACAAGTACGAGCACGAGCAATTCCTGGCCGAGGTAACTGGTAAAAAATCTCTTCCAGTGAACAGTCAAGCGTTCATCGATGCTGAAGTATCCGCTGCTTTGCAGAGTCCCAGTCAAGAGATCAAGATCCAAGAGGTTTCTCAGGTAGCAGAAGAATCAGTCAGGTCTCTGATTGATTCCACGGTGTCCGAGGATGTACCGAGCATCGAGAAAGCGACCTGTAAGTCAGACGGTGCACCAGTAATCATCGAAACACCTGTTATGGAGGTAGAAGGTCGCACGGTAGACGTAGAAAAGCACCCTGGCACCGTAGATGCTTCCGTGCTTGAGGAACAGCCGAAGAAAGCACAAGTGCTATCCGAAGAAATACCAAAGACAGTTGAAATTTCAGGAGAACCTGAAGAGCCAGTCGAAACGAAGAAAGAAGAAACACGTCTCCTACCGATTAACGTGAAACAGCAAATAGTGAAGGACTCGTTCGTTCCTGAAATTGATTACGATTACGTTGACGAAGCTCTGAAGCCGGAATACAAACCCATCTTCCACAAGGTGGAAATATCTCTGGCTGTGAAGAAAGAGGGAGAAGAAGCGGAGCCTATGGTGTCTGTGAAGAGTCAAACTGAGCCACGACTCGCACCCTATGGTATGGTGAAGGAGGATGTAGACATCAGTCTCCCAGCAGACAAAGAAAGTACGTCTGTAATTCACGATAAGATCGTTCAGACGTCTCCACCTATGCCAGAACGACCCATTACCTTGGAAAAAGAGGTTGCTACATCGGACAAACCGGTGAACACTTCAGAGAAAGAAGTTGCTACATCGGACAAGTCGGTGATCACTTCAGAGAAAGAAGAAACAGATAAATCGATCATCACTTCGGAGAAGGATGAAACTTCGGACAAGTCAATCGTTGCCTCAGAAAAAGAAGAAGAATGTCAAGCGAAGCCCACAGAATCCGAAGAAGATACAATTACTACAAAAATCGAAGAAGAAATCGGTTCACCTATGAAATCAAGCACTTCCTTGATTTCAAACCTTGCCGATTCTATGGAGATTGATATCCCTCTGTCAGATTCCTCGAAACAGGTCAGCGAAGCTCCTCAACCGGACGTGACGAAGATGTTCGCATCGGGTGAGATGGATTTGTCATTGAAGGATGAAACTTCGGAAGGTGAAGATGGATACGAGGCAGACAGGACGATGGTGTCGACCACCACGCCGGATGATGAAAATATTACGAGGACGAAGAAGAAGAAAAAGAGGAAGCAGAGAGTGAGAAGTTCCAGGGAAGAAGAACCAACAGAATTTCCTAAGACCACTACCGACGAAGGAGAATTCACGGACGATGTGACACCGGTGGACAGCGAAGACGCCAAGGCGACGAAGAAGAAAAAGAAGAAAAGGAAGAGGGAGGAGGTTGATCCTAACAAGGATAAACCTTCGCGAACTCAAGAATTCACTGTCTCTGTAGCTACGTCTCCGAAACACGAAGAAGTATCAGAGATTTACGTACAAACATCGCCTCAATTAGAAGGAAGAAAAGTATCAGAGATCCCAGACATTCACAAACAAGTACAAACTTCGCCTCAAGCTCCTGAAGATGTTGAAGTACCCAAAGTCGAAGTTCACGCAGAGATGCAAACATCTCCGTTGCCTGGTCTAGATTTCAGCAGCCAAACGGTTCAAGAAGAAATCCACAAACAAGTGCAGACCTCGCCTCAAATCCCTGAAGATATCCAAATACCCGAAGTTGAAGAAGTTCATACAGAAATGCAGACATCTCCGCTGCTGGGCTTAGACTTCAGCACCCAGACTGTTCAAGAATCGCCTGAAACGCATCATTCGGAGATGCAGACTTCTCCACTGCCTGGCTCAGACTTTGCTGTTCAAACCTTCACAGAAAAACCTACAATCGAAGAAACGAGTACACAAACGTTAGAAATACCTAGGAAAGAGGTTGAAGAGTACGCTGTTCAGACCAGTCCGATTGAAGACATTCATGTGACAGTTGTTTCGGCGGAAACTGAAGAGACCCAGGTGCAAACTGTACCTATGGATGTAGTTTCCATGGAGGCGCAGACGTCGCCAACAGCACCATTCATAGAAATGGAGACTCAGACTTTGGAGAAGACAGTGGTCGCTGTTGAACAGCAAACGACTCCTTCGCCAATTGAGGAGAAGGTTTCCACTTGCATTGCTGTTCAGACAGTGACTCCTGAAGAGCCTGAGATCATCGAAACGGAGTCGCAAACCAGTAAACCTGTCACTCCAGAAATAACTACGTTGGACTTCAACGTTCAAGCAGATCTAGCTAAAGAGACACCGTTCGAGGTGATAGAAACCCAGACTACTCCCATGGAGAGTCCTCGACAGGCTGTTACTCAAGAAACGGAGTCGCAGACGATTTTACCCCAGCCAACTCAGGAAAACATGATGCAAACCAGCCCGATCAGTGTCTCCCCGATTGGAGTTGACATTTGTGAACTTTCTGCCCAAACCAGCCTCGAAGAAACGAAACAACTGATGGATGAACACTCGCAGACTATTCCTCCCGAGATGATAAAAACGTTAGATAGCTCGGTACAAATAAAGACGAGCGAGTTAGTCCCCGGAGTAGAGGAGAGTATCCAGATCGTCCCTGAAACACGAGACGTTCAAACGAGTGTCGAAGAAGAGAAGCCGTCGTTCGCGACGATATCTCAGCAAACGAATGGAACGTTGCAAGATACGTTATTTAAGAATGATGCGCAAGGAGTACAAGCCACGGTGGACGTGGTGGACGCGTCGACGGATGCAATGACGCCTGTAAAATATATAGAAATTCCAGTAGCACCTGATGTACAAGTACAAGAAACAAAAGAAGAGTTAATGATGATAAGGAGCACGAAAGAGCAGCCGTCTTCCACAGACGAGTTTATAGAAACCGAACGATTGCAAGGACTATTGGAGCAAGATGAGCCAAAGTCCGAAGATAAGGAATTATCAGTCAGCGATGACACCACGAAACCTACTGACACCTCGCAGGACACCAGTATCAGCGAGGATTTGAACGCAGCCAAAGTGGACGATGGCAGCCTTGGAAGAAGACACAAGCGAAAGAGAAGACATAAGACCATGGAAATCAGCTCACCGAGTGAAAAGGACCTTGAGTCCATCTTTGGCCACCCCGTAGAGTCGAAAGATCTGTCCTTAAAATTATCCTATTCAGACGTTGCTAAGAAGAATGTAGGCAAAGAGAAGTCTCCTCCTGGAGATACCCACTTGGAAAAAATTTCTGAATCAGAGGACGTTCCACAAAAAGAAGAAAACGAACCGATGGTTGTTAAGGATGCTCAAGATGTATGGACTCTGGGCACGGAGAAACCAGATTCGGAAGTTCAACAAGTACCAATGCACATGCCTTCACCTGAACCGATGGACACAACTGAAGAACCATTCTCACCTGCTGAGTCCGTCTTGCAGGTGGAAGATCGACCTAGGATTAAAACTTACGCGGACATTATCACTGAATCTTCCAAAAAGCTTGATCTGAAATACGAAGAAGTGGATCAAGCTTCGTGGGAGATGTCTCATCACCCAGTCCCACCGAAGGGTGCCAGTTCGAAGGCCTTCCTGCTAGCTGAAACGATGGAATACGACCCTCAGCTTCAGGTCACCCAAAGTAATCAAACTACCAAGGCGATTTCTGATCGAATGCAATGTCTTCGAAACGCCAAACAGCCTAGTCATCTGGGAAACATTCTCCATATCGCTCACTTGGACCAAGTAGCGAACGAGAAGTTAGCCGAAGAACGTGCTGCTGATGTGAGGAAAGAATTGTCTCGTCTGAAAGACGCTGCTCAAGAGAAAGATTCGATAGCTGCGGAAGAAACCCTGGTTGTCATCGTGGATACTATATCTACGTGGTTAGAGACGATCGAATACAGGATCTTCCTTAGCAAGGAGTGTCCCAGTGGACCATCCCACGAGGACAAGACTTACGTCGAACTGAAGGACGAAGTGGAGAATGTAGAAGAGAATATACACGAATTGAACGATATTTGGAAATTGGTGGAGACTAATTATCCAGAGAGCGATCGTGTCAATTTGCAGGAGTGTTTAGACGCTCTTATGCATCAGGTGAAGATGATCGAGGACGTAACTGCTGACAGCGAGAAGCATGTCACCAGCGAGCTTGCAAGGTGGGATGAATTTGTGAACGGAGTGCACAACATGTACAGGTAAGATTCGAATGGAATAAAATATAGAAAGTGTTTCCTTTTGTAGGCGTTAGTGGAAGGGGGAGAGGGTTTCGTCTCCCCGGACCCTTTTAGTTCGGGCCGGGCACCGCTAGGTGGCGGCGAGATGATCAGCGTTCTCGCTAGCGGTCGCCCGGCATGCAGTTCAAATATATAGAATTTCCGAATTGCGGTACGATAGGTGTCTGGGGCAGGGATCCCGAGACGAAACGCCTTTTTTCCCCTCTCCTACACTTTTTATTTTTTAATTAATCCATGTCTCGATTTCTCATTATCCATAGATGGATCGAGGAGCAACGCGAACAGCTGAACAACGTCGTCGAGCAAGAAGCATCAACGCAATGGAAGCTCCAAGAGCTGGACAAGCTCGAAAACATAAACCGTTGTCACATGTGGAAAACCGCGTCTCTTCTCACCACTTCACACGAATTACTCCGCGACTACCCAGGCAAACATATTCCGAAAGAAACCTACGCTGCTCACGAAATGACGAAAATGATCGAACACGACATTTCCATCGAACGCGAACGTCTCCTGCAGCTGTTGGCTCTTGCCGAGGAATACGAGCAGACTCTCAGAGAATTTGCTGAGATCACCGAGATCGCGGAGAACTTGTTGAACAGTCCTATATCGGTGATGAGTTTGGAACATCTTCAGGAAGAGATGCAGAAACATAGGAAGTTCTTTGTCAATCTCAATCACTGTCGAACGATTCTGGAGTCATTGGAGGGCAATTTGGACCCTGAAACGAGGACCAAGTATTCAGACCTTCACGAAGAACTGCATAGCAGAGCTACGTCTCTGTTGGATCAAGCTGCCTCCAGAGCGCAACAAATGGCTCTAGCTGCGTCCAGGTGGATGCTACTGGAACAAGGGATCAAAGAAGAAAGAGGGTGGCTCCAGGTTGCTCATCAACGGGTACCTGGCCTCCAAAATGTGAAGTCGTCTGATTACGATCAGTACATCTCTCTGTACCAAGTGAGTATTATTTTTTTTCAGCAAGTAATTTTTAAAAATTTCAGTAGATAAAATTATCAGTCATCTCTCAAAATGTAGATTGTATTTAAAGCTCATTCTGGAATGATAAAACATTCCATGACTTATGGACGGGAACGTAAATAATACATTAAAATTATTTTTAACTCGAGCAACATTGCAGCTAACATTTACATGATAATGTTGAACGTCAGTTTAACGGGTATCGGTTTTCGTCAACAAACGCGATTTATCGGTAACGTAAATTCTTTTTTTAGTCTCTGGAAACGGATGTGGCGAAGCATCACGCCAGGATCGTTCAGCTTCTGAACGTGGCTCGCAGTCTTAAGGAACTGGTGAACATCGAAGATCCTGAGGATCGTTACAGAGAAGCTTTGGATGTGATCGTGAAGCTTCAGATCGACGTGCAACGATCATTGGGAATATTATTGAAGTTTAAGGAGAAATGGATCCTTCATGAATCATTGAAGAATCGATTGAAAAACTGGATGACGAAGGTGGAGAAGGAGATGCGCGAACCTGAATATTATCTATCCGTGGATCATTTGCATGAATTTTGGGTAAGAATTTCTAAAAGGGTTATTAACACTTCGATATCAGCATCCTTTATTCTAATATAATTATAATCTGAAACAAATGTACAATTTGCAATTTTAAAATCTCCCTCAAATAATCTAAACTTCCTGACACGTATCGTTTATAATTTCATCAGGAATTGAAGGCGCAATACGAAGTCCACCAAAATATGAAACTAAAGGCACACGAAAGTTTCGTAGACGCCCTCAGAATAATCGATTGCCGGGACGATATATTGCAGAGAGATTTATACAGGCAATTTGAAGATGTTTGGTTCGATGTAACTGCCCATATCAAGTACATCGAAGAACAGTTGAAACAAAACATCTACCCTAAAGACATATCGCCCAGCGAAGAACTAAAACTCCTCGAGAGACGATTGAACGAGCTAAGAATGACCATGGATGGTTTCCATGGTGTCCTGAAGACCGAAGAAGAATTGGATCTCTACATCGAACGACTCGCTGTTCTGTTAAATGAAATATCGTCGATTCATTGCGGAATAAGTTCTCTAAAACTGCTTTCACTACCGGCGATCGAGAAAGCTGGTGTTTTGTTGTCATCGGCATGCAGGATCGAAGATCAGATCAGGCAGGAATTGAACGTTGCAAAGTTGCTGAGGGAAAGGCTTCAGGCTATTCATCGTGGTCTGAATCGTGTCAGAAAAGCTCATCAAGAGCAATCATCTATATTGGACCAATGCGAGGGAAGCGAACGACAGGGGAGCGACGTGGTCGCAACTGCTGTCGATCGTTGTCAAACGGTCGCTGATGAGCTGGCTCTCTTGTGGCAGGATATCATGGAACTCAGACAATTATTACACACTTTGCCAACTATCACGAAAGTCTCTATGTCGCCTATCAGCGTCGAAAGAGACATTTCGAACCTGCAGGATGCGCATACCGATCTCGAGGCTAGATGTTCTCGCTTGTTACCGTTGTTGAGGAACAGGCTTGCTCTGTGGAGGAGGTTCGAAAGGCAACTTGAAATGGTGCAGCAATCTGTTCAGGAGGCTGATTATATGATGGAGTTGCTGACGGTTCAAGAATCGGTTGATTACGACAGACTACTAAAAGCTACCGAACGGTTGGAGGTAAGTTTGAATGATTTTCATGTTTTATATATTTTCACTTTCATGTGTTGGAGAAAAGATAGTTATTAAGAAAAATAATTAATTTAATGGAATGGAAAGTAATAATTGAAAAATGAAACTTTCGTATCCTGAACAAGTGCAATTATATTTGACTGTAACAGCTAACGTGTTAATCAAGCAAGAATTCTTAATCAAACTAGAAGCATCCAAGATTTATTATTCAAACGGTTTTGTACTCGAACATTCCTTGAAACTCTTCGGAACCTGGAATGCGTTAAAACTTGCAGAAGTTTCAATGACTGTAATCTAGAGGTATCGAGCGCCCTGCTTTCACGTCCCCACGCTTTTACTCGTTCTAGTAAAGAAACTATGAAAAACTTGGTTGAAAAGCAACCAACACAGGAGCAATAAAGTTTGAACGTGTTTCGTGTTATTTCGAAGAGGAAATTTACTTTTGCGTGATCTAAAATAATATCAATATTCAGCACGAAACATATCGCAAATTAATGATAAAAATATTAATTTAAAAAAACTCTACGTTTCGCGCGTTAAATATCGTTACAGATTAAAAATACCATTTGCAAAAGTTCGATCGTCAAGTACTGCGAATTAATAATAGAAACGTTTAAACGACCAAACTTTGAAAAAAAAAGCATCAGAAATTACGAAGTAACGATTGATCGATCGATCGATGCTCTCACCGGAAGACGCACTTTCCTCTTCGATAACCTTCGCCACGTGCGAGAAAAGCGCGCCTCCGAGTGCGCATGCGCGATGGGATCTGGGATCGGTGTTATCGCGGGTCAGCTATCAGTGGCGCGAGTTCCGTCGTCGAGTACGCGTCGGTCCCGCGTGCTTTTAAACGTTTCCTTTTGTTCCGTGACACAGTGACACTCGTATAAATCAATTTCGTAATTTTATTAACGTTCGAGTGCTTGTGAAATGAAGAATGAAGGATTGCGGTGACACGAGCCATGTGAACGATCGACGAAACGTCAGTTCGCTAATAGGCAAGCATGTCTGCTCATCGACGCATCGAATCGGCTGATCGGAAGTAAACGTTAAATATTCATGCTCTCGATTTAGTAGTGAACCAAAGCTCAAGAACAATTTTAATCGTTTGCACTTTGGAACGAAACGTTTAATTATTGCGTTCGAATGTGTAGTACATTAATTTTCATGCTGGGGTTGAGAAAAGTTAAATTTAAACACGTGCATAGGATATTTTATTTTGTTTTATTATGAATTTTTTTTTTTTATTTAATCCTTTTTCAGATTTCCAAATTTAATTCTCTATATTATTATTTTTTAATTTAAATATCATTTGACTGGGAGTCGAAAATTTTAGAGAGCCACTGTACGTATGTACACAAAACCGAAACGGGGACGAAGAACATATATACAAACGTGCAAAACAGATGACTCGTTTTAGGAAGTTCGTAGGTAACAGCTGTGCTATGAATAGTCATTTTTAGTTTCGGTTTAGAGAATGCAGTATCTGGTGTAGATAAGCTCATCCCAAAAATATGACGGAATTACTAGTGTCTAAAGAGTGTGCGTTCTTTTTGTCATTAACATTAGAATACTAAAATTCTCTAAATTTAATCGTAATCAGCAAAAAGTCGAACAATTGAATTGTCCTTGAAGAAAGACAGATATCAAGTCATCGAGTATAATTCTTCATTTACATTTTACTTGAACGAATGATACGGTTTCGTGAAACTGCGAATTTTAACGTCGAATAAAATTTGCCGTAAAACTGTAACGTACCCAGTGTCATTCGTCAAAAATATTATTACAAATATGTTTTGACTGAAAAATGTGGAAATCTTTCATTTATTCAGATTTTATAATTCAGGAACGATCTATATGTAATCAATCAAAATTTATAATTAACGACTTTGCATATGTAACTTAATACGTATTAATGAATCAACCTATAACCGTCGATGATTCTTTTTTTATAACAGTAATAATGAATATTATCGCAGAATATTATCTAAATTTTGAGTTTCTGTAATATAATTCTGATTTTACCGAAACAGAGTCTTTTATCTTGAAAGGGTTTAAAATATTTTCAATTTATTTGCACGCGGATAAAAAGGAACTTGATTTACGTAACAGCCTGATACTTTCGTCGTGGGGTATCGAAATAAAGCGAAACAATACAAGTTATACCGCAGACGGGCGTTCGTTTCGCTAATCCACTTTGATGTAATTACACGGGATGACACAAACGAGCACGGCGACTGGACTTATGACGCAGTGATACGGTATGTAAACTATGCCCACGTGGATAAGCACGGGTTTACCTAAGGCTCGAAGGGACTTTTGACAATGTTTACGATCGACTTGCCAGACGTTCGTTTCCGATTACGATTTTGCGCACCGAATTTCTAGTCACGAATTTAGACATCGGAATTCGACGACAAACTCGCCCGCGTCTAATTGCGCATTTTTATGCTCCCTTTTGTTATTCCACGCCACGATCGTTTGTTATCCTCATATTCGAAGCGACATAAATTTTGTGAAATTTTGTTAAAAACATTTTTTATCTCAACGCGCGATCGTGAAATTATATACCATTGAAAATTTCTGAGATTCGTAAGGTAATTATAAATTTTTGTGACGGAGAAATTATAGTAATGTCGGAGACAGTTGAAGAATTTTAGGCAGAGTGATTGCACGAACGAAGCGGAAGCTACAGGCTGGCCGCAACTTCCTGTTTCGTTGCTTATCGCGATTCCTCGTCCACAATTCCGATCTGAATCCCGTTGCATTCGACTTCCGGCTCGTGAAAAATCCAACGATCGGCTTCGTTAAAATTGTCAACTGCACCTAAAATTAACCGCGAGTATCATTGCACTTTTAGAAACGATCTCATTTTATTCCTCAATCGAAATGAAATATTGTAAAATGAAGCGAAAGAAAAATTTCATGCATTTCTTTCTGGAACTTCAATTTTTTTCCTCAAAATTTGTACAAATTGAAGCGCGATCATAGGATGTCGTTCGAATCAAATCCCTCCGAGCGGACAGCCGCGTTACTCAAAGTATGCAAATGCCAGTTTCCCTTAAATACGAACTATAAATAATTTTGAGTCACGAGACCAGCACGTTTCGAAGCTCGCGCCTTGAATTCGGTCAGAGCGTGGTTGAACTAATTTTATGTCGTGTACTCGGGTTCGTTAACCTGCCTGAGAATTTTCCGGCGAAACTGCTAAGCGGAAATCAAATCACCGCCGACAACGTTCCTCGTCAGCGAAATTCGTGTTACTCTGGGAAACTTCCCTACTCGACTCGCTTTAACTGATATTTCAACTATTCACAGTTGCTCTAATTTTTGCTTAATTATGAATAGTCACGTTTCCTTAAAATAACGAAATAATCATTCCTACGATTATGAATCTCTTACTATACTTCAAACCTTTTCTTTTTTTTAAATAAAAATCAGATAATTGCTTGTGCCATCGCTTCTAATTATCCGCGTTGTAAATGTTCACTTAAAGATATGAGAATAGATAAAATGCTAATGCGAGTGTCTACGATGGAGAGAATTAGGAAACGTTTTCCAAAGGTCCGCTATTAACGACGATCGCAATTAACTAGAAGACTATCGAGCAAATAACGAGCCAATCGTTCAATCACTCGTTTCAACATAACAATAGAACAATGTCCGAGCTTTTTTCTCTTCGCCAATCCCTGTTGCACTTGCCGTTGCATAACGTTCGATTCCATATGATCACGGAATATACGTGAAACTAAATATCATGGACGGGTACGTCACAGATAATTTTAATCGTTGGTAATAAGCGCGAAACGCGTTCACAGTGTATTTTCCTTGCTCGGAATGTTTATCCGGTGTCGCAATCTTTTATACAATGAAATCACCGATCGTGGATTAACATTCGCTTGTAATATCCAGGTAGAAAACGTCGTAATCATAGAAAGAAACTAACGAAGAGTCAACGAGGAGACCGACCGTACAGAATCAATTAAAGTTTCATTGAACTCATCGGTTCAATAAAAGAACGCTCTCTACGTGAGTTCGTTTCGTTCGGTGTACGTACAGCGAAACGCGGATAAATAAGCTGATTAAGCGAACTTGATCGAACCCGTTTAATTGATACGCGTATCAGACTTAACGAACAAACAACGAGAGAAAGTGATAATCCCTAGTTTAGTTGCGGTGACCAATTTTCTGAGGAGAATCAGCTGTTAACGAGATTACTTAACGCATTCTACGGTAGGGCTCTATTAACCCTTTGCCCTAAGAAAATTATTTTCAAGACAATTAAGGTGTTTGCACTTACAAGGGAACAAAAATAGCATATTAAAAATATGCTATTTTTTAATATATTATTAAAACAAATGAATTTTGTGCAAATCAACTTATTTAAAAAAACTAATTTCATCAATTTACACAATTACTCTATCTGCAGTAATTTCCAAGATATTCATCAAACAAAATATGTTTTGCATCCCCAACTTTGAGGGTAATTTTCACCCCTTTAACATGGACGATGACCGATGTAAAAGAACATGTATCAAATATTTTTACGAGAACTACATAAGTTTCATCAAAATCGTCGATTGACACTTCGGTACGTTACCCTGTTTGTCTTTCGTACGGTACGAATCGTGTTGGATTGGAGTCAGGAAACGTAGGAGATAAGAAAGACCCGTTTTACGAAGGGGTACGTGATACCAGAAATGGTTTCATTCGTTTTAGGGTCTCAGCGGTGATTTGGGAGCCCGAGAAGTTCTCATTGGCGAATTGCGCGAAGCTGCCGAACCTCTGCGGGAGGGTTGCGCTGCAGAGGTCCGCGAGAAGGTCGAAGCGGCGGTAAATGAGGCCGTGCAAGCCTGGGAGGACACCAGGGCCGAATTAGATGCACGTTGCACCAAGTATCAGCACGCGTGCAGATTGTGGGAACAGTACAAAGACTCGAGCGCCGCGGTGAAGGCCTGGGTGGACACCCAGATGGACACCGTCGCCAACCTACCGCCCGAAGAAGCCGTCAAACAGATCAAGGTATGTCCTTTCAATTTAATATATCTCCATTTTTATTTTGTCGAATGAAAAATCATCGCAGTAGCGGTCATTTTGTCAACGCTCGAATACCTAACTCGAGGAGTTACTAAATTTGTTTATCGAGAAAAAAGAAAGAAAGGAATAAAAAGAGCGTAGGCGCGATGAAAGCGGAATGTTTTTACAAGTTTATATTTAACCTTTGAATCATTGGATATAACATAATGGATACTTTGTTTTCGGGAGCATCTTTATCGCTGTAGAAATGAGGTAACATTAGTTTTCTTTTGAAACTCAACGGTTCGGATTATTCTGATGGTGAGTCATATTTATGGTAGTCGCACGATGTAAACTTACTAAACAAACTTAGTAAATTACCTGAATGTCCAGTTAAGCGATTGAATATAAAGAAATCTTACGGTATTCTTCATTTAAATATTTGCTAAATCATTTCCAAGAGGACGAGGTCTAAGTACATATTATCGTTCCTCTGGTTAATGAAAAATAATTTTCTGTGAGTTTGAAAGGCCGGGTATCGATCATCGTTATCAGGCGTGAAACGTGACATAATATTCATTATCAAACTATACAGTCACTTCTGTGCACTTTACCAAACAAGACAAGCTGTCTATCGATCTCCGATAAGCCACGAATTTTGTGCTTTTGGAGTTATCAGTTCACTGTTGATATTAAAAAAATCTCTTCTTCGAGGCTTTCAGATTTTTCTGAATCTGATCATACCGCAATAATTTTTGCCAAGCCTGTCATTCAATTTCTCGATTTAAAATAATAATTAGAGAAAACGTAAATCCGTAACTCCGTCTACCCCACCCACGAAAACATTCAGTCAGGGAGGTATAGAGGTTGAAAAGGCGTCCCTTGAATGGAAGTAGTGTCATCGTCCCCACCACGAGTACTGGGTGCAGCGATATAGAAACGATTCACCCTACGCAAGTGCGAGAAAACGTGTCTGCGAGGGTAGGTCGTTGAAATACAGGGCAACAGAGTCTCTCTCCCCACTTTGTTAGGGTATGCGCATCGATCCCCGGAGACGGCAGTCTGGTCCAGAGCGTCGGGACGCTTGTTACTCCGACGGGGGCCGGTCTTCTTCGTTATCGTCCACGTTTTTTCTCTCGACAAGCTTGCATCGTAAACACGTTCTGAATCATATACGAATTTGGCCGGCTGACGAATTAACGCGTGCTCGTCCCGTCGGCTTCCGGTTCATCGAAAATTCAAAGCATGCGCTCGTACGCGTCGCGACGACACGTGCCCGATCATTTTCTTCGTTCCATGGAACGAACACGCGTTGACTTGCTGTGAAAAAAATAGGAACGGTGACCTAAATTCAGATAACATGTGCACACCCGAGGAGATAAAGGTACGATCGAAGAAGGATGTCAACGAGTGGACAGTGAAAGGGCGTTCTTTTCTTCGTGGAATTCACTGAAGATATCTCGGTTCTAATCTTTATTTTTTCATTCTGATGAAGTTTCTTTTTTTTTTGTTCTTTCCAATCTTTTTGGATGTGTTGTGCTTTCGACCACGAGTGGGATGCGGGGTCGGAAAGACTCCCTGGGGATACATTGTCCGCTCCCCTTTTCTTCACTTTCTATCGATATCGTGGTCGAAACGCAGATTCTGCGTTAGAATACATGCATGCGTGGTGCAGCCAGTTGAAATGGAATTCTTTGTGCATGCTATTCTACGTTAATCTAGCAAATTGTGATTTGATCGTTTCAGTAATTTCCTATTTATATTGAAGTGACATTCTCTCATTTATATTGGAATAGTTCGAAAGAACCTGTCATTTTTTTATTTTTTACAAATAATTTGGTTGAATAATTGGAAGCTTATCTAACAGAAAAAAATTCAATAATTATTTGAAATAAAATTGCTCCAAATTGATATTTGAACACGCGTTTGGTTCAAAAATGATTGGAGCTCCGAACGAATTGCATCCACTTGACGCGTGTGTCATTCATACTCGTCCCGCTTTTTTTCCACGATTCTCCTTCTCTTTTTCATTCATTCATCCGTACCATTCATTTATGCACTTGTCATTCATTCGCACACGTACACGGTCGCTTTCTATGACGGATGAAGCTCGAATTCAGAAAACGTTGGGGCGACCCAACCGATGGCTCCCGAGATCCTATCCCCTTTTCTTTTTTCAAGATATAACAGAAATTTATATTTAGCACACGCTCGATCCCGCTATCTTTAGCGCGTAGTTAACAGGTTTCTGAAATCTTAAAGTGTCCACGAGAACCGTGATAATAGAGTGGAACGAGACTAACTCTTAATCATGGTTGTTTCGCAAACAAGTGACTCGAAGTGACAAGATAAAAAGTACGCATAATATCGTTCCTTAACACTTTCGTTTCTCGTGAATGCAATGAAAATTAATTTATTCTTTGTAATGTACAAACTGTACAAGATTTTTTTCCCAACTAAATTTTTCACCTTTCTGAATATTCTGCTTCAACCCTTTGGCGGTGGATCACTAAAATTTATCATTTACAATTTTAATTTGTTTTTTAAAAATATTAGAAATGTTTCCTAATTTTATTCTATTCCACCATTCGAGGGTTAAAACCGCCCTAATTCTACCTGAGAAGGGTAGAAAAATTACCGTATGTATGACGGATGATTAATAATTGTAAAAAAAAGACGAAGGCAGTGATTTATAAATTACAGTTTATCTCGAAATTTTCTACAGATTTGCGAAGAGACGATGGCGGAACACAAGGAAAGGTTGGCGGAGCTTCGTGGCCTGGTGGCGCAAATTGCATCGGACGTCGGTTTGGATGCAAGTGGGCCATTGCACTGCGAAGTAGAGGCCCTTGGACAACGTCTCGAAGACATCCGAGAGACATTATCGTCTCTCGCAGATGCCGCGGACGCTCGTGCCCTTAACCAGGAGCTAGCACGTGGCGATTTATGTCAGACTAAAAATTTCTTGGACTCCATCCAACAGGCAAGTGTATAATTATGTAATTTTTATTTCCGCGGCTTTCATTCTTCTCTATATTAGAGATAATTTCTAATTTCACCTTTTGCATTCTTCCGTTATAATTAAACAAGGTCGTTGCATATTCTTCAAAATTCATTCGATGAAACTTCGAGTTTTCCCGGTAGCTAGGTTTCATAAATATTTCAACCGCGTGATAGAAATGTCGATGAAAAACGTGTTGACACGTGTGCTTAACGCCGGTACAGTTAGCACCGCGCCGTGTTTATTTCAATTAGCCCCAGTCGCTACTCGAAACATAACTACTCTTCCTCAACCGAGGTCGTTGTTCGATACAACAGAGAATCGAAGCTCCATCGAAATCGATTCGTTTCTCTCTGCGATCGAATGTGTCAGGGTAAGCGAATCAACTTCCATCTATAATTACGAGCGATTAATTTAAAGTCAACGAATCGCGTTAAATGGGAATCGTCGCGACGTCGGGAATACCGCAAGACGTGTTATGTACCAAGAAACGAGGGTTCTAAAGTAGGCAGTTTCATACGCGTTGAAGAACAGCATATGCTGTCTTCGTGTTCTCTTATTCTGGCCTTCGCGAATTCGTCTGGAGTCATGGGATGCCTTTGATCGCTCGTACCACCTCCTGCATTCCATCTTTCTTTAGACTACTCAGACTATTCAACGCTTAGAAACGAAAACTGGTAAAATTTGATGATTTATTTGTACGGATTTAAATGAATTATTATAATTAGATGTGCGAGTCCATTTGACTCTTAATTGGATTAAGGGTTAACGCAGTTGTCTCCCGATTTTCTTAGCTCTTCGGGTACATAGGTATAATTATACGTGTCCATCAGTTTCCGGCGTGGCTATTGGTGCTTGGCACAAGCTCAATCATTACCTCGCACGCGCGTTTATATTTTAATCGCGTTAGTTCCGAAACAATTTGTTGTGTCAAGGCCGAAGGGCTTGAAAACCGGGGCTGGCAATTGCATCAGTCACGAAATCCGCAACAGCTGAATATCCGGCCGTGCACCCGCGCCACTCTTGCCAAAACTTTCGACTACCCTGGAACACCTTCGATTGCAAGCACCTTGTTTCCGATCGAAATCCACGATGATTCGTCGAGGTGTCGATTGAAAATCCCCCTCAAGGACGCGGTTATCGCGAATGTACGAAAAGTCGATACTCGGCGAAAGGGATGCAATCGAGTACACTCGAGATAAAGACTTTCCCCGGTAATTTTGCATCTTTTCGTATTTGAAATTGAAATATTCTCAGATTTCTCAATTCTAAAGAATATTAATATTAATTAGGCAAGGTTGCAAGTGGAAAGCTTGAACTGGGAAATGCAACAATTTTAATATTAAAATATTATTTATTTAGGAAACCTAGATCGTGTCTTACAATATAATTTTTCTAATATTTTCTCTTCAGAGCCTCGCCGCAGCGAACGAAGACGAGTCGAAGGAGCAGCTGAAGCTCCTGAGGAATCACCTCCTCGCCCTCACCTGTACAGAACCCCAGCTGCAATCAATCAAGGAGCGCAGCTTGGAGGTGTCCTCGCAGGAACCATCGGTGGTAGAGGTTCTTCAACTATGGCAGAAGGTCTTCAGGGAAACCTTTCAACAGTATCATCGTCTGTCCACTCGTCTAGTCAAAACTCAGGACAGCGTGACCGCCCTTAAACTCTGGCAAGAGTACCTATCCCACGTGCAAGACTTCCTGTCCAACGACGTTCCCGCCGACTACAGCGGTTTGTCGGAGCACAGAAATCTCTGCGAGGTTCATCAGAACCTACTGACTGATCAACAGAATCTCATCCTCACCGTTCGTTCGGAGGAGGGCGGTAACCTGTCCACCACCGAACAATTCAACATCCTGACGAATCTGCACAACGAAACGTTGTCGAAAATCATGGAGAGACACGCGGCTGTTCGCGATAGGCTGACAGCATGGGACAGGTACAAGATTGATCAAAGTAAACTGCTCGGTTGGTTGAAGGAGATCGAGAGAGAACGAAGCCAACTTCATCTTCGGTTCATTCATCTAAGGAGGCTCGACAAGATCCTCCAAAGGATACAAGCGTTATTGGATAAGATACCGGAAGGCGAGGCTCAGTTGAAGTCCCTTCAAGAGCAACAGGATATCCTGTTGATCAATTGCGACGGGGCATTGGCTGCGTCCATCCGCATGGAACACGCAGCTGATTCCCAAAGGATAGCGAATCTCAGCGCAGGTTTGGAGACTTGGAGAGATTTCATTCAGAAGATACAGAAACTCCACGCTGAATACGAAGAACAGACGAGAAATATCAGCGCTACGTTCGAGGAGATTAGTCAAACGTTAAGCACAGCTTTCCACGCGAAGGCTGCCAATGTTTCGAGGACCAGCGAACAGCTGGAGTCCGTTCGGCAACTCCAGAACAGGCTGTCCAACATGAGCACCGATTTAGAAACTCTCGGTGTTATCACGGAACAGTTGAGAGAGTGTCTGAGTCCTTCGGACGTAAAGTCCTTGAACCATCAACGAGCACTTCTATGCCAACAGCACGGAGACCTTGAACACCAGGCTGCGTTATTAGCGTGCAGATTAGACGAACGTTGCAGCCTCTACGATCGTTGGGTGGATAAATCGAGAAAATTGTACGTATCGATCGTTAATATTATGTCGAATATTCAGAAACACGATTCCACGTGGAAATCTAAAGACGCTCAGAAGAGACTGGTGTGCGAGTTGCAAGCAGAGATCGCTTTGCAACAGAGAGACTTATTATGGGTGCAGAGCACCGGGCAAGATCTGCTCGAAGTTGCTGACGAGAAGGAGAAAGAAAGGATTCAACGATTCCTCGATCGCGTGAACGAGAAGTGGGATCGTTTGACAGCCATGAGCAAAGCAAGAGCGATTAAATTAGAAAATTTCATCAGAACCATGGAAACGTTGGAGAGGAGGTTGAACGAGATGTTGAGTATGGTGGCAGGCATCGAAATGGCTCAGCGATCGAAAACCCCGGTGACCGATCAGAGTCGTATCGACAGAAAGTTTCAGGACCTGCAGCATTACAGCAGCATCATCGATGCTGAGAGTGCCAACGTTAGTGAAGTGTTAAATCTCGCGGAGATATTCTTAAAGGACAGCTCGAATTACGTGTTCGAGTCAGACACCAGCGACATTTCAAGGGACATGTGTGATTTAGAGAAAAGATGGGATAAGATCTGTATAGAGGTGACAGGATCCGAAGGTTACTTTAAGTCATGGGTTCGCAAGGCTCTTGAGAAACTAGAGAAAATTACAATAGAACACGAAGACTGGCTCAGAGAGACGGATAGCGTTCTGTCCGAGTTGGAGAACAATCTCGATGAACTTTCCAAAGAGGAAACCGATAAGGCCATCGAGAAAGCTAAGAGGATACTCGAGGATGTCGAAGGACACGAGTCGGTGATAGAATTAATTAAATGGAATGTTCATAAGTTGGTAACGTATTTAGAGATAGATAATCTGAAATCCGTTATCAGCGGAACTTACCAGCTTATCGATAAGTGGGACACGTTGAAACCTAGAGTGAATAACGTTCTATCGGTGCTTCAGCGAGGTCAAAAGAATTATCGCGACTTTATTACGGTACACGGTGCCGCGGTCGTCGGTTTGACGCAAGTTGACGTTAGATTGACGAGGACTCAACACCTCGCCACCCCTGAGCAAAAAGCGTCTGCTCAATTAAGATTGCAACAGTTGAACGAGATCGAGGAAGAGTTGAGGACTCTGAACGTTACGCTTCAAAGGGCCGACGAATTAGCGTTGAAAGTTATGCAAGAATGTCATCCGGACGAGGTGGCGAACATTCAGGAGCTGGTGGACGAGTACCAGTTACTATGGACTGATATCAAGGAGAGAGTGGCATCTCTGAGGGCAGAAATCGAAGGGCAAGAGAAGAAGGAAGTTGACGAAGCTGTACAGGTGGAAACTTTGAAATTCGAGCAAGATTCTGCTGTACAGGTGGACACTTTGCCTAGGTTACTGAGAATGACTTCCAGTGACGCTTATCTGATGGAACTGGAAGCTGCCTTGGTTGAATGCAATGATGCTTTGGATACGTTGGAAGTAGCAGTTACCCCGGATCCGGTTGCCGGACCCGGGTTAAATGCTAGTGCTAAGCATATAGTAAGTTTGACATAATTTAACGACATTTGGCGTTAATGTCATCACAGCATCGCTAAAATCTATTGTTCTATCTTTCAGAGTAAATTGATCGGAAGCTGCCAGTCATCGATCGAACTGGCTCGTCATCTGCACAGCTTGCTCGTCGAAGACGGGAAATTGAGCCCTCAGGTTGCCAAAGTTGACGAAGTGACCGCATTGACCAACAGATACGAGAATCTTTTAATACTGGCAAGAACGCGTGAACAACAAATTAGGGAACTTAGGTAAAATTATAATTGATTATTTAAGACGTTTGAATAATATTTCCTACCCAGTCAACGTTAAACAACTTTTTCATGTACAGATCGCCTATGAGTGACGTTTACACCTCTCCCTGTGATCAGTGAGTGTTCCCCTTTCGCACTAACAATTTCTCATTAACAGTCATTAACGTACTCCGTTCATTTGGTGTCTGCTTTTCTCCTCTCGCCAACCCACTTAGATAATGTTTGTTAGATAACATTTCTTTTGTGTAGCTATTGTTTCGTTTCAGCAATTGATTTTCAACTTATCGTTGCATCACTCGTCTTGGCCCATCCTATATATAAGTGAATATTCAAACTAAAATTTTACTTTCTTCATTGCAGTGATAATGGAAGATTGACCTGTCCCCTGTGTTCCCATCGCAATTGGGCCCAACTGGAAAACGATCTTTGGAGATTAGAAAAATGGTTAGAATTCGCTGAAGGTACTCAAAGCGAGCAACATTCACCACCGAGCAGTATAGAACAGCTGGAGGATGTGATTCAAGACCACCGTGAATTTCTACTCGATCTCGACTGCCATAAGTGCATCCTCGTCGGTTTGAATACAGTGGGTGCTCATTTAGCCGACCATACCGAAGAATTGTGTCGAGCCAGCCAGCTCAGAGACAGACTGACCATCGCGAACACGAGATGGGACAAAGTGTGCTCGTTGGCTGCACGTTGGCAGGAACAGCTTCAAGTTTCTCTTATGTCGAACCAACAATTCCATCGTATCATAGAAGAGTTGCTTTCTTGGTTGGAGAAGACGGAAATGAGTATAAGAGTCAGCGAACCGGTTGATTTGACCAAATCGCCTGAAATCATGACCGCCAAATATAATAAATTCAGGTATGTTCGGTGACTTAAGAATTTTTTACTTTCTACGTATTTTCAAAATTTGTTCAAATTTCCAGATAATTTTCCTTTGAAACCTCTCTAATTCTAGCCCAGAATTGTATGAGAATAATGAAGAATAATGAAGATTTTTCTTGTTCAGGGAATTGAGAAGTGACTTAGAGCGATGCGAACCTCGTGTTTTGTCGCTTCAAGAGGCGGCAAATCAATTACTGGACGAGAAAGGCGAAACCAGAGCACGTCTGCAGGAACTTCGACTCAGGTTGCAGTCGCTTCGACGACTCACAGGGATATACGCTTTAAAATTAGGGGCAGCATTAGGGATGGACCCTAGAGAGGTTGGACTTGCTGCCACCACTTCTTCTCTTGCTTCCCTTTCTCAAGACGTAAGCTACATTCTATCCTATCTCTTCCATAGATTTGAAAAGACGTGAAAATAAACATTCCCTATGGTGCTGAAGAATAGTTTTAAAGAAAATATTTGCAAGGAACGTCAGTGCTCTGCGGATGGTTCTCCCTTGGTAAATGTTTCATAGTAGATTTACGCACTTACGTCGTAGGATCACGTTAACCGGTATTTAACATACACCAGGCATGGATTATAATAAAAATTCAACGAAAATCATACATGAAATGTTGGAGATAAATTATGATCTATATTAGTTGATTTTCCCAATTTCTATGATTTAGAGAAAAATTTTCTTTCTCATTGGAATTTTATTGTTCCATGCTTTTTATTATCAGTAGCATTCACACGCACAGTACCTTATTGTTTGTGTTTTCTCTTTTACTGTATTGTAGCTGCTCGACGAAGCTGCCTCTGGATCCGCTCAACCCCACGACGCATCTAGCACAGAGTATGTTCATTATCTGTTTTGTTTTTCACTTGAATAGAATTTTTATATATAATATTAAACAACAATCAAAATCGATACTTATTTATTTATAATATATTTAAAATAGTAGACCTAATTGATAAACCAGACCCAATTTACATTTGATATTTTCTATCTTGCTTATAAGATCCTCTTTCAGTTTTAAGAGAAAAAATTCCAGGAATCTCGAGTTTCAACTGAGAATTTTGGTATCTGCATTTATCTGAAATAAGTTGAACAATCTCCAAATAAAAGTTTATTTATGATAATCGTATAGTATCGTGTGTTTCAGTGGTGACGATGGCCAACGAACGGTATTGTCTCGAGGATACCGTTTCCTGGGCCGTGTTTTGAGGGTCTCGTTGCCGATCCAAGCCCTGATGTTGTTGGTACTTGGGATCACCTCCTTGGTACCATCCACCGAAGAAGACTACAGTTGCATGCTGTCGAACAATCTCGCCAGAAGTTTCACACCGATGCTACTCTATACGAACGGACCTCCGCCGATTTAACATTAAAACGGCACAATACGAAACGCATCGACTTAGCTAGTCCTCGAAGAACGTTCAATCGAAATATTCAGAAAAATCGCGGCAAACGGAAACGAAATTTACGTAGCTATTTAGCTAGTCTCTCGTACAATGACGTACCATTTCCACCGTGCTATAGATGAAGAGGACACTCATGGATCTCCGTGGCTCACGAAAGTCATCGAGACAATTACACGTGTGATATAACGTTTGTAGTCGTGTAGAATAAAACACGTTAAGGACCAAGAAACAAACGGTTCCGTTTCGCTTATTTACAATTGTGATCTTCGTTCGATATTTGCGAATTTGTCATTGTGCAATATCTTCGACAAGATTTCCGAAGATAATGTAAGAGTATGTACGACCTCTACGAACGATTTAACACGGTTATCGACGAATTTGTTCCGGTTTCGATCAGTTAACCACATCCGACATTCCATGTAACATTATCGCGTTTCTATTTATACAAACACACTGTTGATATCGTTCCTTTCATTAATTTTCCACCTTTTTCGTTTTTCTTTTCTTTTTTCCCTTTGATTATTATCTGTACAGAGAACGAGTGATCGAGAGAAAGAGAAAAAACGAGAAAGGTTTAATGTCACATGGAATGGGCGAAAAAGTGTTAACGATTAAATTATTAATTAACGAATCGCTTACGTGCACACACAGATTAACTACGAAACTTGTATGAAAAAAAAAGAGATTAAACGATATATATATATACATACATACATATATTATATACTTTCAACGAGTTTCGCGTTTTTACGGTTAGTACGTGACGAAAGATTAATATAATCTTGTTCCGACTTTATTTTTTATACGTTGCGTTTATAAATTGAGAATGAAGGAATAGAGAGAAGCGGTTACTTAAAAAGAGAATAATTAAGAACGTAAACGTCCACTGACCGATTTCTTCAGCGTGTTCGCTAAATCGCGCTGGTCATTGGTGCTAATTCGATGGGATAGAAAGAAACACAATAATACATTATATTGGTATCTAATATATTATAGAATTGAATTTCGAACTCTGTACGGTTACTTAAGGATGGATGAATGAAAAAGTTAAAAAAAAAAAAAAAAGAAAAAGACAAGTATCGCATAATAATAAACGAAGTTACCCGTTGCTGGAAGATGATGTTTTAAGAGAACGATCATTATACAGGATACGCACAAATGGATCACGAATTCTATTCGAGGTACAAAATAAGAGAACCGATTGTATTTAAAAGTGGCCCCGCTAGAATTTCGCTTCCTAATTTAAATGGTATCTTGCTTGCTACGCGATCGAGCTTTGTTATGTATTTTTATAAGGACAGAGCTTTCCGAAGACGGTGTACATCTGTCGATGTAATATAATTACAATAAATTGAGACCTATATAATTATTTGTCTGTTTTTATAGAGCGGAGTGGAAGAATCACGAAACGGTGGAGAAGTCAATCATGACGCAGGTTTAAGGATTATCGCCTCAAATTAAAAACTGAAAATTTTCAAACGAAAGGATTTCATATTCCAGAAATGATATTAAAAGAAATTTTATGCAGTTTAGAGAATTGAGAGAACACTTGAAGAATCATTGCAAACATCAATTAACATCAATTAGGATTCAGACGGGTCGAAAACACCTCAGATTTCGAAGAAAATCAGCAATTATTAACTCTCTCATTTGTCAGGATCATAAACACAAAATGAACATTTCAGAAGTGAAACTAACATTACGTTAATTAGTAAGAGACTCCAGAAATAGATACGAGAATTGAAAACATTAACAACAGTTTTAATCATCGCATTTACTTCCTTTGAATATTACCAATATTTATAATAAACAATTGTTAATACTTTGATTATCACCTGGAATTACCTGGTGTTGTCATTAAGATTCATATCTAAGTAGAAAATTAAACACTCGTGTATTTACGTGTACTAATTTGAATGAACTTTAGTCATAGCATCGAGCACAAAATAATGGAGATATTTTGCAGAATGCAGTTATTGTGATTATAATTAACACTTATGGCAACAAATATGAAAACCTAACAAAGTGTTGACTAAAAATAGTGAGCCAACCAGAATGCACTGATAATGTAAATTAGTAAATTAAAAGCTGACTCTTTGGAATTGCATGACAATGTCTTTAATATGTTATTTTAAACTCGACAATTTTCATTATTCCAATTAACACTTCTCGTTAATTTCCCACGAGGTTAATTATACTTTGCACCAAAGACTTGTTTATACAAATACTAAAAACAACGTTTCGCAATCTTAATATTTCATATTTCTATTTTGAAACAATGCTTAAAACACCATTTGAATCCTGTCTAAGATATATTTTTCTTTCAAACAGTGATGGAAAATTTTCCAAGGTAAAGTCATCGATGATTCCAAGAATTCGCAACAGAACGACGATCAGACTTCCCAATGTTATGTTTGTAGAATAATACAATTGCAAGCTAAAGATTTCGTTTAATCGTATTCTATTAAAAAGCTGCTAGACACACATATGTGGCTGGCTAATTAAATGCTTAATTAAATACTATTATTATCTCTACACGTATCGCTCTCCGGTTAAGCCTTTGATTTCAGAGGTGTCTATATATTTATCATTTGCCAGAATATCTTTCAAAACGATGTTAAATAAAATTAATTTTAGGGATGCAAAGGGATGAGGAGGTAAGCATTGAAGAGTGCATCAAAAATGCATCAAAAGTGCATCGACGAAAAATAGACTTCCAAATTTTCAAAAAAATAATATAAAATTTTAAAAATGCAAATGCAGATGAATTTAAAATTAAAAGAAAGTCAGCAAAGAACCGATTTCCCTATCTGAGGGTTAAAATTAGAATTTAGAAAACTTCTGACTTTTTGCAGAAAGCTTTCATCAATAATAACAGCTTCGAACGTTTTAATTAATTTCTACTATAATTTCATGTTTCCTTAATTGACTCACCAGGAAAATAACATTGATCCACGTGTTTACGTCTGAACGAAATAGAACCTCCCATATGTGCATCCAGGATCAAATCAAATGAATTCTATTTAACAGCTGCATGCAAGGTGCAGCCTGGGAGAGAGAAAAATTATTGTAAAAACGAAACAAGTTTTTGCGCAAGCGCCTCGTTCACACCGCGTCCAGTGATAACGAAAGGTAATACTTAGTGTTGTAAAGACATTAGATCGGGTAAGAGGATTTTTCATTTGATAATGAGAATTGGACACAGATCCCATCACCACTTTGAACGTCTCACATTAGTTACCTAACTCCGAACGCAGCATGTCGAATTCGAACGAGAGAAAAGCGAAAAGTTTGAACGATATTCCTATGATTTTCAAAAAACGCGACACTAATAACACCGAATCGAAAAATTCAAATTTCAAAGTTTCTTTAGGAAATGTGCCGGATGAACGATCAGAAGAAAATGACACTTTTCATTCAGAAAAAACAATTTCTAATGAAAGTAAGTTACTCGAAGCAAGGGAGTTTAGTAAAGAAGAGACTAAAAAGGAGGAAGGATATACGAAAAAATTTCAAGTGTCAACTATTAGTATCGAGGAACGATTAGATAGTAATTCAAAGGTAATTCGTTATAAGTTTATGTCATATTTTCGTGTTTTTTCTTTACTGTTGTTGGAAAAGTTTCTTCCCGATTAGATCGGTGCATTCGATACGTCAGATTTCGTGAATACACTGCTCGAAGACGAGAATCTGGCGAACCGACATAAATTCAAAGACATTTTAGAGATAAAATTTGGAAAGAAGAAACGTGTCCTATCGATCATAGACATCTTTCTATCGTTGGTTTTAATTGCCCCATTGACGGTCGGTTATTGGAGAGGAGTGTGGACGTTAATGGACATTCACGTGGACATGTACGTTATGCAAAATAATTTACCAATTACACCGATAAACAAAACAGTCATAAAAGAAAGCTGATAATTTGTTAAATTAGCTGTTTTGTTCCGTTAAAGTTAAAATGCATCGTTTCACTTATATTTATGCAAATTCTTTATCGGGTCTTCAAGTTTAATGGTTTTACAAAGTCGTAAGGAGGACAAATATAAGATATATTTTATCGAATTTTTTATTTTATTATTTTAAGCTTTCCTGGTGTGGTTACGTTCGTTTTGGGTATAGTGATTCACACGAGTTTTGCGGCCTTGAAGAATTTATTACACACTCGTGTGGTGAACGCATGGAAGAAGAAAACGGCATTGAATAAATTCTTTTGCAAAAGCACGCAAATTTTGTACACGTACATTTTTGGGGTTGCTTGCAATATGCAATGGAGAGGAGGATGGATTATTTATGATCATTTTGTCACTGATCTTTGGTAAGATCCCTAACCATTTACCATTGTTTCAATTTCAATTTCATTTTTACAAATATTTCTCTTATTTTCCATTCATTTCTGTGTGTTCCCTGTTTTAGGAAACTTCTGACTTCGTTTACATTTCTTACCACTGAACCACGATATGGTCATAGGATAGTAATTTATATTTTGAAACCTTCCCATCATTGTAATTTGCAGGAAAAAAGACGAGGAAAGAACAAATTTTACTATTAATGATAAGAATAACTAAGTAAAACTGTTTGAAAAGTAGGAAACAATGTTCGGAGATAATCATTTCGAAAGTTGTCTTTTTCAATGCTAATTTTGCGTTAATTAAGTATGAATATATTTAAGATAGTGAGTACTTTTTTCGGCGTTAATATAAATTAACTTTTTTACTACCGCTCACTCGATATCGCGTAATCGACCCGCGTTTCGACCCTGACAATGAACAAACACCTAAAAATAAAAATATCAGTAATAATACAAAAATCCAGGATCAATTGTCTTAACTGTGTGTTGAGAATTAACCATAGTGGTTTTATGTTTGAATTAAAATGATTTGATTGATCTTTCAAGGAATTTTATTTAACTTATTTTTAATAATTTTTTGCAGGGCAATAATAACCACCTTGCTACTGGAATTAACAATATTGGTCATTATTCGAGCCGTTCGTAATCTGCTCGCAATTCCATCGGTGATTGCCGTGGATAAACTCATCTTTGTCTTTCGTTTTCCAACCAGATATCAATTGGTAAGTTCATATCAAATTCATGTTATTTTAAAAAGAAAATCATGTTTCAATTTAAAGAGAAAAGGAAAAACCGAAGGAAAGTACACTTCTTCTTGCAAAAGATCATGAATTTCATCATAGTGTAGCGATGTTCCTTCGGAAATGTTTATAATGTTACGTATTTCCCCGTGAATAATTTTATCAATTAAGACGATCGATTAAAATCAAATATCGTATCAGTGCACTTAAGCGTACCATTTCGTAACATGGAAACAATCACTTTCATATAAATATTCTTCAAGGAAATATTTCATAAACTTATATTTGCTGTTACTCACAAATTAGTTAACCACTCAGATATTAATTCACGGATTAATTAAATATTTTATGCGAGCTGCATATTTTTGCAATTATTAAAAAAGGGTCAGTAGGTGTATTTAGGAGCAGCATTTCATTTTACAAGGTATTAAAAATTTTAAAATAAGGAGAAAATTTCCAGGTCAAAGACAAATTTTTAATTCAATTACTTTCTTTTAATTATCTACCACTCGATCGTGATAGTAAAGGATGTTGCGACGTTATCGTACAAACAAAACTTACTTACGACCATTTATCACTGAAAACAAAAAAATGATTAACTTCATCAACGGTGGAGTAAACTTTATAGTACGATCTGTTTGATACGACAGAAGGTACCTATTACCGAGCAATAACAGTTATCGTTTATCTTTATCGTACCTGCCGAGTTATTTGCGTGCGGTTCATTGAAGCTTGAGAATCACAAAAATCGTGTATGCATTTTCAGAAGGAAAGTAACCCATGTGGGGATGTACCTTTCCACAATAAAACAAAAACTAACTTCAAAATAGCAAGCAGAAGGGAAACTTTCTTATCTAAATTAAAAGTATTCTAGGTATAAATTTGCAAACTTATATAGTGATATAAAATAATATCACTAAATAGGCGTAAAGTAATTTTCATTAAGATTGAAAATATTTTTCGAAACTTTCTCCACAAATAAACCCATCGCCCGTCGTTAATCCCAAGTATCAGTACTTAAAAGTGTCTTAACTTTATCATCAAACACCGGCGACGTATCTGAAACATATTACCCGTGTTAACCAGTCAAATCTCCTAATCAAAGATATCAAATTACACCATATATTAATTTTCTCACGCTTACGACCGTCGAAACGACGAGGTGTGAACGTGATACCGGGTTAAATGCGATTACACAAAAGTGTCCGAGATTCGAAGGGAAGTTTTTCGCGATTAACAAAGGCTGTCGCGAAAAAGTAGAAAAATGACGGGTCAAGGTGAGAGGATCGTGGTAATCCAAGCTTGATTGGTGTACAAAAAGGTGGCGATTAGCGATGCGTTCGCCGGTACAAAAGGCCGATGAATCTGGCGGACAGGAAACGCCACTCAGAAAAATGAGGCTTCAAGGTGGCTCGACCGGGTGGCTCCAACTCCTATCTTGTTTCTTATCAATCAACGATGATTTCCGGATTTGTTAATTAGCGCCTGCTTGTCGCGTGTGTTGATCACGATTTACCCGTTCGGCCTACGGGATTTGCTCGGGATTTTATTGAAAATTATGTACGATAACAATTGATATCGATGCCATTACATACAAATTTCTGTTTAAAAAAAGGTATTAATACAACGTCTAAGATAAATTCGATCACGAGTTTCAGATGGAACGCCGTCTAATCGTACAGGGATTGATCGAATATGTATGAAAAAAATATATAATTACGCAAAAATGAAAGAAAGTTTCTTGATAAATGTAATATGGAAAGTGAAATTTAAAATGCAAGGTGCATTCGTTGTTTCGATGCATTGCGTGTTCAAGGATTATAAGGCTCTTTGTTCGTTCGATAATATAATATATATGAAAATATGGAAAACATGCTAATGGAGAGGTAACATGCGAATGGAATTAATCAAGTTCAGAGAAAATAGAATTTACACCCCCTACGATGGTCCGCTATAATTTTATTAATTACGATTTTATGGTATCAAATTTCAGTTCTAACATCTTTTAGATTTTTACAATCTCTCTTATTCCATAATATTGAAAATGATTAATTACAAATTGAAACATCATGAAACACCCCAAAAATGTAAAAAAAAGAAAGGTACCATTACTCCAATCTAACACATGAAAGAGTGTACCTACACGTGTCTATATAAAATTAATTATTAAGTACCAAGTACACTCGATAATTAAATTAGAAAAGGTAGAAATCGATGAACAATGAGGGAGAAGGGTGATCACGCAAGCATCAGCAGAGATCCAAGAAAGCTTCTTCTTAAACGATGAACAAGTTTCTTGACAATCAGTTAAATTGTCCAATTTGATTCGTCAAATCTACCTGGAAGCGTTGGCGGGAAGTGGTATCATCCTCGAGACGGGTTTGAACTTTCTTAGAACATCGATGACAAGCGTCTAAAAAGCTCGTCCCCCGTGTTCGTTCATCAAGCGTGCTTTACGGTGCAGATTTGGTGGGGAGGGTTGTCGGCGAGCTCGAGGAAGGAAGGGAAGAGTGCACACCGGTACTATTCTCTATGCCATGGCCCGTGTTACGAAGCTGTTCATGATAATGCGATGGTGTTGGTCTGTGCTTAGCACTTGATAAAAGATAGCGGTGACTGAACAGATGCCAGTGTTCACCCGACCTGTCGGCTGACAGTCTCGCGTACTCGCCCCCGGTGTGCGTCGGATACGTCAATCGACGGTCGCGAATAAAAAAAAAAAAAGAAAAGAGAAAAAGATAAAATAGAAGTGAAGTAAAACATCGAATCAAAGAAAGTCATTCGCGAGCGTAGAAGGTGAAATTATCGTGCGATGACAAAGTCGAGGAACGTTTGAAGATGTCGAGAGGAAATCACCGAGACCTTCCGGAAAATCGTTCTCCACTAAGTTTCAAACAGTTGACGAAATTGACGCGTGAGAACAGTCAACGAAAAAGATTCTTAGGATAGAACCGATCAGTGAGATTGATGATAGGTGCGATGGATAAAATACTCGACATGGTTTGATGATCATTGAAAAGAACAAGGATTCCTTCTCTCGTTTTGATCATCGTCTAGACCGAAGACGTACTCGGTGACCAGTTGGTGAATTGAAGTTCAACGATCGTCATTCATCAGGTCCAATTGAATGAGCTAAAGGATAGATCCTTTGATGGAAGAATGACTGGCTGCCGGTGGAATTCTTCGATAGCCGAAGGCGTTCACCACCAAAGCGAACGTATCACAACAGCCACGAATCATGCATGATGAACGGTGCGACTAGGCTCGATCAGGATTGGATGATAATGGTCGAGTTACGAGGTGGCACCGGAATGACGAGCGGTCTCAGTGGTCGATCATCGAGTCGTCTCCATTACACGATACTCACGATTTTGGACACAGTTTTCTCAGCTACCGTCGCGGCACCAGCTGTGGTCGGTTACTGGAGAGGAACATGGGGTTTGAGCGACGTCTACGTTCATCCCGAGGATCCGGTACTGAGTAGCCTGACCTCGATACTGATCGGTTTCGTCGGCTTGTACGCGTTCAACGTGGTCCAACATGTTCTCAACGATCTGTTGCACCCGGACAAACACAGATTGTCGTACTATGTTGGATCCAGGTTGTACACAGCCGTTTTCGGCTTTTGCTGCGTAAATGCATGGCGTGGCGCGTGGCAAGCCCTCGATCTGTACACGGAACTCACAGCCGGCACCGTTTTCGCCACCACCGCTGTTAGTCTACTGGCATTGGCCATCATGCGGGCCGTGAGGAACATTTCCGCGCCGCCCTTTTCACTTTGCCTCGACTCCTGTCCTGGATACTTCGAAGTGCAGACCATGTTCCGGGTGAACGTAAGTAATTAGACGAGTCGATGATAGAATTTGGCTTGGTGATTTGGATATTAGTACCGGTAGGGGATGAATTTTAACCCTTCTTTGAATTATGCTTCCAGAAGACTATATATCTAAAGAAAGGTCATAATCGCTTTCACCTTCCATCCTTCAAAAATCAAAGTCTGGAGATAACGAGGACCTTACGTGGTCCCAAGTACTTACCAACGTGATTGTAACTGTAGTTTTGAATAGCGAAAGTTCAAATCAATTTGAATAATTCAGTTTCATTTAAAACTCATTGACTCGTTCTGTAGTTGTCAGGAACAATGGTATTAATGGGTTAAATAGGGAACGTAAAAGCTTAGACGGTATGTTTTGACGCATCACTGGAACTAGAGCCGTGCGATGCACGGTATCGATGTGTAAGGTATAAGCACAGTTTCCGGCTGTCTCTCCCAACAGTATTGCATCCATGCACGCACGAGCTCCAACCAGTGCAACAATTTCAATATTCATTATTTTCTCGAACAAAAATGTAGTCAATTTTTGCAACTTTTTCTTTTCAAATCTCCTTTCTATGATACTCCATTTGAAACATTGAAATCTACACAAAAATTAGAGTACATCTTTTAAATTATGAATACATTTTGCATTGTATTTGAAAATATTATCCATGTTCTTTTGTTAATTTATAAATCTTGAAATATCGATAGTTTCATCTTGAAAGTAGAAAAAGATAGAATTGTAATACTACTTTTATCTGATCAATATTTTATAATTGAGGATAATTAATGTATAGAGAAATAATTAATGAAGCGACTCGTTGAAAAAACAACGGAGACGATCTTAAATTAATTATCGTCAGTTGAGTCCTCTTTATCACTTAAAAATCGAGGACAGAAGGGTGTCATGCAAAGTAAGCGGATGGTACACTCCGATGAAAGTTTACCTCATACGTGGTACATCGACCGGGGAAGATTCTTCGAACTTTCAATTACCAAAATATCTCTAAGCAAACTTTAATTACGTATAAATCTATTTGAAACAACGACAGATTATTTCATTTATATTTCTATGAAAATAAACAATCGTTGACGTAAACGATGCTCGTGATACGTTGTTTATCATAGTTTCCAAGTCTCTTCAAATATTTCCCACCTGTAAATGATACTTATCTACTGTTTATGTTGCTTGATTGCAGAACACGAGGGACTGGTCGTTGTACTTATTGGATTGTGCCTTCAGCGTGGGTGTCGTTGGTACTTTGGTCGTATTCGTTTGGAGAGGTGTTTGGATGCTTCTCGATCTCTACCTATTCCCAGAGGATCGAGAGTACTCCGCCATTGGATCTCTAGTAAGTTTTTAATCCATTTTAATTCATCATTCCGAATTTTTCTTATCTTAAACACTTTTGTTCAAAATATTTGAATTCGCGATTCTGGGAAAGCGAGCTATTTTTATTTATCGATTACTGATTAGGATCGATGCTTACGTATCGTAATATTTTAATTCTCAAAACAGTTCCAAAATTTAATAAAATTTTTAATCTGAACTCTTCAAAATATTAGTTTCACTATTCGAAGCTTAACACCCCTCTATACGTGATAAATAAATGAAAGGACCAATGATTTGTAATGAAATTTATGGAAATAAAAATTCTGCTGAATCGATGAACACGTGTTATCGGGTGTCATTAACAATCACGTGTTGAACGACATTTTGAAACGTGCCACCTACGCTCACTGCTCGAGCGGCACGCTGTTGGTCCGATTGTATAATTGAATATTAGCCAATTGCATGATTGCGGGGGCACATGACAAAACTGTTGATGCGCTCGTGTGTGTGTAAGACACTTTATAACGAGCTGCGTTTACTTCTCTGAATACGATGCGGAGAGAACGCGGTCAACGAGAGGATTTGTTTAATTTTTCAATAATGACGATCGTTGATCTTCAGTCGGCTGCGCGACGATACCATAGCGAGACAAAATCATGAAAACGTGGCAAAAATCTTAGAATAATGTATCTAATATCTTTATTTAAATGTCAGTAAAAGAAAATCTGGTGACGGGGGTGATTCACCCCCTTTGAAACCGCAACCGTTCGTTACACTTCGTATAATTACTGATAGATTAATTGCCTAAGTCTTTTGTGATTTTTCCACGCGATCGCGAGATGCAAACGAATCATTCGCAAACACAGATGATCCAGCGCAAATATTTCAACATTGCCAGCTTAACCCAAGCCCGTAGAATTGTTCTGTTGCAAAATAATACACACCTGGCGCCATGCATCCGACGCGACAACAATAGCGACGATGTTTCTGTTAACTTGCGATTTTCTCGCAATGATTAAACCTCGAGGAAAACGTCCTCGTTTTGCAAGACTATTTTGATCCATAAATCATGACACTCACGATCAAATCAGGTTTCAGAGTAAACATTTATTCAAATTTTCTCGCCTTTGTTGCATTGTCAGTTTCTCCGAAGATGCCTAGGAGAAAGGGTAGGAACACCGGGCATCATCATTTTTCCTGGGGAAACTTGATTTTCAAAACGAAAATTTCTTTCATTTTCTTTTGATGGAATTGACATTGCATAGCTTCATTCATAAATAAATAAAACATATCATTTATATTCTTAACAATACCTTCCACTATTGATCAAATGTGACTTAGGTGTTTTTTGATTTCTTATCATTTTATATTTATTAACGGACAATAATTAAATCTGCATTTAGAAATCTCAGTCTTATCAATCATGCTGCTAAATATTGAATGTTTTTTAATTAGAATACGGTTCAATAATCTAGTCTCGTTATTACAATAATTAAATAACTGTAATTGAGAATGTGTCACCCTAAGTAAAGTAACTTCAGATTTTATTTTTAAATCATCAACCTTATAACTGGGTCAAAAATGAAAACACTCGATCATTGTAAATAATTTTTAGTATAAATTCGTTATCGAAGACGAAGGAAACACGGAGGGAAGAGGTTCAGACGTTGAATTAAACGTCTCCCCGATGATTAATCACGATCAGATCGATCGTAACTTTCCGAATTTGATAAAGTTAACTCGTGGAAAACCCAATGCGAGGTAAACAAATTTCATGGCGCCAGTCTATGCTCTTTCCATCGTACAGAACTTCGCTTATCAGCAGCTTTAACGCGAATGAAATTCATTTCTCTAATCAATCAATATTCTGTTTCTTTAAATAAAACATTCGTCAGGTAAATCAGAATAGAAATCGTATTATGCTTATCGAAGATTAAATCGATTTAAAACGAGATGATAAGAATAGCTCATTGTTATTTAAGAACGTCTTAACACGATAAAAGCATGATATCATTTTACTCTTCATTTTCTAATGATCGAGAGATTCAAATAAAATGTTATATCTCCGTTGCGAAGAAATGATCTACAAACATTATCTTCGATGAAAATCCGAGAAATTTAACTGATACAGTTTGCGCGACGATCGCGGTAACATAAATTCTCAAGAGGGTCGATGATTGCGCGAGGGTCATCCAATTCATGCATTTACTCGCTCGCAATGCCACTTCGAAACCGTGAAACAGTCACGGACGATTTGTCGTCAAATAATTCGCTCGCATTTGTCATCAGCATCGACAATCACTATTGTTCATTCACTATCGAATCAACGGACTATTCTACTCTCCTTAGATCAATCAGCTCAAAAATCAAATCTCCTCATTTTTCCTTTTTTTTTAATTTGTTCTAGTTCTGTATAGAATTCACTGTATATCTTATAGAATCGTTTCTTTTTCTTTTAAAATTCATTTTAATTATCATAAAAATTTCTCCTATACAGAAATTCATTGAATACCCTATGGAATCTATCAAACATATTTTTCTTCTTCGCATGAAATAAAGGTCCCCATGGGAAATACGTACTCCGAACGAAACAAGCATTCGACAATTGTTCAGTTTAAAATAATGTTACTAAATCGGTTCTAAATCGGTACACGCCAAACGTGTCAGTTGAAAGTGTCGATGATTCTATTACCACGACATCACTGGCGAAAATGAAACAGACATCGAGTACGTTTGATCCACTGTCGATCCGCTCGCAGTCCACTTTCGATCCGTTTCCCGGACACTTTAATCATCCGTGTGAATGATATTTCAGCAATTGGTACGTTTGATTCCAGGCCATTGGATACGGGATAGTGACGGTGACGTTTTCCCTACAACCACTGATGAGACACGTGTGTGCTCGTCTTCAAGGTTTGCCCCGTTTGATAGCAGCGGACAGCTTTCTGTTGCTCAGCTTCCTGGGCACCGTGAACGTGTGGCGTGGTATTTGGAACATCCTGGACCTTTGGTTGTTACCAGATAATCCAGAATTATCCTGCTGGATCACCCACGTTGGATGCTTCGTTTTCCTCGTACTTCTAAACTGCAGCAACTCCATCCTCGTCAGAGGCGTTTACATCGACGCCGAAGAGGACGACGGCAAATGCGTCGCGTTTCCATGCCATTATCTTCGATTATTCTTTAAGGTCGGTGCATTCGAGCTGATCGAAATTTATTTAAAATCAACCACCTCGAGATTCATCTTCCTCTACGAATTCGATTCGACTAAAATCTGTACTAATCGTGGAAAATATTTGATTTCAGGTCGAACGCGAAAAGAAAGAAGCGAGACGACGAAACCTGCTGGTAGCCTCGAAGGACTTCCGGCCCCGTGCCGACGGAAATGCCAAAGAAACCGAGAACGGAGTGTTTTTACCGAACAGCAATGCCACCACCATTTTACCAACAAACCCGGAATCTCTCGTTTAATTACGAACATTCCGCAACGAGGAATCTGTTGATCCCGATCATCGTCAGAAGGGAACGTATCTCTTCGAGTTTGTGCCAAACCGGTGATCGTGCAGTGACATTTCAAACGTTCGAACACTTTCCACGAACTTCTCTTAACGAATCTGTCGAATAATAAGGCTGTAACGAGCGAATAGGCAGGTAAAAAACCGAGGGAATATGAGCATACGATCGACAGATAGATGATGTAGGTAGACACGCAAAATAGACACTTAGGGAATTGATTAAGTTAGATGGACAATTAGAGTGGGCACAAACAGGATTTCAAATTCAACGATGGACCAAGTGAATGGCTGTGAACGAGTAACGTGTACCAATTGCACGTAATTGATGTTTCTTTTTACGGTCGAGTGGGCTTCGTAATGAGTGTATCAAATGAGTGGATAAAAAAGAAAATGCATAGGAGCTGTTTACCGTGTTTAATGTAAGTTGTACAGAATATACGTAATACTAGGGCACATGTGTATACACGTGGCGTGGTACGATTACGCGACTGTTCATTCATAATGATTCCACTGAACGAATGGTGCCTTGACACTCGAGTAACGGTTCAAGAATCGTAAGATGCTGACCGGCTTAGAAATCGACGAAAATACTCCTAAACGATCCGTTTTGACAAGATTAAAGGATTTTGGTAATTAAATTCTTAAAGGGGTATATCTGCCTAGGATCATCGAAGAACTTTTGAAAATTTTTTTTAGAAAAATTTCTATACCTATTGGAATATAATTATTTTTATTTTGTTAAAGGTATCTTTAGGAATTTTTCAGAATTTTTTTAAACAGAAATAATAAAAAATGGAGGAGATATTAATTTTTCCAGGGGTGCTTTTGCTTTATCAAGTGGAATCTTTGGAAACATTATTTTCTCGATTCATTCAAAATTTTATGTTTCTAGATAGATTGTACCCTTTTGATCCGAAGATAAGGAAACTCGACAGCGTTGAATCCTGCAGGATTTCTAGTCATCTAATCATACGTTAACCACCGCTTTCAAATGCGTCGATATCTGTCGATCGATCGTATCGAATTTATCTGATATTTCTCCTTTTTTTTTTCTTCTTCTTTGTCACACACTTATGATTATATTTTGCGATCCTAGAGTTAGATGAGACCTTGATGATGACAATGGTAATAGACTGGACACGATCATTATAAATGGGTTACAACCTTCTCCCCCGCATCCTGTACACCCCGCAGATTTTGCTCTTGTACATCAATTACGACGTCATGGCGTACTAATAATTAATTAACTGGAATAATGACGGGACAATGGGCGGCTGGCACATCGATGGGAAGTGGCTAGTTCGACGATAAGCGGACTGCCCTCCTGGCCTACATTTAATATTTTCACAATGAACAATACGATGGGCCTTCGAGCCGGAAGTTTTCCTACGATGTTCCGTAGAAAAGCGGAATCGATCGGGTTCGATCGAGTGAAATCAATCGCGTTGTGCTGCCTCTTTCGTATTAAGACGATAAACGAGCAGGGTGTTTCGTGTGAAAGAAAGAATAATACCTATGTAATATTTATAGGCAACTCTTATCACGGAACATTGAAATAAAAGAAATAAGCTGACGAATGTTGAAACAAGTATTTACATGTTGTATAATAAAAAGGTTTTATCTTTTTGATCCGCTTCTAACTTTGACTATTGAAACTCTTGGAAGTTTTGCGAGTATTAATTGAAATTTACAAAACTTTCTAAATATTTAGAATTCGAATGAAATTGAAGAACTTCGAAGCTGGAATAGCTTGAAAACTAGCACGACGTTAACAGAAGATAATTTCTCGTCGAGGACGATCGAACGGCTACGATTCGAAGGGTAATTAAAAATATAGAAAAGGGTCGAACGTGGCCAAGGGAATGTTTGATGGAGGACGATCCAACAGCGATACCGATCGATCGATCGATCGATCTCGATTGGATTCTCCTCGACAGGGGTGGGGGGAGTCTATTTGAGGCGTCGCGACGCCGTGGTGCAATGATCAGAATCAGTCGGTAGGTCGCATCACGGCGAAAGGTGAATCGTGGACGTCTGAGAAGAAGGAATTGTAGCCAAGTAGCGCGCGCGACTGCATACTGTATGCTGATCAAGTTCCGGGTACTTTTCGAACTTTCACGAGTCGAAAAAGTGAAATTCGTTAGGTGACCAATCAACCCCTTTGTCTAGGAGAATGGCAGCGGACGACCCCCTTCGAAACGAGCCATTAATTTCCGTTGAATTCGAGGTCTTTGGCAAGGTGCAGGGTAAGCCTTTTGTCGGTCAGAAGGCCGTCAAATATTCAATTAACAATCTATTCATTTTCAAATTAAGATTTTCAATTTGCTATTCTATGCGATTACTATAACAATAGAGTTATTCATAAGTTCCACTTCCGTTTATAATAATTTTTCAATTATTTAATTATATAGAATTTCAAGCATGGATGACTCCCACAGCAATCAACGTGTTAATCAATCGACTTCACCTTAATTAGGAACCTTGATATTAACACATACCATGAATTTTAACAACACCTCGATAATTTCACTGCAGTATTCAACGGGATAATTTATAATTGAATTTTCGTACAAATTTTCCAGGTGTATACTTTCCAAAATACGTGAAAGATATATCCCTAGAATTGGGAATTTGCGGTTGGGTGAAGAACAGCAAGACCGGCACGATACTAGGAAAAATGCAGGGACCACGTGCGCTCATCGATCAGATGTGAGTTGCGATTCCTTGTCACTGAAGCCTTTTCAAAGCGTCGGGCGCCGATCGGTAAACAATGTGAAAGTTCATTTTTATTGAAATTTATCTGTACCTCTCGTGATTACTAAGAAGCAGATAAAATAAGGCAAATTTACAGACGAACATCTTTATTACGCTCCACTTTACAAAATAGAAGAAACAAAGGAAGCGCGTTCGCTTCTTCGAAGTATGAATTAACGAATAATCACTTTTATCACTTTGGGCTCTTTATATAATTAGACTCTTAATTAATATTATTGCATCGTCGCACATTGCCAAAATTAGAGACAGTGATTATTAACACTTTGGAAAGTGCTCAAAACGGCGCATAATTCGTAATTACTTTTCATTTGTCAATTACCATTTTTATTCTGATTTCCTTTGTTCCACGAATTCGTGATTGACACGCGTCCATGCTAACGTAAGCCCACAAATTTAGTGCTCCCTTAAAATCGCGTGACCTTAGCCGCAAATTGACGAGTAACAGCCATTAGGTAGTTCGGCCTGACTTTAATAATGATCTAATGAAATAATAGCGCGAACATCGTCGTCTCTTTCCTTCGCCAGTTATCACCGAATCATACTGAATGTTTTCCAACAGCTATACGCAGAGCGGTTGATCCTTCGAGCAACCGTATTCTTGTTACATTTAAAAAAATAATCACGTTAACAACCAAACAATGTAAACGACTAATATTGACAATGGGATGGAAGTTTACGACGATGACACTATAAGCTTGCCAGAAGGAAACGTGAACAATTTGATTTAAATGAAAAATAAAAGACAGACATAGTTACTTAAATTTGAAACTATTTTATTTTATTTTACTCGTAATAATAGCCATCAGATTTCAACGTCTCAAATTTAATAAAATAAAATAATTAAAAAATTATTTTATTCAAACTGATAATGAAAAACAAGTATCTTAAATGATAAACGAAACAAGGGCAAGAAATTCTTCCTATGGGACGCCAGTAGAAGAATAAGAAACGAGAAGGATGTAATCGTTATTTAGAGAAGTAAGCCAGACCTACTGATCCATATATACATTTTGCCAGTTGCGTACAGACAATAGAAACAAGAATTATTTCACATCGAACGAGATTGTTGCTACACGAACAAATATAAACTTAAATACGTTCATAACGATCGGTGACCAAAAAACGTCCCAGGAGGTCGAATTTACTCTGTTCGTGAACCTGAAGTTAAAGAAAATAGCTCGGTCGAGGACAAAACATCGGGTTTTGGCTTCCCCCCAAAAGGAAATCGTCTAGATTGAACTTCGTTTCAAAATCATTGTTTCTACTCCTATATTTAATTGTCAAACAGCTATGTTATTTAATAATCGATTAAAGATTCAGAATTTTTAATTAAAAGTACATGATATGTGTTGATCCATCATCATCACAATCATTATAATAGGGGGTCGTACGCAACTGGACCATTTATAACTCTAGACTGGTAAAAAATAGACAGAAAAATTATATTAGGGAAAATTAAATTGTATCTAATGAGACATCTTTCAAAAATTTTAAGATCATCTTCGTTTTTTGAACAGGGGTTGAAAATGTGATTAGGTTCCTTCGCTGTGGGGGTATTTGTAACGTCTTCTTATCAAAATAAATGTATAGAATTTAATAATACGATAATACCTGAATCGTATCTAATATTGTATTACAAAGAATCTTATTTTGAAAAAAAAGAGCGCTTATGTTACAACCTAATAGTTATATCGCGACGCCAAAAATATTGATGATAAATTGGATCGCGTTCACGTTGATAATCCGTTTGTATTGTTGTCGCGAGACAGCTGATCGAATTTAAAGATCCTACTTCGATACAGCTGCTTAAAATACTCCAACTCGGTCTGATTAGACGCTAATTATATATAATTGCGAAGCGCGCGAGATCACAGTCGTGATCGTGGCAGATAGGTGCGTATATCAATCGCATCGAGTATCATTTCGATGATTAAGCATTTTTTGCAGAAATTATTAATCCCTGAACGAATAACAAGTTACAAAATAAATTTAATTTTGTCATCTCGTTGGTCTTTATGAAGTTCCATAGGATACGAGAAAGTGATTTCAATGCTTGTAAAGGAAAGACAAGTTCTAAAAAGTTTAAATACTATGTATTAATTTATAATAACCAGATTGTTTTGTTTCAGGGCACAATGGCTAACGAAAGTGGGCAGTCCAGGAAGTGAGATCCACCATTGCGAATTCACAAATTGGGAAGGCATTTCTAGGCTACAGTATAAAGGATTTGTTATACGTTTTTAGCAAAGAAATATCTATTCGTTTTGAAAATATAAGTTAAAAAACATCGACTGCTTTTGCGAATTACCGGAATTAAATAATACTTTATAGGAAAATTATTGATATACATATATTTAACTGCTTCAATTATTTTATTACGTGTACATATAAGTAGGAAGATTGAAAGCTATTTGGAAACCTCAAACTGAAAAATCTATTTAACGTGTATCAATTTTGAGTGAAATACTTTTTAATGAAATGACATATAGAGACATTAAATTCTTCCCTTGTATATTTTCATTTGATGTCCGGGGAAGGTGTAGAAAATTAAAAACACGATCGAAGCACAAACAAATTTATTGAACTTATTCTCTACTACATATTAATGGTACATGTTCGAATATCATGTTGTACCCTCATAAATAAACGTCGCATCTAACATCAACTGCGCAAGACGATATTCAGAATGGTCTTCGGGCAAATGTCTAGAAACTCTTCGTATTAATTCAACAGTATCATCGTTTGAACAATTTGTACAAATCACCTCGGTTACATTCTACAAAGATTATGTATTAATAAGCCTGAAGATTATTCAGAAAATGAATTTGATATAGCACAATACTTACTAAACTTTCTAGATATTTAGTTAGCGTAGGACTTATACGGGAAACTTCCTCTAATAGATCAGGAGTTTTTGAAAGATATGCCATCATTCGTCTTCCAGCTATTGGCAAAAGATCAGCTGCTAATCTCTCGGTATCATTTACAGCTGCAACAACCTATTTGGGAATGTTAAATATAAAATAATTATCCGCTATATAATGATACATAATTAAATTTCATTAGCGCACCTCATCCGCTAATCGGTCAAAACCGTTCACGTATAATTGACAAACTTGATGTATCCTTAATTGATCATTGTTAATTTTCCAAATAGATGCTAATGTTTGACATTTACTCATCCATTGAATAGCTTGAGTGGAACTTATGTTACCATCTACTATTTCTTGGTGAATAAAATCCATTGACGCAGAAATAACTCGACATAAAAATTCTGTTCTTAAATTATCTCTTTTGTCATCTCTATACCATGTAAGCATTACTTTATCTGTCATTGTTTGAAAAAAATATGGTTGCACCTATACAGTCGAAATTAAGCACGTTTGTGTAAACAATAAATAGGACAAACATGTACCTAATATAATAGTTTACTTACCACAGATTCAAACAGATTATTCAATGGTTTTGTTACTTTTAAATTAAAATGTGCCATCATGTACAAGACGTTAGCTAACTGTACATGTAACATTATTAAATCATACCAAGCAGGTGTTTGAAAAATAGCTAATGCTGCAAATGGTTGTGGACCAGAATTACATCCCTCCCATAATTCCTCTGTCTTAATTATAGTATTTTCACCTGCTTCAAGTACTTCAGACTAAACCAATATAAAACATGTTCATATAATTTTAACTAATTTTACGTTACACAAAATATTTATTTATGATAAACTCACATCAACAAATATTTCTAAAAATGCAACACAGTTTTGTAAAAATGTAATTGTTTGTACATCGGATAAACCAATCTCCTGTAAACACAACCTCTCCTTTGGTAATTTCCCAAGCTTGTTAATTAATTTTGCAACTGATTCCATTCGCTTTTTTACATGAACTGACCATAAGAGACAACATACACCTTTACAAAAATTAATATTTCATATACACGAGGTAAAAGGAAAAGACATATTTAATAATAACAATTACTAAATCATTTACCATGTTTCATGTGTTTCAGTGGTATTTGTTGTAAAACGGATAACGCAGCTTCGAGAGAGTTTAGTTGCGAAATGTCCTTATTCCATGACATTGCAAATTCCCAACACACATTCGCTAATAGAACACTACTTGTCAAACTATATGGAAAATGACGTTTCAATAATTTAATCCTTTCTGAAAATTTGGAAAACAAGGTAATGTAATATTTCAATTAAAAAAGATTAAAAATATGTATAAGCATTTACCTAAAATGCATGTACAAGCAGTTGTGTCAGTTTTCACTTCCTTTTCGGTTTCAATAGGTACTGAGATTGACGTTTCTGAATCTTGTTTCAAACCAGCACTACTAGTTTCATCTGACATATTTAATCTATCAAAAGAATTATTTGTTAATTTCATCTGATCAAACTCGGTGTCCGTTGTATCTACTAGTAGAGCTGGGTCAATACCAGTAGAAACAATCCATTTTGCAACAATTTCTGACACAGAACCTAAATACAATAATAATTATATTACATGAAAATATAATATTAGTTAAAATCAAATTATACATACCTTTTCCCTTTGAGAGAACTGAGCTTAAAGAAATATTAAATTTTGTAAATGGCAATGCAAGAAACTGTGTTGTTGTATCTGATAGAGGCTGCTGGCTAAAATTACAATATTATAGTAATTGTAAAGATGTTGATTAGTAGTAAATTTTATTGCTAGTTACCTTACAATAGCATCTAAAATTGTAATATCCTCAAGATTACCAATAAGCAACGTGAATTGACAACTATCATTAGTAACATTTTCCCACTCGTTTGTTAAATTATATATATCGTCATCCACCTTCAAATTACTCATAATAGAATCTTTTAATCGATTTACTTCGTCTAAATCAGTTTCATCTTTGATATCTTCTTTCTCCTCATTACCATTATCATCTTGAGTTTTACTGATACATTTTTCTTTATACTTCTCTAAACACATAGCAACAGCCCTGCACATTACAGCAGCACAAAGTGAATTAAATGGATTCATTGATTCCGAAAGAATATTACGAACATTTTTCCACCATAGAGATGTTTCATTATTTTCTGCACATATTTTTTCGATATCTGTGAACAATAAAAATCATATTACGAAATCAAAGAATCATGTTAATTATACAGAAACAAATTGGAAACGTACTGGTTATTGAACAAATTGCAATTACGAGTTGTGTAAACTGTTTTAATTCATCCCTTAAATATGTATGCTTTTCCTGATTAAGCCAGTAAATTAAAGCTAATTCCATTAAAACAAATGGCTGTATATTACTGCTTGTAGCAGCTTCTTTCCATGTTGCAATGTTGTCATTCAAATGCATACATCCGTGATACATTAACTGAGCTAGAAATTAAAAACAAAAATTTTACTTGTAATCTTAATGAATGTGATTTATATCACAAAAATCAAATCACTCACAAATTTGATATTTCCTTTCTGTTTCTATGCCTTTTTTCATATCTATCAATCCCGAAGCTCCAAATTCAAAACATGACAAAAAGTCCAAGAAAAGTTTATTATCTTCTTTGAATTTTACTTTATTTTCTGTTTTAACATTAGAACATTTAAAACTATTCACCGAGTTAAACAATTCGAAAATTCTATTCACTTCTTTTTCAGACGTTAGTAAAATAGCGGCTAAGTCTCTATTGTTCAAATCATTATCATTATCACTAACGGTACTACTGTCATATATCGAAGCATCAAACTGAAGTTTAATATGTTTATAAAATTGAATGACTTGTTGCAACTGTGATGATAATAAGTAAACTGTTTTAGCTGTAGGTTCCATCTCTTCTTTGTCTGCAATGTACAACTGATATATTTATTATTACTTAAACTTATATTTACACAAAAATGTTGCGCATACATACCGTATTCGTTTAATTTTTTAATGAAACAATTTGCTGCTACAAGCAAAGCATCAGGTATAATATTTTTATTCGACATTAACATTTCTATTGTTTGTATTCTAATTTCATTAGTTTTTAAATCGGAACACATATTCTCAATTTCTGACACTAATTTCTCGTCATCGAATTCTTCTTCTCGTAAGAACGTTTTTAATTTCTTAAGCAAATGTATATCACGAGCCTTTTTCCCACTTTTATTATTAAGAGCAAAATGAAATGGAACTGTTATTTCTTTTAATCCCCCAAGCGGATCCATAAAAACGCAAGAATATTGTGGTTTATTTTTTGATAGATATACATTATCGTTTATTCCAAAAAGTCCATAATTGATATATAGTAGTCGCCCGTGTTTACTTGCTGTAAATGTAGTAATCTTAGGGCCTTGTTGAGTGCTCCAAATATCTATTACCCCCTTTTTCGGAGCATAAATAACTAAGAATAGTGCTGAACGTAACTGTGATGTTTGTTTAAATTTATTGAACTCCTTGCGCATTCCGGGGTGTTTTTCTTCCTCTACTTCAATCCATCCACATTGAGCATCCCGGTAACCCTTCCACATTCTAATCGCTATACCACATCTATTATCTACTAATATCACTCTACCCATTGCATCTAATATCACGGATAACATTTTATTCGGGCTAGATACTATCGAGTAACCCTCTCGAGTTATATCGCTCAAACCAAACCTACAAGTCATTGGCTCAACTGGTTCATGAACATTAGTCTTCGCCATTTCAAGGGATGGTTGATGTTTCGAGTTGCCCCAATTAAGAGGAAGCCAACTAAACAAATAAAAAGAATGCTCTATATTTCAGTGCCTGTTGCATTAATTGTGAGAATGATTACGCAGTACTCACGGAACAGCGGTTCCTATAGCATTCGCTAACTTGTTGGCCATTGCGATTGCAACATCCGATAGCACCGGTGCTGAACCACCTTCTAATGCATAGTGAAAACCAACGAACGGTCGTTTACCCGTTGCAATAACCAAATTATGTTGAGGAGCACTAGATCTGTAAGATGCGTTATATCCACCACAAATAGAAGCTATCATTAAATGATCAAAACTATTCACAGAAGTAGTGCCAATCACTTCTGAATCATTGACAATATCCTGACTTTTATAGCCCCACTTCTTATATGATAAATTCGTAACTGGTGGTAAATCATCACAATTTGCTTGTACTGTAACAAAAAGAACATTATTCAGTAACTGCGCATAATATAGTCGTAAATTTGTATGATACTCATTTATTATTATACCTCTAGCTAAATGATTTCTACAAGCTCTTAATGTTGAAAACAAAGAGAAACCTTGTAAGACACATACAACAGTATTGTAAGTTATATGTACTTCTTCAGCTAAACCAGCATCACCTGCATGTTTAGGTGAACGAAATGATTGACATTTTAATCCTACTACTGGCTCACTATGTAGTTGCTCTCCTAATAATAATGCACCTGTCTAAATAATATAAATACATTTGATAATTATTGGTTTGTCTTAACACAAGTGTATCACAATTGCAAAATATACCTACTTCAGTATAAAATCTAACATAACCGGTATTAAAGCCAACTATAATACATGTCCAATCTGGATTAGTGCCACTGCTAACTTTCCCCAATGATAATAAAGGCAAACATATTACAGATGTTATCCATTCACTAAAAAACACTTTCAATATATGGACATATTTTCAAAGAAATTCATAGCATTAAAATAACATCAAATTTAACATAATATTACTGCAATAAATACTCACTTTGGTTCTTTTGTTATTTCACCATACCATATCATATGAAATTTGTTCTTTGTCTCCTCCACTTCTAAAGAATCCCACCTTGCTGTTATAAAATTATAGCAGTAATATTAATGCAAGCTTAATTCTTACCATTTCTCATAAAAATAAAAAATCCCATTACATCATAAATGTATAAAGACATGTAAAATAATACATACAAATTAATATAATCATCTTTGTATTATATGCCATAGTAAGAACATCTCCAGTCGATGATAATGATATGAAACAATCCTGAAGTGGCAACTCATTTTGTGGAATGTCAACTAAAAAAACACCAATATTAATGTTTATTGTTCCTTAACATAATAAACTAAAGAGACAATGTCTTACACTTTGTGGTAGAATCTCCAAAAAGTAACTCCTTGATATTATTTGTATTAGTTAAATTTGCAATTCCTTTTATTTGACAAGACATATCTGATCAATTATATAAATATACTAATTTTCAACGGCATGTAATTTTTACTTTGACATCATATGCAAGTGCTGCTCAGCTGGTTGAACTATCGACATTCTAACGTATACATACACATATAACAAAAAGATAATAGTTTCACAAACTGTCATATGCTTGTAAGTAGGGTAGTAATCACAGAGATTCTTCGTTTCAGTATTCGTACTTAATGACAAATAAACATTAGTAAACACGTCATTACTCTCATTACAGTAATAATGTAATATAAATTAGTAGTAAAGGGGAAATGTGTAAATGATTGTATGAATTGACAACGCTAAACAAAGATAAAAATATAAATATGCAATATTTATTTCTATGAAACGTTAAGTAAATTCCAAGTCAAAATGGAGAACACGTGTTGCATGACATCACGTGACGTAATTTGTGACGTTTGGAAACAGTCGCTAGAAATTTCCTGATTGGATGAAATAGACGGTTGGAACCAATAGAAACATCCGTCTCTCCGCAATGGTCCGCGTAATGTGTTCAGCCATTTTGTTATTATTTTCGAAAATCTGTAGGTTGGATTTAAGGGCGACGTAACGCTCCTATTTTTTCTCATTTCTTGTGAAAAGTGAAGAGAAAAATACTAAATTCTTATGAGATTTAAAAAACAAAGTTACGACGAAGAACGGCCTCGGTGGGTATCACGCATTTACAAGTGGAGCTCTCTTCACTGACGATCGTCGTAAACGAAGCAGAGACAGGAGAAACGAGCGAGAGAACGTGAGAAAGATAGAGAGAGAAAGAGACGGTGAGGAACAGTGAGTGTGTGAAACGAGGAACGAAATTGGTCGCGCGCGGGAATCAGCGGTTGTGTGTTTGGCCTTTTTCTGATTGTGATTTATTACGAGAGATTGTGATTGCTAGTGTGAAACGTGTGTTTTTTACCTACGAAGTGAGAATCTACTTGTTGGAGTTAATGCGGTATGTTCATACGTCGCTTATGTTACTTTATTCGTTGAACAACGACGCAATGAATAAAGTGCGCCCGGACAACAAAAATCTACAAATTTCAGTGTTCTATTATTAATATTATGAACATCTATCACTTTCCAATTGTGCTTGATTATATGCATCAAGTGAAGTACTTTTTATACTTGATTTATAAACATTGCGCACAATAAACTTCCACATAACCTTATTTGCGATTGTCAAATGTAGGTTAGGTCGAGCGGTCGCAGTGCGGTGACCTCCCTCGCTACATGTTAACAGTGATTTCGTAGTTTATTATTGCTTCTGTTTAGTTAGTTCCATTACATATATCGCGCTTTATTTTTTAAATATTTTTTACTTGGTTACAAGCAAAAACGAATGATTTTTATTAAAAGCAAAACAGTATTAAGCAGACTATTGTCTACTCTGAATTTTTTACATTCTTCTAGTTAAACTGTAACAATGTAAGACACATGTTTTATTAAAAATAATGAAATAATTTTAAAAAGACAATGTTTATAGTATACATTGTTTATCGGTACACAAACAATTAAGTGTATTTATATATATATGATCACATCTTTATATTACATTATATTACTTTTTAACTGTTTATATATTTGAGGAATAAATTAGTCTCCTTTTCAAATGTAGACCGTTGTAATATTTGTGCCTATGATATTGTACGTTATTTACTTAATTCTAATGGCTTAATCAATTTTATAAAATTTAATTGTTTTCAGATAGAGTGTATGAAAACTGGATAACTTATAATAATGGCAACATTAGCAGAACAAGCATCAAAGCTTTTGGATTTTAATCAAAAGCTTGATATAACACTTCTTGATAACATAGTAGGTTGTATGTATACTGGGATAGGTGAGCAACAAAGAGTTGCACAAGAAGTATTAACCACACTTAAGGAACATCCAAATGCATGGACACGTGTAGATACTATTCTAGAATATTCACAGGTTAACAATTTTATTTATAATTATTTTTTATGAATTTAATAGAACTATTTTATTTACATATCAACATTTATAGAACCAACAAACAAAGTATTATGCTTTACAAATATTGGAACAAGTAATAAAGACACGGTGGAAAGTATTACCACGAAATCAGTGTGAGGGTATAAAAAAGTACATTGTAGGCCTTATTATAAAAACAAGCAGTGATCCTGAAACAATGGAGGCTTCTAAAGTTTATCTCAATAAACTTAATATGATTTTAGTTCAGGTAAGTTAATTAAAGAAGTTACATCATTTAGTACTTTCACTAAACATATTTTCTATATTTTAGGTGTTAAAACGAGAATGGCCAAAAAACTGGGAATCCTTTATTGGTGACATTGTTGGAGCAAGTAAAACAAACGAAAGTCTTTGTCAGAATAACATGGCTATTTTGAAATTATTGTCAGAAGAAGTATTTGATTTTTCTAGCGGACAAATGACACAAACAAAAGCAAAACATTTAAAAGATACAATGTGTAGTGAATTCTCACAAATATTTCAACTCTGTCAGTTTGTATTGGATAATTCACAAAATGTTCCCTTAGTAGCAGTAACACTAGAAACTCTTTTAAGGTTTTTAAATTGGATTCCCCTTGGATATATTTTTGAAACAGAATTGATAAGTACACTAGTATTCAAGGTAATTAAAAAAAATTTTAAGTAATACTTCTAACATCAAACTTCTAATTGCGTTTAACTTTCTTTATTTGTTGCAGTTCTTGAATGTACCAATATTTAGAAATATCACACTAAAATGTTTGACTGAAATTGCTGGTGTCACAGTATCAACTTATAATGATATGTTTGTAATGTTATTTGTTCATGTAATGAGACAATTAGAACAAATTCTACCACTTGATACCAATATACGTGAGGCATATGCAACTGGTCAAGATCAAGAGCAAAATTTTATTCAAAACCTAGCTATATTTCTTTGCACATATTTGAAAGAACACGGTCAGTTTATAGAGACAAAGCAATTGAATGATATGCTACTCAAAGCATTGCACTACCTTGTTTTAATCTCTGAAGTTGAAGAGGTTGAAATATTCAAAATTTGTTTGGAGTATTGGAATGCATTGGCAATGGATTTATATAGTGGAAGTCCTTTGGTGGCTCCGTCGCCGTTGTTTAAAAGCATGACAATTCCACCCAGAAGATTATTCTATTGTTCAGTTTTAACGAAAGTGCGGTACATTATGATTAGCAGAATGGCTAAGCCGGAAGAAGTCCTTATTGTAGAAAATGAGAATGGAGAAGTTGTCAGAGAATTTATGAAGGACACTGATTCTATTAATTTGTATAAAAATATGAGAGAAACTCTCGTGTATCTTACTCATCTTGACTATATGGATACAGAAAGAATAATGACAGAGAAACTGCAAAATCAAGTTAATGGATCAGAATGGTCATGGAAGAATCTCAATGCGGTAAATACTTTGGAGACGTTATAAAATTCTTAATAAAGAATATCCTTTTACTAACAGTTATAATTCTTTCATTAGTTATGCTGGGCAATAGGTAGTATTTCTGGTGCAATGCATGAAGAAGATGAGAAACGATTTTTAGTAACGGTAATCAAAGACCTGTTAGGTCTTTGTGAGCAGAAAAAAGGCAAAGATAACAAAGCTATTATTGCTAGCAATATTATGTATGTAGTTGGACAATATCCAAGATTTCTTAGAGCACACTGGAAATTTTTAAAGACTGTTGTAAATAAACTCTTTGAATTTATGCACGGTAAGAATATTATATGACAGATTATGTATACTAGGAGTTATGTTTTAGGAATATGTTTTAAATAATTGATAAAAATTTATTACAGAAACCCATGATGGTGTACAAGATATGGCCTGTGACACATTCATAAAAATTGCATTGAAATGTAGGCGACATTTTGTTACAGTACAAATAGGTGAAGCAGTACCATTCATTGAAGAAATTCTTTCCACTATTAGTAGTATCATTTGCGACCTTCAAACACAGCAGGTAAGATAAATGATGTGCTGTGCATTATGTATATGTATAAATAATTTCAATGGCTTAACATTTACTTTTATTAACAATATAGGTACATACTTTTTATGAAGCGGTTGGATACATGATAAGTGCACAGACAGATACAGTAGTTCAAGAGCAATTAATAGAAAAATATATGCTTTTACCAAATCAAGTTTGGGATGATATAATAAGTCAAGCATCTAAAGTAAGTAATATGTGATCTAAAGTACTTTGAAATGCATGTTTTAATGTACTTCAAATAATGTATTTTGTTTTTAGAATGTAGATGTATTAAAAGATCAAGAAGCTGTAAAACAACTTGCTAGTATTTTAAAAACAAATGTAAGAGCTTGCAAAGCTCTCGGGCATCCGTACGTGATACAATTAGGAAGAATATATTTAGATATGTTGAACGTTTATAAGGTACATTATTCATTAGGTAATTTATTTAATATTACAAAAAGACGAAATTTACTAGTTTATAAGTTTCATTTTTAGGTTATGAGTGAAAATATAAGTGCTGCAATAGCTTTAAATGGTGAAATAGTGATGGAACAATCTTTAATTAAAAGTATGCGAGTAGTCAAAAAAGAAACACTAAAACTGATCTCCGATTGGGTTAGCAGAACACCCGATCATCAAATGGTATGAAATTCTCGTTTTATGTATAGAATGATATGCGATACTTTTAGAATAATTTTTGTTTGTTTCATACATTTTGCAGGTCTTGGAAAACTTCATACCACCATTATTGGACGCTGTATTATTGGACTATCAAAAAACAAACGTTCATTGTGCTCGAGAACCAGAGGTGCTAAGTGCTATGGCCACTATTGTAAACAGATTAGAGGGTAACATCACCAGTGAAGTACCGAAAATATTCGATGCTGTGTTTGAGTGTACTCTAGAAATGATAAATAAAGATTTTGAAGAATTCCCAGAGCACAGAACGAATTTCTTTCTACTTTTACAGGTAATTTATATATAACATTAGTTGTATGTTTATTATAATACACATTGTAATATTTTGAACGCTTCTTTGCTGCAGGCAGTGAATGTTTACTGTTTCCCTGCATTTCTTTCAATTCCACCAGCACAATTTAAACTTGTTCTTGATTCAATAATTTGGGCTTTCAAACATACAATGAGAAACGTTGCAGATACAGGGTTACTAATACTGTATCAGCTTCTACAGAATATTGAAAATGAGGAAGCAGCGCAAAGTTTTTATCAAACATATTTCACAGATATTCTTCAACACATATTCAGTGTAGTTACAGACACATCACATATAGCAGGTAAATGTATAACATTTCTTTTATTGCTTTTATGTAATTAATTTTTTATAATATCTATATAGGTCTTAATATGCATGCTACAATTCTGGCATACATGTTTTCATTGGTCGAACTTGGGCGAATTCAAGTACCTTTAGGACCTGTACCAGATAACACGTTGTACGTTCAAGAATTTGTCGCAAGATTGCTTAAAGCAGCATTTCCACATTTAACAGATAATCAGATTAAAATAACCGTGCAAGGATTATTTAATCTTAATCAGAATATACCAGCATTCAAGGAACATCTTAGAGATTTCCTGGTTCAAATTAGAGTAAGTTTTTGTAACATTATACGTTATACATTATACATTATTTTATTGATATTAAATGTTTTTGTAAAGGAATATACTGGTGAAGATGATTCAGATTTGTATTTAGAAGAGCGAGAAACCGCATTACGATTCGCTCAAGAAGAGAAATGGCGAAAGAAAATATCAGTTCCAGGAATACTTAATCCTCATGAAATACCAGATGAAATGCAGGACTGAATTACCAGTCATCATTGTTACCTGCTGCTTCCTGTAAATCTAAATAAGAAACATTCTGTTACTGAGACTATTGTATCCTTTGATCTGCAACTTTCCCCACAACATGTACCACAACAATCATCAAAATGGATATGCATTACATACTTTTTAAAACCAAGTTCACAGTATAACATTCTTGTTAAGGAGGTAAGCCCGAAACGTGGTGATTGTTTGTCTGTTATACAGTTTTAAAAGAATTGAAACTTCTGTTATAAGTAACAGGTAAAAACGTGCTGGACAATACTATTTTATGTAATAAAGGGAACCTTTGTACATTGCTATTTAATGCAGGTAATTAATATTTTTTACTAAGCGAATATAATACAAAGGTCTATGATACCCCAAAAAAAGTTATATATAGCAGTACATATAATAAGGATATATTTCGTATTTTAATATTTTTAGTTGTTAGATTTTTTTTTCTTATATTGTATCTTTCATACAAGTTGTGTCCTGTTTACAATATTGGTTATTTAAAAATATTGTATAAATTATAATACGATTATCATTGAATAACTGAATTATTAAAAAAATATTATGCATAATATCCACGTTTGTACTAAATTTAAAAATATAACTAAACTTATTTTTCAAAATAAATTTAAAACAGGTGTGTAACACATTATGCATAAAATAGTGTTGCTTCAGCAAATTTAGAGGATGTTACACGTATATGTGTGTTTTTATCTGCATAAAGTTGTATAATACTATTATTAATATTGCTATATATAAATATATAGATACATAGATATATAAATATATATTGTCTGCAAGACACTGAAAAATTTTGTAAATTAAAACTACATGTCACACATAGCATTTACTTAGATTTCACTTCTCTAATTCTATATATTTATAGATAAACCAGTCTATATTTTTGTCATATTTAACAAATATAGATGAATTAAAGAAACGAAATTACAAATTTTTCAATACATTGAAACCCGTTATTATTTTTTTCTAAATGTCTTAATAATCAAAATAGATCATCCGTATTTTGAACATTGTATTCTGTGGGAGACAGGGAATTTCTAATACTTAAATGATCAAGAAATATTTATCTTATTTCTTGTGTTTATTTATTACATTTTGTAAACCGTTACTTTACTTGATTTATGATGCAACAAAAAGCAACTTCCTGAAAATACACATGTAACTACTGTTAATTTTTTATACAATTTAAAAATGTCAGGTGATTTTCATATTTGTTTGAATTTAAGATTGAATAATAAAAAAAAACATATTCTTTGCATATAAAAGAATTTTAAAGTTTTGGGGATACAATTAACAGAATTTGGCTAATTATATTTTGTACTATTGCATTTCTATTACTTTTATAGCAATTAAATATTGCAAAATAGCTCTTAAATTTAACAAAAATTTGAAGGGCAAATTTTCTTATCGTTCGAGCTTGCCTCCATCATACTGAATACTGCAGGTGCTTTATTCTATTAATCACAAAATAATCTTGATACATGGTAACACAATTTAATACATGTCTAACAGTGGTATATGACCTACAGAAAAACTGTAAAGATAGATAAAACATTACCAAATAAAATTCGTAAAAGAAAATTTTGTGTGAAAATATAACATAAGAAATGTAAATTGCTTGGTTCTGCTTGGTAATGAAAAATGATTTCTTATAGTATGTAATTTGATACTTTTATTATTTATTGAAGCTTCTATTTCTAACATAATATGCACTGTTATTATGAAAATATTTACTTCTGATATTGATCTTTTGTTAAAGCGGATGGGAAAAGAAAAGTAGTAGGTGTCGCAACAAGATTGAATAGGTACATATACCATTACTGCATTTTAATAAAATGTCAACTATTTGTATCATACGAGTAAATTGAACAGCAGCTCTGCTTGAAATCCTGAAGCCATTACATTTGATACTATGCGACTCGGGTCTCAAGCTAGGCCGCTAAAATTCCAATGAAAGAAAATTAAAAAGAAAATCAATGAAATTTGATTTCTTTTTTTTTTTTTATTTGTAAGCTGTATTTATTTGCAAGCAGTTACAAACAAAAATTCGACATCATTTTCAAACGATCCATAATAACTTTATAAAATTTTTATCACAAAAAGAAGTTATTTGTATGAATAGGTGTAATAAGTTACAGAATGTATTTAGTCATACATAGTTGTATGTGATAAAATTACATGTAATGAGGAAAGTGCTTAAAATTCGTAAGATATCGAAGTAATAATCGTATCTAAAATAAAGCTGCAACTAAATGTTTTATAAGCTATTCGTTTGTTATACGAGAGTCCTAAATTTAGCAAGTTTCTACAGTGTAAGTGATTTTGGATGTTAACAAGTACAGCTAAGACACAAGAATGATATATTTTTGTTGTTGTATATTGATCTGTGACTTAAAACATGTTTTCTAACAAATGAGAAAAAAGAAGATAGAGATTCCTTTCTTTTCAAATTAATAATAATATAAAATAAAAATTAATAATGTTAAAAATCGAGCTGCATAAATGTAAAAAGTATTCTACATTTTATTACTATAAAGATTTATTACTTAAATTTCAAAGCAACAAGGTTCTGTATTGAAATTGTAGTCAAAATACTTGAATGAGTAACACAATATACTTCTTCTAATTGATGCACAATAAATAGAAGTAATTTAATACTTATATTTATTGCTGCAATACAAGTTGTGTTAATTTTTATAGAATGATTGATTATAAGGAAAGATCTCTTGCTCTCCCTCTAATCTTATTTGACCTGGAGAGAAATTAATAAACAGATTCTGTAAGCTGTTGAATTATGACATTAATCTTATAAGTTGCCAAGGATCATGTGACATAGTTGTGAGTACTGAGTACATAGTTACAGAATGGTCCGTCATGGGTGTTTGAATGAGTGGATGTATAAGTTAAGAGTTCTACCAGTTATTCATTATAATGACAGAAATATGTAAAGAGTTTAATAACACTTACTAATAAAATAAAAAATGCCACTATAATGATTCTCAGTATCTTTGATAAAATATATATATATATATCTATATATATATATAATTTACAAAATTTTCAGTAAAAACATATTTTTTCTTTTTTCTATAAATACATTATCTATAAGTACATAGTTTCCTGTTTTTTGAAATTTAATTTTTCATATAATTAAAATTCAAAATTTCCATAAATTAAAAATAAGTAATCTCTACATATATTATTTTTTTAAATAATAAAAATATCAATTAATGTATATTAAAGAACAATACATATCAAAACATAAACTTAAAATAAGCTTAAGTCATAGGGAATAAATAAAAATAAACATATGAAATGAATAAAATTAAAAAATGTTTATTTAATATAAATTCAAATAAATTACATTCCAAATAATGTAATTTTTATATGTATGCGTTTGAAAATTACATAAAGTGACATCTATTTATGGAGAACAAACAATTTTCTTAAACAACTTCATTATCGATGAAGTTGATTGCACATTATACATATGTAATTACTAGTAAAATGTTAAGCTATGTATTTTATATTCATTTATTCATAATAATGTGTATTATTATAAATAAATAAAATGAAAATTTAAAATACATTGTTTAATCATTAATTGAGCGTTTGCAGAAAGAGGGCACTATCTGATGTGATACTGGTCCTCTCTATAGCATAGTAAGCAAATGGCTTTAAAATTCAAACTTTCACATAACCGTAGAGTTGTATTTCTTTCACATTGATGTTATAAAATGATTGAGATACCCACTGGTTAAAGTGTTTTTTTTATACATTAATTAATATAAGCTAATTTCATATATAATTGTTATTAACTTGATATTAAGGTAATGGCCGTAAGCGCATCTTTTCATCGTAATGTATTGTTATTGTCTCAAGTAATTCAACCTAATGATGAATTCAAGAAACATTTCCGAAAGGTATATTTTTTATAAAAATTAAGTATGCTCAAGATACATTTAAATCTGTTTGTTTCTTTGAAATTATTCTATCTATTTGCTATAAACTTTTTTTATTTACAGGGAATGTTTGATAAACCTAACACAGCTGGCTTCATACATGTTTCCCATTATTTATTAACAATATACGATTCAGAGCGTTTTAAGAAATTGATTGAATGGCCAATAATTTGTAAAAAGACTGAAGTGAAATATCGTAACAGTGTTAAAAATTATTTAATAAGTATATCAGTGGAAAACTCAGATATTGGTTTCCCAAACATACTTATGTCTCACTTAATTCATGCTGGTGGAAATAAATTTACAATTATCATGTGGAAATTATCTCAAGTAGTACTAAGAAAATATATTGCACGAGAAAGTATGATATCTTCCGTAAAAACTTCTATATGTTATTTCTTATTTGTTGCTATAATAAACTTTAAATCCACTATTAAAAGTAATCCCATTTACTGCAATAAATTCCTATGCTTAAATAAATAATAACATATAAAATATTGTATGATTTTTTATTTTTTGTAGCTAGTTACAGTGTTATGTTTGCACCACAAGCAAGAAACAAACCATGTTTAGCAAAAAAATTTATTCAAGAAACTAATCTAAAAACCAAGCTTAATATTTCTAATCATCACAAAAATTTATCAGAAATGGAAAATGCAACTAAAACTATTTTAGAGTAACAGTTTTTTTTGTTTTGTTTTATACATGTATTTACAAAATTGAATTAATAAACTAATTTTATCATTTTATTTTTCAGGGAACAGAAGAAAACATTATCTAATATTGTAACAGAAATTTTTGAAAGAGAACAGTTCATTGAAACTCTTTTAAATGAAGCACCTGTTCATTCTACAATTAAAAAATGCTTAAGCAATATAAATGATGAAGAAGTGATAAAAAGTTAGTATCATATTTTTAATATTTATTTTTATTTCTATCTAATAATAATAATCATGTGTTAATTTCAGTGTGGCAAATGAACATAACTGATGGAATAAACCGCATACAGAAAAAAAATGCACTTTTGAAAAGTATAGAACAGCTTGGTTTTAAAGTAAATAATATAGTATTGAGTAATAGTAATAATGTTAAAGTGTTAGATGCAAAACAGATACAAAAGATAAATTGCTCAGAAATTTCAGAATTATTTTCTATAGATACACAAGTAAGTAATACTATATAGCTCATTCATAACATATAAAGAATTCAAATCAACAATATTTTCAATTCCAGTGTCTTCTATTTCAATCATATAAAAATGATAAGTTAATATTAAACAACTTTATTGTATTATTCAATTCTCTCTTAACTCAATTACATCAACTACTGAAAATAAATACAGAGGATATATCAAAGTACTTATTACAAGTAGAGGCAAGTTGTGAAGACATGAAAGCAGCATTTAATATTATTCAAACATATGTATCAGATATTGCAAAACTCTTATCCGAATCACAAGATATGTTATATCAGAATGATTTATCACAAGTTTATGACGATTCTGCATTACCTATGATGAGCAATGTACTTTTAATGGTATCTCCTCTTATAAAATTTGATACCAACTATACTAATGAAGAATGTGACCTACAGAAACGATTGCAACTTACACCAGTAGAAGGTAAGATTGTTATTATTCATGAAAGTATCAAAAATATATGTAAAAACTTCTTTCAGGTGTACACAAATCACTATTTTCACGATATGAACGTCTAAAAAAAAATCATGAAATACATATTTCAAAGTTAAGAGAAAATTTATTTGTATCACGAATTAATTTTGATGATACGATTTCAACTATAAATAATGAAAACCCATCTTTACATATGCAAACAATATTTAGAAGAAATTTATCGTCTTTAAAACCAGCGAAAAAGTATTCCCGATTATTTTCAAATCGTACAAAAAGAAGTAACAGAAGAGGTTTGTAAATGATGTAAGATATTTTAAGCATGAATGTCTTGTTTCTAATTAAAAAATTTTGTTTTTCAGCAGCAAATTTAAGTATAATGTCTATGCCCTGTTCTTCAGAAGCAAATTCAACTGCAATTGTAAATGCAATTGAGGAAATGCATGATGTATCACAGCTCAGTTTAGACACGTCAGCAAAAAGTCCTTGTAATATCAATGTAGAATTTGCTACCCCTGACAAATTAACTGTCAAAGAAAATAAGCTTGAAAACACACCGGAAACGGGAAACGTACTACAAGATTTCCAAAATAAAATCAATATACTTGATATATGTGAAACAATGGAGGTAGAAATTAATAATGATTATGACAATAATCCTATAAAGACTGAGGAAAAAAAAGGAAGGAGACATTCAATCAGTGATTTAGTTGACCGTTATAAAAAACTGCTCGAACTCAATAATCGTTCGCCAAGTTCTAAAATCAATTGTGTAAAATATAACAATGAATAATTATAAGAAATGACAATTGGCAATGTAACATGAAAAGAAATACATTTTATATCTTACTTAATATTTTATTATTAATTTATGTACATATTTATGAGATTTCTAATATGAATAAAATAATTTAAATACTTTTAATTATTATTTAAGAAATTATTTTGTTCTAGTTAATGTTTATTTCTTATTTTAGTCATAAAATAATATTTTATGTAAAAAAATTTCAAAGATTATTTATAACAAGACAGAAAATTTATTAAAATAATTATTTGACAAACTTATATTTTGAGAAGACCGCTTAAAATACATCCACTGCGCCATCTATAAAAAAGCGGTGGAAACTACTCAACGAATTACCGACTAAATTTCCGACAGTCGGTAATCGACCCTTCGGCAGTCGGTAAGTTAACGAATAGTTTGCACCGCTTTGTAGAGAGCGCCACCGGTCCAGCGGGGTCCCTGACACCCCGGATGCCATAATGTTGGTATGCAAAGAGTGTCACCTGACCCCCTGTGGCTGGGGGGTTTAGAATACAGCCACGGTATCCCCTGCCTGTCGTAGGAGGCGACTAAAAGGGGGCACAAGAAAAAGACAGAAAAGAAGAATAAAAAGTATGGAAATAATGTAAGAAAAGAAAATGTAACGAGCAAAGGAAAAATGTAACACGAAAAGCAGAATAAGGTAAATTGAAAATGGCGCGGGAAAGGAATGGCAGCAATGTCAACCTTGTAAATACAATCAACCTTCGGGGTCCCTGACACCCCTGGATGAAATCAGGTCCGTATAAAATGGGCACAACCATATAATCGTCTAATTTCTTTCCGGAATTTATTTAATTTACTTTATTTATTTTCTTTGCTTATTAAATAAGCTCATCGAAGGGGAATAACATTTATGATTGTATCCCTCTTCTGGGCCTCGGCCGAGGACCCCTTTTATTTCACTTTTTCCAGTTATTTATATAATTTTATCCCTCTTTATAGGCCAAGGCCACCCCTTTCAGTTATTAATTATTTTATCCTTCTTTAGGAGCCAAGACCCACGCTCCCTAACTATTTATTATCCTACTCCTCTTTATGGACCAACGCCTCCTTTGGCAGATATTTATTTCATCATTCTTTTTATGAGCCTCGCGAAGACTACCGCTAAATCACTGTATCTCCGTATCCCTTGTGTATACAAATATAGGAGTAATCACATGTAATTAAATTATTTAAATGCAATTTTTGCATTGGCGTGTGTGTATATGATGAATTCACATCGATGCATTTGATGTGTTCGTGAAAATGCACCTCAATGCGTTGCCGGTAATCATTCGGTAATAGAAGAATGTTTATATCTTAAGGTTATGTGATTTAACCAAGTTAAAGAAACAAGAGCTACTACTTAATGTTGGGAACTTGAAATGAATTATGGATAAAGAATTGCAAAATAAGTATTAAATTAATTAAGTTGTAGTAAATAAAAAAATATGAAATTGGTGAAGCCAAATTGGGTTACACATGATGGTCTGTATAAAACAATATATTATTATTTGAGTAGAATGCTGAATTATAAAAAAATAATTATTATCTAGGATACTCAATATTTTCCGTGGATATACATCCAGATGGAAAGAGGTTTGCCACTGGTGGTCAAGGTAATAAAACTTTTTATTTAATGTTATTTTTTTGTACAAGTAAAAGTAAATTAAAACTATCATTAATGTTATTAGCAAAAATGTATGGATTTTACTTGTCTAATTATAGGTGGAGATTCTGGAAGGGTTGTTATTTGGAATATGGAACCAGTGGTTAATGAAATTGCGGAATTAGATGAGAATATTCCAAAGATGTTATGTCAGTTAGATAACCATCTTGGTATAATCACATGATAAAATTAATTACATTATAATGCTATAATGTATATTATATATTAATATATTTATTATTTGTATAGCATGCGTCAATTGTGTTAGATGGAGTAATAATGGATTATTAGCATCAGGTGGTGTAGATAAATTAATTATGATTTGGAGATTGTCTGGTGGATCAGGTGGAAGTTCTATATTTGGTGGAAAATCTAGTGTTGAAACATGGCGTTGTATAGCTACATTACGTTCACATGAAGCTGATGTACTTGACCTTGCATGGGCACCGCATAGTCCATGGTTAGCATCTGCATCAGTGGATAACAGTGTAATTGTATGGGATGCCTCCAAATTTCCAGCTATTGTAGCTGTACTAAAAGGTCATACAGGATTTGTAAAAGGAATTACTTGGGATCCAGTAGGAAAATACTTAGCCTCTCAATCTGACGATAAAACATTAAGAGTATGGCGTACCACTGATTGGACTGAAGCAGCATTAATATCAGAACCATTCGACGAATGTGGTGGAACAACTCATGTGTTAAGACTCTCTTGGAGTCCAGATGGTCAGTATTTAGTATCAGCTCATGCAATGAATGGTGGAGGTCCCACAGCACAAATAATTGAAAGGGATGGATGGACACAAGATAAAGATTTTGTCGGACATCGTAAAGCTGTTACATGTGTGGTATGTATTAAAAATGAAAAAAAAATATTATTGTATATGTACGGTATTTATTAAGTCTCTAATTCGTTCATTAATTACAGAGATTTAACGGAAATATTTTACAAAAGAAGCAACCAGGTTCTTCTAAACCTCAACAGTATTGCTGTGTTGCTATAGGATCTCGTGATCGTTCTCTTTCTGTATGGTTAACGTCATTGAAACGACCTTTAGTAGTAATACATGAATTGTTTACACATTCAGTCTTAGATGCCAGTTGGTCACCGTGCGGTCTACGATTAGCCGCTTGTTCTTGGGATGGATCTGTTGTACTTATTGAATTTACACAACAGGAATTAGGTCAGCCATTAGATCCTGCTGAACAAGTAAGTATTCTGCATAAATTATTTAAAGCAATCAAACATTAATAATTTTTGTTTTACTATAGAGTAGTCTTCATGAACGTTTATATGGTAAACCATTGGTCCAAGGTGGTTGTACCGTAATGGAAGCACCCGAACTTCTTAATTTAAAAACATCAGCACCTCCCACACAACCGACTCAAACTCCTACAAATACAACTTCTGTACATCCACCAACTACTACTTCAACCACTCCTGCTAAAGGTCCTATAAACAAACAGATTGAAACAAGGACATCAGATGGCAAAAGACGGATAACTCCAATGTTTATACCACCGCCGTCCGATACAATGTTAATCAAATTATATTTTTACGGACCTATAGTCTTTAAATATTCCCTATATTAAATAAATAATTTTTTTTTAGGGATTCATCGAGTGGTATACTGGGAGTACCGACATTTACGAGCCAAGCCAAAAGTTCTATTGTTATAGAAAAACGAAACGATGTTGTAGCGCCGAACGTTACTACTTGTATAAATCCAACTAATACAAATACTCCAACTTCTACTCTTACTCTGAAACGACGCGAACAGACTACTCCAAAATCACACTCCAGTTCGCTCAATAAAAAACCAAAAGTTGCATCTGAGAGAAATATAAATCAAGTTATACTTCCTCCATTAAAACCATCTAGTTCATTGTCTCAGCAAGCTGGTCACTATGCAGTGACTGTAACTAACAATCAAGGTTTAGCTCATTTACAAGTGTTCAAAGGTACGGATTCGGAACCGACCTGGGATTTATACTTAGGATACAGTGCTGTTGCTTTAGCAGCATCACCAGCAGTTATAGCACTTGGTTTAGAGGATGGTAGTCTTCATACGTTTCATCCTGCTAAAGGATGTCGACCAGCACCTCCTTTAGCCCCACCCGCACCACTTGCAAAAGTTCATGCAGTTGGAAATGCGGTAATTGTTTTTTTTTTTTTTTTTTTTTTTTTTATAAAAGAAAATAATATTATACTAACTATTAATACTTTTAGGTAATGGTCATTTCAAGCTGCGGTGCGGTACGTGTTTGGGAAATAGGATATTCATGCAGAATGATAGTTTCTACTTCTGCAGCACATTTAGCAGTACCTGGCACCTCTTTATTGTCTTGTACTTTATATAATGGAATGCCACATTTAGCTTTCACTAATGCTAGAGCATACATGTATCATAAAGAAATGGGTATATAAGCTACATTACGCAATAAAAGAAAACTGTATTATATTTAGCATGTAATATATTTGAGATATATAATACTTTCAGGTACATGGTTATTAATCGGTGATAGTCAAGACCCAATATGGCGATGGGCATCATTTAATGCATCAACTACCTCCCAGGGAAATAGAGCTCCCAGAGGTCCACTTTTTTCTTTACAGGAAGGATTACTTAGAACTGCTGGGAATACTTTACCCAATCCTAGATTACCCCATAGTGCTCCAAGTGTAGTATCTTATTTGGAACAACAGTTACTTGCATCCAAAGCTCTGGGGAGTGCTCAGGAATATGTACATTGGCTTATGGCTTTGGTATCGTTTTTATTAACTCAAGGTTCATATTTTTACAGCTTCATTTTATTTGTGAACTTTTATTTAATAATGCATTTTACAATGTAGCATATTTTCAGACGGATTGGAAAAACGTCTGAGGCTAATCTTAGATGAACTTTTGGGTCCAAGTCACACATCAGCTTCTAAAAGTATATGGGATCCTTTAATTTTGGTATTACTTTCAGCACTTATTATTTCATGTTTTAGACTTTAAAGACGTAGTTTACGTTTATTATATCAGATACTAATAAAACAACACATTTCTGTGCTTTCTTTCTACAGGGAATTAAAAAACACAAACTTTTAGAAGATGTATTATCTGTTGTTGGTGGACATCTTCGTTGGCAGAGATTGTATCTTGAATATACAGAACAGTTAACTGCATTAAAGAATCAAACTAATTAGAAATATTTGATCACAACTAGATCTGATATAACACATAGAATTTTATACTGCAATTAAAATGGTATCAAAAAATTTTAAGGTACGTTGTAGATTACTAACAAATACAAGTTCATAAATTTTTTATTTGTGAAATATAGACACTTTCAGTTCTAAAATATGCACATTAAGTTTCGTACTAAATCGATTGAATACACATACATAAAAGTAAGTAATAGAAGTTAATTTGTTTTTAATACTTTACGCAAGTATATTTAGTTCGTATACTATATTAATTATTTAATAAAACATATCAAAAGCTGAAAGTTAAGTATAGTTTAAAAATAAAAAATGTATGGATTTTAAGTTCTAGAATGTGCTGACTAATTTTTTGACACCAATTTAGAATCAATCTGTATCTCTTGTATATTTTTAAAAACAAACATTGATAAAAAAAACATGTACAGATTTTTTATATCTTATACGACACGACGATTAAAATAAATACATAAAAATAACATTTTATATAAAAAATAAATATTGTATTTTTATTCGTAATAATTTTCGGTTCGTATTGTAAAGTTTTCTAAATACTACACAAATAAGATAAGTCATACAAACGAGAAAAAATTGTTTAGTTTATAAAAAGAAAAATTAGTTACAAGTTTTCACAATGTTCCTTTTACAACAAGTTATGAACAAATAAATTATTTAATAACACATGATATAGACAATATTGTATACTAAACCAGTCTATAAAAATCTTATAAAAAGTCTTTATAAACTTTGTAATCAATTCCTACTTGTATAAATGAATAAATAACAGTTCATTTCCGTATTAAAACTTGCATAAATATCTACAATAAAAATACAATAAATTACTAATTGCTGTAACAGAATACCTAACACACGACAATAATTTTTATTTTAAATTAAATAGTTTTTTATTATGATTTAACTTTGTTATAGAATATAATGTTTCATGCTGTAAAATTTTAAACGATATTTACTGTATTTTAGATTCTAATCACCAATTTAAAACCACCACGTAAAGTTAAGCTACTTATTTGTCTTTCAATTGACATAGTAATTTAGAAACTGTTAGTATGTATAAATAAATTCTATTCGTATATGAAGACTATTATTTTCTACAGGAATTATTGACCGAGAATAAAATTTCTAATTAAGTACATTAATACATTTAATAAAAATGCTATCCGTATTCGACTATCATTCTCAAATTCAAAGATTCAAAACTGCAATTTTAAGCCTATAACATTCTAACTTTTATCTACGTAGCAAGATATAATAGAATAACATTTATAAATATTTCATAGAGAATATATATTAGTTTTACATTTTTACCAATTACTCTGATTTCAAATCTATTCACCTGATATTTATGCAATGTTTGAATGTTCATCCGAATGTAAATTTGAAATTACGACCTATTGTGCGTGTTACACATTTGAGAACACACTACACTTTCGATAACACACAGACTTCAAACTTCAAATATAACAAACTATGATTAGAATCTTATGTAATGCAGGCCACTGTATATTTTGTTATTCATTCTATAATCAATTGCAATAAGCAGATTTGTTCAAACAGTAACAAACCTAATACCATTATTGCTAATATAATAAAAGTTCAATTATACCCATATGTATACATACATTATAATGTTTATACACATATACCTATATAATTTAAATTTTATAAACAATTCTTTTATTAGTATGGAATGTTAAAGTACTGTATTTGATAGCTTAAATTATTATATTATTTTATAATTTTAACAGTATTATAGTGTGCCTTATTAAAAGAAGCTAATCACTGTCCATTGTAATAGACTCTTTCAATTCGGATTCATCAACATAATGGTTCTTTGAATTCCGTTCTTCCGCAGATTTTACACACTATAACAATTTACAAACACATTTTTGTAATGTTAAATTACAACTACTACATATGTAATTTCTTAATCATTTTTATTTTGCAAACTTTAATGCAGAAATTCTTAAGGAACACTTACATCTTCAATTCTTATTCGTGGTGACGATATTTGTTCAGGAAAATGCCATGGCTTATAATTTGGATTATTTATTACTTTCCAATTAGGATAAGCTACAGAAGCTTTGTGCAACTTTTTAACCATCTGAAACAGGAAAATCTTTATAAGTAAAATTAAATTCTTATAATGTATGTATACCTATGAATTTTTACATACTCTTGGAGCAAATATTTGTGTAACTTTATTAACAAGCCAAACTGGTAATTTTCCATGTGGATCAGTGTGAGATACATATCCCAATTCAGAACCATCACCATTTCGTGATGGTCTTACGATATATCCTTAAATTAGAAATTTCAATAATAGAATAATAATCCTTAATTATATACGTAAATACAGAAATATATAGCAACTTTTATTTTAAATTTCAAACTATACCTGTGAGATAAGATGTTGCTCGCACAAATTGCTTTCTTGGTGGATAATCTTTATGAAAAACGGAATGATTTAGAATCAGTTGCTCTATACCAGTATCAAGCCATGATCTTTGGAGAACGAAATCTCTATTTTTCAATGGAGATGGACAGGCCACTAATTCATATGTACATATATATACATACCCACACACGCGCGCACACACGCATATATGTGTATATACATATTACTTTACTTAAACAACAATAATTTGTATTTAATATGAATATCTAACAATAACACTTACTAGAATAGTAACCAATATCATTATTTGGATTAAAAAACCCTATATCTTTTGATTCAATCATATGAGTATCCCAAACTTTTCTATATTCAGGATCATGTAGTACATCATATAATGTTTCTGGTAAAACATCAGCAAAACGGGTTCTAATCTGTAATAATAAATAAATAATAAACATTATATAGTTTATACATATAACATCCAAATGATGAAAAATTGAATATAAGTTAAAATCTTTAAAAATATGTACTTTCACCATTTTAAAACTAATCCCTGGTACAGATTTTGTCCACACAGACAAATCTGGCTTGTTGTAATCTAATTTCCATTCATTATTATCATCATATAACTTCTTAAGTTTCTCAAAGTCTTTATCTTCAGCAATTTTAACAATCCCAATATCCATTTTAAAAATATGATTTATCAAACAGGTAGCATAATTAATTTTCACACACAATGTTTCTGAAACAAAATAAAATAACATAATATGATGAATAATGAACATAATAAATACATAACAATCATTATATATTTCTTATAATAAACTTACCTGTTATTCATGGAATTTATAATGTTCTGACATAATGTTTATACATGTTTAATGCTACTGTGTAATAGGTCTTGTATTTGTACCAAAGTAATCTTTGAGCAGTCTTAGTCATCATTCTGCTTTTTAAAAAGCAATGAAACATATGTTAGCTTCAAACTTCATTCATATCATAAAGAAAAAGAAAAATGATATAAAAAGAGTCTTTGCTATGATGTGAACAACATGCAGTGTACTTTGCTATTTAAATATAACTGCATAAATTAACATATTCAATTAAAATGTATACAATTCTTGCTCATCTGTAATTGTTAAATACACACTTAGAAAATGAATAGTATTAATTAACTATAAAAATCTTAGTCATGCTATTAATACATATACGGTAAAGAAAAAATTAATAAATAAAAGTTTAAATTACCCGCATTAAAATAGTCACATATGTTCTCTTAAAGCATAATAACCCGAAAAAATTGTCTACATGTATACATACCCTACGTATACTAAAATGATTACATTTTCTCTACAAACGTTTTTACACGTTAAAGACAATTATGTCATACATCCAACTTATCAATATGAATGAAAGTGATCACAGAACATCAAGTAGAATCAAATTTTACTAGAGTTCTCATCTACAGAATCTACTGATCTCGTTATCAGTACGATCCAAACAGGTTAGTCGGCATCACCGTTGCTAGATAAAGGCTTCATAATTGCCAGTGATTACAGATCCAACAAAAGTGGACATGCTCTTGTTACCGAGAGGGTTACGACTTGTAGGGTCTCGGAGACCCCAAGACGAGACTAGGTCCATATTTTACAGGGGCATGCATAAATATCAGGAGATATAATTTTCACTCCTTTTGGTTCTATAGTTTAGAAATTAGAATATGCACAAGACCGAAGATTTATTGAAATATTTGTTTAACAAATTTATGTTTTAAAAAGATCGAAGTAATTTAAATATTTTTAACATTCGATCCCAGCGCCATCTATACAAAAACGGCGCAAACTATTCGACAGTTTACCGACTCTCCTATGATAAGTCGGTAAATAGCTTCCGCTGCTTGCCGATACGTGGCGCTAATGTTCCCCTGGAAAATCGATCGGTAACTTGTCGAGTAGTTTGAACCATTTCTGTATAGATGGCGAGAGGATCGAATTTTAAAAATATTTAATTTATTAGATTACTTTATTAGAAGATTAATTTATTAGATCAGGTTAGACCTGATATCATTTAGGGGTGTTAGGAACCCCGAGGCATTGATGACACCCTGATATCATCTTGGGGTATTAGGGACCCCGAAGCATCGGTAATGCTCTTTGCATACCGACATTATATGCCTCCCCCTGTGGCCGGGGGGTTTAGAATACGGCCACGGTAACCCCTGCCTGTCGTAAGAGGCGACTAAAAGGGGGACATAGAGGAGTGAGTGAAAGAGTGTGAGACTAAAAATTATGGATAAGGATGAATGGAATTAAAAGTACGAAAACAATGTAGGAAATTAATGTCTCTAGGGATGAAATGAAATGCCGAGATTATGGCATCCGGGGTGTCAGGGACCCCGATGCATCAGTAGCGCTCTCTGCATACCGACTTGATACTATCTTGGGGTATCAGGGACCCCGAAGCACCAGTAATTCTCTCCATGTCTAGTCACTGCTGTGATAATCAGTCTGTCATCAGTTTAATGGTTAAATGAATAGGTTATGACAGTCATAACAAAAGCATGTCTTTGAGAAGAGTGCTTTTTAATCTTACAAAAACAAATAGCGTTTTTTCTTTAAGGTTTAAAAACCAAAAATTGTATTATTATTATGTAGACAAAAGTAATTTTCCTTTGATAATTTTAACGAATGCTTTGCAATATTCAAGTGAAAGTCCATCAAAGTGTTGGAACTGCAATTTTATATCAAAGTCTGAATTGTTTTGTTCCAAATGCAAAGTTTTACAAGAACCACCCGAAAATTTGACTTATTTTGATATAATGGGCATTCCAAAAAGTTATGATGTAACAGTTTCAGAAGTTCAGAAAAAATACAAGGAACTTCAAAAATTATTACATCCTGATAAATTTAGTAGAAAATCTGAGGTAGGCATTATAAATTATAAGATCACCAGTCAGTTTATAAATGTATTTATTTTGATTTTCACAGAAAGAGAAAGAACTTTCTGATCATTTTTCATCATTGGTAAATAAAGCTTATAGCACATTGTCTCATCCATTAAAAAGAGGATTATATATGTTAAAGTTAAACAATATAATGATATCAGAAGAAACAGATAATGTGAATGCAGTATTTTTAATGGAAATTATGGAGAAAAATGAGGAAATAGATGAGGCAGAAAATAATGAGGAAAAAATAAAGAAGTTAGTGGAAGAAAACGAAAGGATACTAAGTAATTTAACAAAGTAATGTTCTTTTTATTATATGAATTTGCAGTGGTCTTTAGTTGTTCATCAATTATTATAGATATTTTCCTTGTTATGTAGGAATGTGGGAGATGCATTTCGCAAAGAAGATATTAAAAAAGCAGAAACTCTTCTTATACAAATGAAATATTATGATACCATAAACAATAGATTGAAAAAGCTAAAACATGATTTAGGTATAATAGAATAACTTCTAATAATATATAAAATATTTGTAATATTAGTATGTGTAAATAATTATGTATAAATGTACATTTTAATGTAAAAAGTATATTATAATATTTATTATCTATAAACTTATTCGATTAAATTACTTACTAATTTTAAATCTCTTATCGATTAACATCTTAATTATATATTTTATGAATAATATCACTGCATTGCTAATCCAATAAGTTTTTCGTTTAAATAACAGGCAGTTATAAAAAACAAAATTTAAGTAGTTAAATTATTCTTGCTGATTATCTATTTTCCACTGTTCAATCCATTGACATATTCTATTTACATTTTCTGTAATTTGACTTAAATTGTTACTTCTCAATTCATGGACTATCTCTTCTCTATAAGCTGATTTAGCCTCTTCAAGAATAGTTTGAAATATTTCACAGTCTATGTTATCTTCTAGTTTCTTCCCTGTGTAACCTCTGTCTCTTAAACGATCATATAAAATTGTATTATCAGTTCTCAATACAAATACAATATCAAACCATCTTTCTGGAAAGAAATCAGCTCCATGATAATCAACAATTTTTCCACCTTCACTCATTAGAGTTTCCATTTGATCCAGTAACTGCAATTAGAAATTATATTATTCATTCTTTAATGAAAATTTAAATAACATGATATCGAACATAATTACCTTATCTTCATCTAAAATAGGACACTGATATATTTCATCATATTCTTCTAAACATTCTTTTTCAATAGCAAATTTACTAACATCAATCCAGGTTAATTTCGTTTTTTCGGCTAAAATACGTGACATTAAACTTTTCCCTACTCCAGGTGTACCTGAAATCGAAGATTTTATTATTTTCTTATTGATATTATTCGTAAATACTTAAACTGGAAATTATTATTGTCAATTTATTGAAATGTATTACTTTTTATTCACAACTACCTGTTATTAAAATGTTTGGGGAACTTCTATTCATGTTGATCATCTTCGACTAATTTAATCCGTTCCTTTTGCGTTCAGTATTATTACAATTAATTACATGTCACAAACATTACTATAAAATAACAATTTTTTAGAAACCGACTATGTACACGCGTTTTTACAGTTTATGAGTGAGGGCGTTGTGAATCATTTTCAATACAATATTGGAACGAGAAGTAAGCAATAAGTTAACTTTTGATAAATTTCAAAATATTGAGAAAGATTTACAAACTTGTGATCAACATTTCTTAATGTTTCATAACATCTCAATTATGTTTAATACTAACAATTAGAAGTTAAAGTTTCTTTGAAGAAAATTGTTTCTAAGAATTAAAACTACGTGATCTTGGAATTTATCAATTCTGAATTTATAAAGAAGTTGATCAAGTTTTAAAATACACACCGGGTAAATATCTGGGCCAGTTCAAAGTATTTAATGTTGCTTAATGTTACAGAAATTTTTGGTTTATCGATGTCTTAAAGCTCCTTTATAATAAATTATTGTTGTTTTTTTTATCTATGAAGACACAAATAAAAGTAACTACTGTTGAGGATCTATATTTTTCTACATACTTCATGGACATTGATGCAACGTAACACGTGTTGGGTCGAGTACGTTTATTTAAAGAGAGAGAAGACGTAGTAGTTTCACCAGAAACACGGAATTTTCGTCACTGATCCGTAAGGTCAATTTAATATTAGTATTAAATTTTTAAGTATATCGAACAAAAGTATAGTTGCAATGGCAGTGGAACATCACGATAAATAAATAATCAGCAAGATCGCGAGTTGTGGTATTTCAGGAACAATCGCTCACGGCACGACCTGGTACGACAAGAATGAGCTGGCATAATTCGTTGTGCTCATTATTTGAAAGTAATAGTTTCTTGAAATTTCATGTATTTTATAATAATGCCATTTGTTTTGTTTCTGACTATGATTCACCGTAATTGTGATTTAAATCTTCTATGTTGTTTCTTTAAACGATTCTCCTAACCTGCGTTTATTATGGTTTATAACCTAATTAATATCCATAACATATTGTTATGTAGTTCCACTGTGAAATGAAATCAATCATTTTGTGTATGTGTATATATATTAATAATGGTATGCAACAAGTCATGTATATATGATATATTCAGAATATGTTTATTTGGATATCTTCTCAAATTTAAGCATTAAAGAAACAAATAAACATGGTTCTTATAGATACAAGGAGGCAAATAGTTATGCGTTCTAAGTACAACTAGTTCATTTAGGATTGTGTTGTGTAGTTGATAATTTTGTAAAGATGTTTTAATAATTATAAACTTCTAAAATATATAAAATTCAATGATTTATGAATAACAAAGTTTTTCATATGATTTCAGGTAAATTAACAGAGATAATTAGAAGAAATTGTGTATACCAAAGAAAAAGCAAGATAGTATAAAGGAAGTTATTTTTTAAAAACACAAACAAAAAGAAAACAAACATCATAGATCATAAAAAATTCAAGTATTGCTGCGGTGCAGAAGGGCTCTATGTGCTCCACATCGGCTTTAGCGAATGGTATTTTAGTTTCCAAGAATATTGTAACACGGCGTCACAGAAGGATTTCATTTGCAAATTATAAACTTGGTATACGACAGAGACAACATGCGCAACGAGATCACTGCAGCAGTACTATTCTTAGTACAGCTGATAGAAAAAAACGAAAAATTTAGTCCTGATCAATTGGAGTGCTTCAAACGACGTTTAGTAGAATTATTAACTGAACGTTTTAAAAATCATTGGTTTCCTGACAAGCCATTCAAAGGTCAAGGTTATCGTTGTATTCGTGTAAATGGTCATAATCGGAGGGATGCAACTTTGGAGAGTGCTGCCAATGCTGCTGGAGTCAAATATGAAGACCTATCGTTACCTGTAGAATTAACACTTTGGGTTGATCCTAATGAAGTATGTTGCCGTTTTGGAGAAAGCAAGGGATCTTATTGCACATTGGCATCATTTGATGATAAAGAAAATACTGTACCAATTTTTCAAGGAAGCAATGAAGAAAAAGAAAATAAACAATCTGAGGGGCCGACTAAGATACAGGTAAAATATTCATTTATATCTAATTCCTTGCTTTTTGGTATCAATAGACAGTATAACAAGACAAATATATTAAATTTTTCAATTTTATTACAGAAATCCCCTTTGACTGCTAATGCAGAACAGCACCAAAAATCAAAACCACTAAGCTCTGCTAATCAAAATCAACAGCATAGTAATACCGGTACAGGTAGGAAACGCAATTTGAACAGTCCAAGGCTACATCTAAATAGAAATCGTTCCTGGTTCGGTCACTCCTTCAGTATGGGTTATGGTCCACATCCAATAAGTCAGCCATGGTATAACATTATGCCCCCTCATTTTTTGGGTGGTCCATCTCCACCTCCATTTATGGGCCACAGAGGAAATAAGTGGATTCACCCTCCCTCTTACCCTACAGGACCTGCCCGTTTCCATCACTGGTCTCCCAAAGCTGCTCTTAAAGTGTAAACAGTCCCTTCTTATGAAAGTAGTTAAAAAACCTGTTCCTTTCTATGAAACGAAAATTATATAATTGTTTTGCTAATAAGAGGTTTTATATTTCAATCTAAATGTACATGACATTTATACTAATGCTGAAAAATGCTATTATTATTATCATTCTTCTTCTTATTATTATTTACGTTACATTTTTAACAAAGTTGAAGATGATCTTTATAACAGGAACAGGTTTATTAACGTTTCAGTGACGAAAATTATTCATTCTGTAATTACAAATGACCTTGTTCGAATTACGACTAAGGCTTACGATTTTTTATGACGAAGAACTGTTGCATTATTACATGTTATATATAAATAATTAATTGGATGATAGATGTTTAATTCCGGATGCAAGGTTGCTTGTAAAAATATTAGATTAGTGAGAATTTAATTAGAATGAATTAAGTCATTGATGTGTAAGGCATACAAAATGAATGTCATATCACTTGTGGTGACACTTTCTTTAATTAATCCTCAAAAACGGATTTAGTAAAAGATAGATCATAGATATTTCAAGAGGGAGCAGTATTGATTTTTAAGCGGGTTTGAAAAATTGGATACAATTCCTCATTAAATTGTATGTAACGAATTTTAATGCCTAATATAGGCGATCTCAGTTGATTACTAAATATTGCATATATCAAATTCTGTCAAGTAACAGAGAGAAAAGGTTTTAAAGAACTTTTTCTTTGATTTGTATATATATATAGGACATTTATGCTGACTTGAGCTTCAAGGTTTGCTTTATCCTTCAATATTGTTTTAGCGCAAAGAATAAAAATTAATAATTTAGGTATATAATCTATCAACTTGTCGAGGTACATGCCCTAGAACAATATTGATAAACCATGTGAACTTTGAAATTTTAGTAACACTGATTTGAGGACAATGTTTGACAACTTATTTGTATGTATATTATATTACGTTAACGAATAGAGAAATGATATCTCAATTTCGCATGCTTGTGGTGTAAAAAGAAAATTTACGCTGTTTGCTTCAGAAAGCATACCACACTTTTTATGTAAACATACTGCCTCCGAGATTCTATTAATAATCGGTTATACTAGAAGATTATTAACAAATGCATGAATTTCAAGATTAACGTGTAGTTACAAATTTTTATTTTAACTATGCTCAAAGAGAAGATAAATTGAGCTTATGGTTTTAAGTAAAACTAATAAATCTTAGCATTTAAGAATATACATCATCGATGTTAGTAGATCTATAGCTTATTACAGTTGAAACTTTAATTCTATCATGCTAAAGCTAATGTCATGTACATTGAATCTTGTATATTGTAGACAATTTATCAAACCATAGTAACTTATATCTACTTAATCAACTACTTTTTGCTTTGTTAACATGATAAATAAATGTCTTGTTTTTATTTGAAAATTTTCTATGTCTGAAGGAGTCAAAAACCAAGTACATAATATGAATTTACTTTATATACAGTATTCTGAGTGTTACAATAGTTAATTCTTTAAGTAATTTCATATCTTATTTCTCAACTTTTTATTATGTTCAAACTGATTTGTACAAATATATGTGATAACATTTAACAAGTTTTGTTTATATTTAATTATTTTACATTGTTTGGTTTTTGAACCTATCACACATACAAGGAGCATTTTAATATCATTAATGCATAAAATGTGCAATTTTTTTTCCATTTATATTGTAACATAGTGTTATTCATAAAAGTAATTTTCACGTTGTACGAATTTGCAGCTTTAATGTGAAAATTACTTTTAAGAATTATGTTTGTACAAGTATATTGTTAATTCATTGGTGCAGAAAAATCATTTAACAGAAAATATTGATAATAATATACAGCATATTTTATTGGTACATAATTAATTTATATAATTGATCTATTTTAAGAACTTTTCGTTAATATTTTAGAGCACTTAAATTGATAGTAACATGAAAAATTTAAATTGAATAGTATAGGTGTTACCATCTGTTACATATTGTATGAATCTAGTTAATTCTGATAAATAATTGGAATATTGTTATCGCTATTCTTAGTGTTCTTAGATGAATTTCTAAATATATAATCAGATTTAACGTAAATATTACGAACCGACTGTATTAGACAAATTTTTAATCAAACATGTAGTATAACAATTTGCAACTTTCATGTTTTACACGTATCATTGTTTAATATATGCATGAAATTTGCTCTACTGTAGGTGATTTTTGTGTTCAATTTGTTAATACTTATTCAGAAAGAGTCATTTTGTTGTTATGAGAGATGTGGAAATTCTATATGAATATAGATATTATTATAATGTATATGTAGAAATTAAGCAATGTTGCATTCGGACATATTCTTTTATTAATATATATGATGCTCAACATTTGAAATGTTCCAAACTTTTTAATTGTGTTCATGTATAAAAAGAAAAGTATAAAAACCTTATGTATAAAAGAACCTTATGCTCCATACAATAATGAAAATATTCAGAAACAATTTTTTTATAAGAAATCTATATTCAAATAAACATGTGATAAAATACGTAGTATTAATGTATATTCGCATTCGTGACGGAAAGAATATATCAAACATTTTGGGCAAAAAAAATATAATCTCTTTTATATAAACAAAATTTTTTTATATTGATAACTTCTTAAATACTTAGTAGATAGATGTTAAAATTTACAAGTGAATATAGTGCTTTGGCATTGAAAAAAAAAAAGACAAATTGAGATTCTTTCAGTCGCTTTTAAATATAATAGAGGCTTTAATCAGCATTTAAAGGAACAAATAAGGATTTTGATTTAAAATTTAAAAAATCCATTTCTTTTGTACAGCCAATGCATACAAGAATTTTTAATACTTCATTATTGTACATTCTCTTATCGAGTAAGACTGTACTTTACAATCGAGTAAAAACGATGTATTGAAAGCAAACAGATTTGATATTAACATTAATGTTTGGATCATTTCGATTGTAGGGTAAGGCACTATATAAACATACATATATTCTACCACTGCTGTGTCATATGTTATAAGAATACTTCTTGTATAACTATGCAATGATAACTGTAATCCTGTTCTATAACTATATTGATCTTCGCATTTTTTCATAACTTTAAATATATATTTGTTCAATACTTTATTTCGTGTTATCCAATAAAAACTATATTACACATTCGTGCAAAATACTTACATATTATTAATTGTACGACCTCTTTACTTTTAGCACTATAATCAAAATTTATGAAGTTACTAATAAACTAATTACGAATCAAATTTTAAGGCAGCATAGGATGATTTATATCTCTACTAAAAAAAAAAAATAGAAATTACAATAAAATTATATTATTGATAGCAAATTAATATTTATCATTTTTATTTTTAATTCGTCACATTTAACAAGTATAATTGTTATCAGTGTGTAGATAAACGATGTAACTCAAACGTGAATATGAAAAAAATTTATAGTATGTTGAGTGAATTAATATAATTTTTATCTTTACAAGAAGTATTGCTTTCAGAGAAACAAAATTTAACTGGGTGGCAAATCTCTTGTAATTTATCACTGTTAATTGGTAATATTGTATTCAATTTAGTTTTAAACCATTCAGTGCATTTCTTTGTAAACAAAATAAGATTTTGTAAAATTTATTGTTTTTCATTTTCAAGTATTAAATACATTGTAAACTGTTATTATTATTGTTGTATTAACGTCATTAACAATTTTATGATTACAAACATTATGTATGGGGTATAATAAACACTTAATAAATATTTCTGCAAATTAATGTCATTCAGTTTCTTTCACCTATTTTTCTTCAGCGATTTGTTCATATATATTTAAATTGTCATAATAGACAAGAATAGATATGCAATTAAAGTCCATTATCTTTTCCGCCTGTATTTGATTCAAAACATCGCCAAGGATTGACATCCAATAAGAAATGCGATCTTAATTCAACGGACTCAAGCTCTCTTACGTATGTATGTGCATACATACATGGTACACACATATACTTTCATACATGTATGTAACGATGTATCTACGAAAGAAAGGTGTCTCCACTGGTCTCTACCGCAGCTGGCTGAGGCATAGTTATCAATTGTTCCAATTATTTTTTTTTTTTTTTTTTTTTTTTTTTTGACGAGGAGGGGGAAAATGCTTTATGCACACCGGGCGGGGGGTGCAAGCCCGGTAGTGTGGGACTCCTTATACCCACTAAAAACCCCCTCCTCGTACTCACCTCGTCATTGAGAATTTAGTTTGCTGTATCTATCTTCTTAGCTTGTTGAATAAACTCAGTAGGAGCATGAACGAGTTGATTCCATTACATCTGTGTGTCTTGCCTATTATTTTATCCTCTTATTTATTATTTTACCCCTATTTTCGGGCGTCGCGAAGACTACCCTCCCAAGTCATTTATTATTTTATCCCTCTACATGGGCATCGGCTCATCCTTTTCAGTTACTTACTATTTCCTTACCTTTCATCGCTGCATCCTTTACATCTCTACATCCCTTACATCCCTACATTCTTTTCGTCCCTAGATTCTTTTCATCCCTACATTCTTTTCATTGCTACATTCTTTTCATTCCTACATTCATTTCATCCCTGCATTCCTTACATCACTTCATCCCTACATTCTTTTCATCCCTACATTCCTTACATCTCTTCATCCCTACATTCTTTTCATCCCTACATTCATATCATCCCTACATACCTTACATCTCTTCATCCTTACATTCCTTACATCTCTACATTCCCTATATCTCTACATCCCTGCATTTTTCATACATTTACAACATTTTTATGCAAAATCGCGCAAAATTTAGTTCCCCTTTTCGCCACTAGAGGGCGCTGACTCGACCTCGAAATTTTAGTTCAAATTTTTGCCGCTAGAGGGCCAAAAATTGAGCATGATTTAGTTCCTTTTTCCAAAACCAGATGGCGCTGATTCGACATCGAAATTTTAGTTCAAATTTTTGCCGCTAGAGGGCCAAAAATTGAGCATGATTTAGTTCCTTTTTCCAAAACCAGATGGCGCTGATTCGACATCGAAATTTTAGTTCAAATTTTTCCCGCTAGGGGGCGCTATTTTTGCGGGGGTTTCGGGAAAATCTCGAAAAATAGCGCCCCCTATCGGGAAAAATTTGAACTAAAATTTCGATGTCGGATCAGCGCCATCTGGTTTTGGAAAAAGGAACTAAATCATGCTCAATTTTTGGCCCTCTAGCGGCAAAAATTTGAACTAAAATTTCGACGTCGAATCAGCGCCCTCTGGCGGCGAAAAAAGGAACTAAACTTTGCACGATTTTGCATAAAAATGTTGCGAATGTGTGAAGAATGCAGGAATGTAAGGGATAGAGAGATATAAGGGATGTAGAGATGTAGGAAATGTAGGGATGAAAAGGATGTAGGGATGAAAAGAATGTAGGGATGAAGAGAATGTAGGGATGAAGAGAATGTAGGGATGAAGAGAATGTAGGGATGAAGAGAATGTAGGGATAAAAAGAATGTAGGGGTGAAAAGAATGTACGGGTGAAAAGAATGTAGGGATGAAGAGAATGGAGGGTTGAAGAGAATGTAGGGATGAAAATAATGTAGGGAAGAAGAGATGTAAGGAATGTAGGGATGAAAAGAATGTAGGGATGAAGAGATGTAAGGAATGTAGGGATGAAATGAATGTAGGGATGAAACGAATGTAGGGCTGAAGAGAATGTAAAGATGAAATGAATTTAGAGATGGAAAGAATGTAGGGCTGAAGAGAATGAAGGGATGAAGAGAATTTAGGGATGAAAAGAATGTAGAGATGTAATTAATGCAGGCATGTAGGGATGAAAAGAATGTTGGAATAAAAAGAATGTAGGGATCAAAAGAATGCAGGGATATTAGGCATGCAGTGATGTAAGGGATACAGAAATGTAAAGGATGTTGAGATGTAAGGGATGTGGGGATGTAGGGGTTGCAGCGATATAAAGGATGCAGTGATGTAAGGCATGCATGAATGTTAGGTTAGGGTTGTGCGGATATAGTGATTTAAGGGTATTCCTCGCTTCGCCCATAAAGGGAATTAAATTAATATATGAGGAAGCGTGCGTCTTGACCCATGAAGAAGGATAAAATAATGAATAACTAAAAAGTGCATGGTTTGGCTCATAAGTAGAGATCAAATAATAAATAATTGGAAAAAGTGGGTCGAGACCCATAAGGAGGGATAAAAAAATAAATAAAAGATATAGCTCTATGATGAGTTTATTTAATAAGCGAAAAAAATGCATCCCTCGGCGGTTGCTAGAAGACTGGAGATCATACCTCATTCTTAGTTACATTCCTCATATTAAGAAATAATTACTGTATTTTAAGTTTGATTTTCATGTACACTATGTTTATAATTTGTTAAAGATAAAAACTACATTGATTAAATAAAATGAGAGAAGAATTTAATCATAGTCTTTAAATAAATTACTTAGAAAGGAAATTGAGTAAATTAAATGAATAATTTGGAAAGAAATTTAGGACATTACATAATAACATTCTTCCCCTTATAAAATTGATTTATTTATCAAGACACATGTAGTGAATACAAGTTTGTCAAACAATTATTTTAATAATTTGTCGAGTTTGTGCTGATTTTGACTGGTTTCTGAAGAAATCGAACCAAAGGGAATCAAAATTGTGGTTGTTAATTCATCACGTTTAATTTAACGCGAAATTGGGTAGCTTAATGGTATTGAAATTAAATATTCATAGTTCAACAGTACAATAAATTATACAATAATAAAATATGTAGTTAGAGGAGACAACGTTTATATAGGAGGGAAAAACTATATAAATATAAAATCGGTGATCGTCCTGAGAAGGGGTGGTAGTTTTTTACTTAATCTTCCAAAGGGAAGAATGTGTCACTGAGAATAGAAGTATACAGGATGTACGCAGTGATACAAACAGATAATTGGTGATACGTGAGAAAATAAGTCGGAAATATAATATAAAATTTTGTTGCACAAGATTCCCTTTTCAAGAATATTGATTTTGAAAATCTACATCTATATGACAAATACATAAAGATAAAGAACAGTAATAAAAATTTGCTTCTCAGCAATATCAAGATTACTATAAATATTGGTACAGCCTATGCACACCAGTATGATAATCTGAAGTGGATGTTCTTGAAAAGAGAGTCCAACAAAAATTTTATTCAACATTTTCAATCTACATTTTTATGCAAGATCATCAGATATTATGTCTGTACTATCGATTACATGTATCCTTTAACAGGGTGTCCATATTGTGATAGTTCCATTTTTTCTTTAAATATTTAAGATATAAAAGGACTGTTTATATAAAAAAGTTACGTAGTACGAAAGAGAAAATATATTTGTATGAAATAATTTCTATAAAATTAATTATTTTTACAAGTTTAGGTGCTTCACTATTAAAGAACAAATCATGCAGGTTTCCTAATGTAAAGAAAAATTTAATTAATGAACTACTGAAAAAAAAACTTCATATCTCTCTATATAAAAAGAAAGAAAACTTGATCTTATACCTAGTAACGCAACAATGTAAAAAAAATTTCATTTCCTTAAATATATTTACCCCTTCATCGCCTATGACTTTTATATAAATAATCTTTTTATATCCAATATTTATGCAGGGGTGTAAAGGATGCATGAATGTAAGAGAAGCCGTGATGTAAGGGATGTAGAGATGAGAGGAATGCCAGGAATGTGAGAGATGCTGTGATGGAAGGGATGTAGAGAAGTAAGGAATGCAGGGATATAAGGGATGCAGAGATGTAAGACATGCAGGGGTGTAAAGGATTCATGAATGTAAAAGAAGCCGTGATGTAAGGGATGTAGAGATGAGATAAATGCAGGGATATAAGGGATGCAGAGATGTAAAGGATGCAGGGATATAAGGGATGCAGAGATGTAAGACATGCAGGGGTGTAAAGGAAGCATGAATGTAAAAGAAGCCGTGATGTAAGGGATGTAGAGATGATACAAATGCAGGGATATAAGGGATGCAGAGATGTAAAGGATGCAGAGATGTAAAGGATGCAGGGATGTAGAGCATGCAGAAATGTAAGGGATGCAGAGATGTAAGACATGCAGGGGTGTAAAGGATGCATGAATGTAAGAGAATCCATGATGTAAGGGATGTAGAGATGAGAGGAATGCATGGATGTAAGGGATGCAGAGATGTAAAGGATGCAGGGATGTGAGAGATGCTGTGATGTAAGGGATGTAAATTTTGCACGATTTGCAGATTTAAAATTGTAAATTACTATAGTTGTACTTTCTATATGGTAATATTGCAATTCCGAAAATACTTTTCTGAATTT